CTGAGCATACAGTGCTTATTAATATATGTTGGGTATTAAAGGGAAAACCCGTTATATATAATTAACATCTCCCTAACGCAAAAAATACATCTTGAAAATAAATCTTGAAAAAAAGTCACAGACAGTCAAAAATTCTTTCCACTTGATTTGCCACAGTACACAGGAAACCTGGGGGCCATTTGACTGATTTTGGCTTATAGGACAACTTTGTCAAGAATGCATCTTTGCATAGGAGAGTTGAATACAGGAACTCATACGAATAAATCTTGAAAAAGGGCGCATCAGTGACAGTTGGCATGTGAGCTGGATGCAGACCTATTTGAATGAAGGGGGCACTGTCACCTTGAACGTCTTGGCAAGTAACGGTAGGTGCATGGTTTCACCGGCCCTGGGAGCCCGTTGCCCCTCCTTCAGCAAGCACTGAGCGTGTCGGTTGGTCTCCCGCAGCAGCTTGTCTGCGTCATACTGCCAACCGTTGGCTGCCACCGGCTGAACAGTGAAGCCGCCCTCAGCTAGGTCAATGGCAGGCTGGAGAATCTGCTGCATGGACAGCTGTGACGGACCACAGTACAAACAGGGTGAGAAACAGAGAGGGAATGTGGGAGGGGAAGATTTGGGGGGGGACCCAAAATGGGTGACGGAGGGGAGGAATCAGAGAGGGGGAGGAAACATCTAGAGAAGGTAAAAGAAGACGGAATTCAAAATGGAATTAGAGTGGTGTGGGAGTTGGGCTAGTCAGAACTTGAAGGTGGGTTCACAAAGGTACCTGAGTGGGTACCAGGGCCAGGAAGATTAAGAAACGGGGGATGTCTTTAACCGCTTGCTGCCAGGTGCTTTTAAAAATGCAGTGCAAACAAAGGGGAGATTTTTAAGATTTTCAGTTTTCAAAACTCTTCAAAAATTTGTCGTTTCATTTAATGGATGTTTACACCCACACGAATGACTGTTTGGTGGCTACTCTAAGCTGAAAAGCAACCTTCATTGACTCCTGAGTATTTCAGCCAGGCCTTCTGCCCTGTAAAGAGAGCCCAGAATTGTGAGGTGTTGCGTAATTTACTTTGTCCCCAGTGAATGCGAGTGGCATCTTTTCAAACGGGCTGGATTAGCATGTGTGTCGCTCATCAATAGGGCCATGGAGCACTTTTGTCCATGGTGCTAATCCACGGCCGAGCTATGCCCAAAACAGTGATATACTGTTTAAAAACAGTGACAGATTACCTTCGATAAATGCAAGCCGAAAAATGATGGCAATTCCCAGCAGCAGGTCTTTTGTTCCGAGTACGGTTTTTGTTACACAGACCAGCTCTTTTGTCCCATTTCTGGCACCCCTGCTCTGCGTATAAACCCATGGTGCTCAAAACAGGGTTCCCTGGCAGCGAGTGGTTGAGGGATAAAATGGAGAATGGTGCAGACAGGTGGGGAGGAGTTCTGGGAAGAAGATGAAAGAGGGTGTGGCTCAGGAAGGGATCAGAGTGTGGAAGTCTTGGGACAAAATCACAAGGGGAAGGAATCACAAAGGGATCAACTGGGGCAGGAATCAGAAGGGGTTGAGCAAAAGAAAGAAATCATACGGGGGGGGGGGGATTTGGGAGAAATGAGACATGGTAGAAATCGGAATGGGACCAGAGATTAATTCAAGTTCCCACACACCTGTTTGGTTGCCTTGCTAAGCTTGCTAACGTACAGACTACACTTAGTCATTTTGCTAATTTACCCCATTCATTCACTGGAAAAAACGTAGTAGGCTTTGCCTTACTTTGCCAGAGCCAAACTCTGTCAAGGTATCCACCCAGCCAGCTGCTGTCCCAGGTACAGTCACACTCAAACCATGCGTCACTGGTATGGGATTAGAGCTATTGAAACCTAGTTGCTGGACAACGTCTAGGTTGACATCGGTCGAGGAACGTCCACTGTGACAAACAGTAATGTAAAATTAATGAGAGTATTGGTTCCCTATCCTTCCACTTCTTTCTCCTCCCTACTTCAGGCTTTTATAATCTATACCTGTACAGAGATAATCCAGGTTGAAAAAAAAATCAGGGTTTCAGTATTGTGTGCGCAGCGTCTTGGAACTTACATGAATGGAAAACATCCAAACTAGACAAGCAGAGTGACATAATTTAGCCATGTCAAGTAAAATGTAACAAAAGAAACATCTGGTACCTAGTCTCCATCTTTACAAAATCTGTTAACCAGCCTTTCCACCATCACTCAGTGGTCTCCTTTTTAGTCACCAGAAATTTTCATTTAATAATAATAATTTTACTGCATGGTGCAGGAAGGAAAAAATAAACAGCTGTGCAAACAAATGCAACCATCCCTATCAACCAATCACTGATTCAGCAGTGAAAATGTTACCTGCCATTCAATCCTTTGACAGACTTGGTGGCAGCTTCATAGTACAGACAGAAGCAGTCACCACCAATCCCAGTGAAGCATGGTGACAAGACATTCAGTGCAGCAGCAACGCCGACAGCAGCGTCTGCTGCATTGCCACCGGCCTTCAAGAGACCTGTTGGAGCAGAACACAACACAACAGATGAGACAGGGACCAGACTGCATCATGACACCGTCATTATGCAGCAAGCCCAGATACATGTGCGCTGCAGCTGGTTGCAATTGTTGGTGTCAGAGCCCCTGCTGTTTGTCGATATGTTCAAGGATCTTCAAGGAGTTCATTGTACACTCGGGCCAAAATAAAATTTCATTGGAACTTTGTACGAAGTAAACTCCAGGATTATGAACAGGAATGTTAGGAGCTTGATGAAGTTTTCCCTTCCTGTGAAGTCTGAGGGTGAAAAATCAATGTCTGCCGCATTAGGGGCCATACCACATTAGGATAGGCTCCATCAGCAATAAATTTATCTTTTTGACGTTTGCAATACATCATGGATTGGATGACAAACAAGTATTGCATTTTTTGCACCATCCTATGGAAGAATGTACCTACAAAACAGTCATCCCTTGCTATTTTATAAAATACTCCAATTCAAGCCATTCACGTTTGACACAGTGTTGCATTGGGTAAGAGTTCCATCAACAGAAAGCACTAATGTTCCCTGACAGTGGTTTACAAGCCATCAGAAAGTGAGAAGATTGAAGCATTTACTTAGGAAACACAATATTTCAGACCAGTCTCATTAAAGGTTTGTGCACAGGGTGTCAAGCGATGCCCGTGTACGGAACTCTGTCTGTTGCATTGTAATGACTTTAGATTTGAGATACAGATATTCAAAGACAGTAGATTTTAGAGCTTGCCAGCCAAGCGGATCATTCACAGAAAGCATGTGGTCTCTGCACATGCATGCTGACGACTGTTTCCTGACCGACACAACATTTGGTAGCTGTGCCGCTCAGGAAATAGTTGTTAGCATGCGCATGTAGACCCCACATGCTTTTTGTGGATGGTCTGCTGGGCCAGCACATCATGATGTCGCTCTCGCAGACATTAACATACAGTTTGAATCGCAATATGAAAAAGATGGCAACTTCTAGCTCGACTGACAAGCGTTTCTGATTTCATTGGCAACTTTCTCTTTTTATCCCACATGTGAGTAAACCTTACCACCTTTGTAATTATCTTGTGATTCCCACTGAATTCCAAAATGGGCGCATTAGGAAAGTTTCAGGACTGTTTGGGGGATGCATTTGAAGGATTTTGACTCAGTGTATGAGCCATTTAAAGTGAAATGAATTAATGGGATAGAAAAGCCTGTGGATGGTACTTGGACTCTAACATTGCCTGACCATGTCCAAAGGTTTAAAAAGGCAATTTAGAAAGTCCAAGTTACTCAGATTATTCCAAGAATATGGGGGATTGTATATTTGGGGACCCTTCCCCAGTTTTTTGTCAATTTAATCTTGTAAAACTGGTCAGCCCCCCCCCCAAAAAAAACCAAAGGCTCTCATTATTGTGCTGACCCGATTTTTTGGAAAGTTCCAATTGTAAATTGTGAGAAAATGTGACTTTTTTTACTGATAATCCGGCCATACAATGTGAATGCACCATGTCTACACTTGTCATGTGTAAACACTCACCAGCTCACAGTTCACGTCATAATTTCCCTTAAAACTCAAAACCCTGCCCGCTTTTCACAACATCAAACCTACAGTTATTAAGCACGATGTCATACCTGTAGTCATCTACCAAGGTGAATCCAAAAGTTAAAACATGTAAAATGTAGGTCTACCTTCTATAACGATTAGCCCCCTGTTCCTATAATAAGGAAACAAAGTCTACCTTTTTGAGACATTTTACCTGAAGAAGTTGGCGGTGATATCTTTTTTCATTATTAGAAAGAAAAGAGGGAAGGCTTTTGTTTTTGAGGGAAATTATGGGGTAAAATGGCAGCATTCATGACACAACAAAGAGCTATGAATGAAGACGAAGTAGAGAATGTAGTCTGGTTCCTTGACTAGGATGAAGGTTTTCTATGGTTGGGTCGGGTAACCAGACTTGAAACAAAACGACTTGATGCGGTCGTCTTTCACCAAATTCAGGTAAAAAGTTCTGGTTTTCTTGCTTAAATATTGTAAACATTTACCTAACCTAGATCTAGTAGGGCCTACTACTACTAGTTCTTTAGTGAAGAATGGATCCTCAAGGTCTAAATGTAAGTTAGTTTGAAAAAGTGCCAAGTGGACTTCGTTTTCCTAATTATATTATAGGAACAAGGTGCTACAGTACTAAAGGTAATGAACACCGCCTATCCTGCATGTACTGTAGGCGCATCGCGCAGGCCTAGGCCATATCATGCAACTGAAAGGAAAAAGGAGCAATCGTTGCCCCCTTTTCCTTCCCACAACGCCTTTCTTAGCACCATTGTGCAAAATCACCCATGCAGTATTTATTTGCGATAAGGCTTAAGCCTAGGGCAGGAAGAAAAGCTAGGCCAACATTATGAACGTTACATTATCTGGGGGCCCTCAATTAAACAGAAGTTTCACGGAAAGGCCTTACCTAAGCCAATTTCTGAAGCTCTCGTTTGGCTGGATGCTACACAAGCATTACCGAAACAAACGGTGCCGCCACGTGTGCCGTACGGCGAATTCGTTTGTGCAGTAGGGCCGTCCATCTTTGTTGTGAGTTTTCTGAGCGCCCTCAAGTGACAATCAAAAGTCAGACACCAACAAGGATGGTTTTCTATTCGGCTTCCTTTCAGCGTCGCCTAGATTTTTTTACCAAAGACTTGGATGCTGTTAGCGCAATAAATTCAGAATAGTGTAAAACCAAACGCCAAAATGCATGTCACTAATTCAAATATAACAGCATTTATATGTCATTGACTTTTAACACTGCTAGGCACAAGCTTAAAAGCGGTAATTAATTTTAAAAAAAATCTCCAATGAAACAAAGAAGTCGACTTTTGGAAAACCCGAGCAGGGTTCGTTTGTTCGTTCAAACAACCCAACACTGCTGACCATATTGATTTAGATTGTTCAACACAAAGACATTGACATTCAAGCAAAGCACAAAATAAAGGTTCATTGTATGAGCTACAACTTCATCTTTAAAAATCCCCTTCTTTGTAGGTTTTTATGTTATCGAGATTAGATATAATTTTGTCCGATATTATAACCTTCATTCGATACACAATGTAGCACATGGTTTTGATTTTTGAATCCTGTAGGATCTGGAAAGGGCGCATCCCGAACCAGATTTTTAGGGGAGCGGCATGATCGTTTGGGGGGCCAAAATTTGGAAATTTCTATGGCCTTTCTGGGGGGTGAGACGATATTTGGGGACTGTTTGGAGGGATTATTCGCTACACGCTGTCGGGAAAAGGGGTGAAAAGACCCCCCCCTAAAAAAGCTATGTTTTTCCTCCTTGGAACTCTAGGGGGAGGACCTGGCCCCATTCCCCCATCCTGATCCAACTGTGACCAGTCACTATCAATTAAGCCTTTCCCCCCTTCAAAATTCTGATTCCTTTAATTAAAGAATAATTGATTGAAACGTAGACTCTTTCTCAACATAATACAGCCCAGGCACAAAAAAAACTATCTGGGTTCGCTGTGAAACGTAGTCTCTCCCACTGGTTGCCTTCTCAGTGGTCCCTTCACCTTTGTGTGTGAAATAAAGTGAAGTGAATGAATAAACAACACGGTATGAAAAGGATGGCCTTGCGTTATTGACGAAATGCCCACCCTAGTTTCTCGAGACTGATAATTAGTAACGTTGATCCCTGCACTGGTCGGTCGGTCTGTGGTTCGGATGGGAAAATTGTGTGATATTATTAGTTCACTTGAAAAAATATATAGCTGTCTCCTGTGTTTCCTTTCTTCGTGGTCTCTTTTGCGTTACAAACTTAATACAAGTTATGTACGGCGGCCATCTTCCCGGTGAGTGTTATTGTTCCATTCGGTTAGTAAGTGACTTCGTCATACACGCGGGCGCGCCACGATTTGCAAGCTTCCATTGGGGTGCACCCTTGCAAAAAGCCCATTAATCTGTCCGCCAAGCTCATAAATAAAAGTTATAGACTCAAAATATTCTATATTAGAAGGTCCTGAGAGCCATGGAACTGAAGAATCGAAGAAATATGGCACTGAACCTCTAGGCCGGACTCGGGGCTTCCAGTTCTGAGCAATTTGGATGCAATCGGGTCCGAAAGTGGCACTATTTGAGCCATTTTGCAGAGGGCTACTTTCCGGGCAATGAAATTTCCTTCGTTTTAGGGGTGGTCTGCTTTAGGTGAGAATTTCTTAAAAATTCATTGGTCAACCCACTAAAAATTGAAAGANCATTTGTAGTGGTGCACCCTTGGACGATCGCGCTGAACTTGCGCTTTAATTTCCGGTTCCATGGTTCCATGTACGTAAACGGCGATCAATGTAAAAGTACATGTGCATGTATGTACATGCATATTAACGCTATGTGCAGTGGGCGTGATTTAAACAGAAGTAACGTCACACTTACGAACCGGATCTACGCATGAGAAGAGCTTTTGTGTTCATAATGATATCCGAAATAATTAACAACAGCACTGACCAGGAAGATGGCTGCCCTGCGTAACCTCAATTTTTATTGGACAGAGGGCGAGACGTAATAAGGTATTGAATAACTTCTGAGTCCATAAATCATCGAGGCTGGACAAAATTTTCTCCAGTTGTTTAGGGTGTCCACGAGCGAAGGTTTTCAATTTTTGTCTTGCCCACTAGGAAGGCTTGATCTGAATGGAAACCGAGTCACCAACGTATTAATCCAAATCTGACACTCCTCACAACTCGTAACTATATCGACCGGGTGCTCTCTCAACTGTTACTGGAAAAAAAAGGCTGTTCATCTTATGAACTTATAGTCTTCCGTTACCAAACTTGCTGCTGTTTACCACCACAAGGCTCATTAAGACTCTCTTACCCCCCCCCGAATAGATGTCATTTACACTGGCCCAAACCCAAACAATCCTTTCCGAACGGAGGGGGTGACAGCTTCTCCCAACAATAAGTTGTACGGTGGCACTGTCCTTTGATGACTTCAGTCTTCTTTTCGAAGACGTGCCTGGTGTATTATGACAACCCAGTAGGACACAATGTACAGAAACACTTTTCTCCGCTGCTGGCATCATGCCGGAGTGTCCCCGAGAGCGATGCTTGAGCTGAACGGGTTCAGCGGCAAAAATCCGTCCGGTAGGAGAGAAAACTCAGACCCATGCAGCCAGTTGGGATTTGGCAGCTAAATGTATTGCTTAATAATATGCCGAGTTCTTTGGGGGCAAGGGTTTGACTCTTTATTCATATAAAGGTGGGAGAGTAGCATATGGGAAAGTTGCCCGGTATAGTTAGATGTTTGCATCGCTTCTCAACCTTGTGCATCATCTTCCTCAGAACTTGTGCCGGTTTGCCTTGCATATAGCTTCATTCACCTGTGTACGGGGATCTTCAGGGACAACAGTCATACTGATGAATGGAAAGAACCGCTATTCATCCTTCGTCCAAGTAATTTCAACATTCTTCATGACAATGATAAGTGCAATTGTTTGCCCTCCATCCGTGTGATCGAGACTACGGCCATTTCGCAATTATGGCGAGAATAATTACCATTTTGTTGCCTCATCAAAGACACCGCGCGTCGCCGTTTGAATACTGACTGGGCTGCCAGGGTACGGCCTTTGCTACGTAATCGGTGAGGTACCAGTACCAGACCCTTCAGCTATTTGTAGTTGCTTGGGCTGTGTCCAGACAGTGTGGGACCGACAGATTCATTGACAGTTTGGGTTTATAGGACGGCAGATTATTCTCTCGTGGTCAGATAACTGAGGACGAGAGGAAGGCATTTATCAGGATGTTGGTTTCGCCAATATTTGTCGTATTCACCTCTTTAATTGTCACACGGGACGATCCTTCAGTAAACAAAATGATTGCGTTGGGTGTAATTTAAACGACACACATTCTGTGAAAGGATGTCTACAAGGGGAGGGGTGGTAATGATAAATTCATCAGCCCATACAGGGGATTTGTATATCGTCGTCCATGTATAGTCGATAAGTAATCATGTTTGATCCTTGTCAGTTACTGACGAAAACAGGAGCCCGTCGTTGTTCACATCGAACGCCAACATCCTGTGCAAAAGTTCCTGGACACTACTGTACAACATTTTTGTGTAAAACGTTATGTTTGGCTGGATTTTTTGGACGGGATATGCGCTTATGCTGTTGACAGTCTGTACCCGCCTCGCACGCGATCATCCCAGACGTATTTCAAGATGACATTGAAGGAAATGATCGGCATCAATATAACTGAGGACCACATTCAAGATACAAGCTCCTTTATCCCCTTTCCAACTCTCAGTTATTACACACAACTACATTAAATTTTGGGCTACCTACGTTTGGAAGTACAGTAACGTCTCGAAAGGCGAATTGATCTTTGAAACTCTGCATTTACTCAAGAATTGATTATTTCTTGAACGAATCGATGATGTTAAACGTCCTCAAGCACGTCAATTAGTTTCATTGCATGAAGTAGGTACTGCTTGGTACTCTGTCGAAGAATGGAGCGGTCGAAGTAACGAGGGGCCGTCCATTAAGTACGTACGCACGAAATGCTATACCAGGCACGAAATGGCACAATCCAATATACACACTCCAGCCTATTAATACACACCCCCCCACGTCTGAAAAGAATTCCTCAGATACCAGCATAACAATGACCAACACAGAGGGGGGGCTCTTTCTGTCCCATGGTTTGCGTCAAATGTGAAATACCGACTTTTAAGACCCCCCTGTACCTATGGGTACGCAGTGCCCCCCATACGCATTCCACAATTCCAGAGGACGCTGCCGGTCTTTGTTGATGCGGTTTTATACTAATAGTGGGCGTTGGCACAAGAGGATAAATCATGGTGACGGGGTGGATGGTGGAGGATAATGTGGTTGAATGGTTTTTCGATGCAAAAAGCTAATTTTGGTTTTTATTTGTTTTGTAAAGGTGTATTGATATGATGAAGATTCATTACAGGCAATTTTTCGGTTTGCGTATACAGTACGCACTGGCTTGAACGCCCCTCCCCCTTCGTACGTACTTCGTTGTGGACTGCCCCTTACAAGTTTAAACCACAGACGTTTGTAAGTATATGTACATGTACATGTAGTCTCGTACTTTCCTGTCAACTCCTCCCTCAGCATCGAGTATGCATCTTCAAGTGGTGAACCCAATTAAGCCTTAGTGTCTCAAGGGGCAGTTAGGGGTGCTCACATTTTGTAAAGGGGCACTGGAAGCAACTGTAAGGTGACTTGTTACCCTCTCTACAACCTTCCTCCGTGCATGCACATGGGCTGTGTACTCGTTATAGTTTCAAATGGGGGGAGGGGGGCGTGGTGAACTGAGCACGGCAGAAGTCCTTCCCTCCCTGTTACGCCACTGCCCAGCCTTACTACGTTTCATTGCTTGAAGTGACCTCTGTTGGAGCTGATCTTGGATGATATATACCTCAGGGAAACAGAAATTTATCAATATTACAGAATTATTCACTTTTATTCATATTGATAGAACGTGGACGTGCAGTGACGATAGGCTGTGTAACGGGAGCTCTAATAGCGCGGATTATTATAAAAGCGGCCAAGACGGTTCTAAGTCCTTTCCATTGCTCCATTCGTAATAGACTGTATTCATTTGTCTGCCATCTTGAACTGAAAGTAAGATTAACTTTTCATTTTGAGAAAAACAACAGCAACGAAATAAAACTTTATTACAGACTCATGCCAGTTTACACTTAGAATGATTTCAAGTTTGCGATAAATAATATCTAAGTGCTTCAAGCCATATTTAAAAAAAATTGAAAGTGAGGCCCAGAACCCAAAGTAGTCTGGCACAATCTTATTTAACAGATTACATCGAATGTGGTAGATTCAGGGAACACGATTAAAAACGGCTTCCCATGAATTAAGTCTATTACCAACGTGGTGCACGGTCAGTATTTCTAATGAACGAGTTACCGTTTCTTCAAAATGGATTCACCCTTTTTTTCTCTTTTTTTATTAGTGGGGACACCTGGGGGAGGGGGCACCGGGACTTTATGGGGGGCACTTCCCCGGCCCCCGTGGCAACGCTCCTGGGTTTAGGGTCATTTGGGAGTTTTGCCAGTGTTGACGACACAGGTCCGTGCCGACGGCCGCAAGATGATGATAATCCTGGTCATCCCCACAGTGACATCAAGGACGATGGTGACATATTGACTTTGTTTGCCCATTTCAAAATAATCTCGAACAACCGTGGATTAAAAAGAGAAGGCAATTGGCTGATGGCGGAGTTATCGGCATATCATGCATTAGGATGGACAGATCGCGTGAAGATCGAACTCTCGCATACCGATTGCACGAGTGCGCCCAGCATTGTTATCACCGTCAAAGGAGTAATTCTCAAATGTGTAATCATTTGAAATTTCCATCACGTTGAACAGTATCCGTCTTTGCAGTGCACGGCCAACCTCTACTTTTCAGCTATCAACCATTATTCCCACCCCAAGCTGAGTTTTGTTGTGTTACCACCATAAACATTAGTATCTGTTATATTCGCTGCTATCTGGAAGCCACAACGTTATACGAAAATGTTTGCGTAATTACATAAGGCAAGGAGAGAGTCCCAGCATAAAGCATCGGCGGGGCACTACGTTGATTTCAACCCGTTTGCTCATCCTGGTAACAACAAAGATTGCCAGAATTCCACAGTTGTCTAGTGACCGGAGTCGCCGACTGAAAGCGGCCGTTCGGCTATGTGGTTAGAGTTTACTAGGGGTTCATTTTCTGCCTGAAGAATTTCCGCTGCTGGAGAATCCACCATTTTGGAATCAAAGATTAGGCCCTCGATGGGTGGAGCTTCAACGATGAAAATGGCAAAGGTTTGTCAGCGTTTCTGCCTTGACTGATAACTCGTATTCAACGGTTGATGGAAAACTGGAGTCGGATCATTGTGCGTGGTACTTTGGAAATGGTGTTTCCTCAACCATCTCTAAAGTGGATTTTCCCCTCTATTCACACAGACTGACTTCTTAACCCGCATTCTGTCAGCGAAAGGAGCGGAAACACAAGACGGGCCTTTGTTGCGGCAACAGATTAATCAGTATTGGGAAGCTGAGAGATCTGGTATCCCGAGTAATTTAGTCTATGGATTCCACTGTTACGATGTGCAATGAGGCGATGGAATAGCCCTAATCGGATTTGACAGGAAATTATCAGGTTGTTGAAAAATTCACAACTCAGCGTTTTCCATCCTTCGGTTGAAGTGTATGTTATTTCAGCTTCGTTATGCAAAGCAAACATGGCAGTAAGCAAAGTCACTGGTTTCTGTTTATAGTTTTGTTTTTTCTCTGCTATCACTTATGGACACGCTTGACAGTAACAATGCTTTCTTGAGCTCTGCGCAAGTGTCTCTTATACGTCTAACAAAGTAAGCTAGGAGCACCTTTCTGGATTAGAAGCACGCCCTGAGTAATTCGCCACAGGGCCTCCTCGCTCTATCGCAATCTCCGCTGCTGAAGTGAAGGGGAATAATTGGACAGAGACCTTCCTTTTCAAGCTGTCTTAAAAGCCGCCTTTAGTCATTCGGGGGGCCACTTCAATACCCTTCTTTTTCATTCAATTTGCATGCACTCGTCAGCTTGGGTCGGTGCGATAGTACCTTTTGGACTAGCTATACTGCTGTGCCCATTGCCGAGGAAAAGACAAGAACAAGAAGAGCCGATTACGTATTGGCGTGGATCGATCGTACAGCTTAGGTGACTACCTCCATGACCCAGGGAGCTTGAACCTGCCTAACACGATTGCACGATCAGAGCTGAGGCTAGGAGTAGGAATATTATCAGCCAACTATCAAATCGCAAAATGATACTGAAGGTTTTGCTGCTGGCGTTGACCGTGAGCGCTGGGGTGTTGGCCGAGACTCGGTGCCCAGATGGGTACTGGCGGTCCGGTGACGGCACGCAGTGCTTGCGTGCCGTCAACGACGCCATGACGCTATCAGACGCCGAGGCCTACTGCGCCAGTCAGGCCGTACCAGGCCAGCTCTTCCTACCCATGGCCAGAAACTCCGGTATTCTCAAGGAATTTGCGGACAGTACGTTCCTGGCGAATACCTCTCTGTGGGATCGGTACTGGGTGGGGCTAACCAAGGACTTGTCCGACGCTTGGCAGAGAAATGTCGTGGACGGTCAAGCTGGAGGGCCGTACTGCGTGGCACTGGACTATCGTCGTCCCATCAACGCTCACCAGGTGTCTTTTTACGGCTACGAGAGCCCTACATGCCGAAGCGACGTCAAGTTACCTGCAATCTGCTCTGCCGAACCGAGTGCGGGGATCCAAGAGATTCAAAATCCGGAGGCCGTTAATGGGGCCGTGGAGGAGTGCTCATGTCCGGAGTGCCCCGTGCCTGCCTGCCCGGAGGTGCAGTGCCCAGCAATCGAGCCATGCCAGAATGACATCCCCCCACCCACTCCCGTTGTTGAGTGTCCCCCGACCTGGTTCACCCGCCGGGGGTTCTGCTACCACTTCCTGATCGCCAGCAAGACGTGGGAGGAGGCCTCGCTCAGCTGCCAGAAAGATAGCGCTGAGCTGGTCACCATCAAGGACAAGGCCGAGAACGACTACCTAGCACAGATCAGCGATGAGCTCTCGGAGGCGTCGCCCACCATGCGCCGGTATTGGATCGGTTTGAACGACCGCGATGAGGAGGGGCAGATGAGATGGATCAGTGGCGAGCCCGTGAGTTTCATCGCATGGGGACCGCGACAGCCTAGCATCCACAAGAGACGCCGCTACGACGAGAACTGCGTAGTCATTAATAGCCAGCTTCCGGGTTTGTGGGATGACATCTCCTGCTGGCGTCGTCATCCATACATCTGCAAAAAGGCTGCTCATCTTCTGAAAGAATAACTAATTAAATTAACATTAAAACATGCACTTTTTATGTAGGCTGCGTACTTGAATTCGTCCAGGTTCAGTTCTATCTGGCAGCATTTTTACAAAGTTAATGATGATTGTTAACTTTCACGTCAATACGCATCTCTGTGTGATTTCTTAACATTTTCCCAGAGAAGTTGGGATTCATCAGTGAGATAGAAATGTATCCACTATAGGGACGTACCAATATGTACATGTATAAGTCACTGGGACTAGTTTGTATAGTGCAGGTCTGGAACTATGGTGTATAATTCGTCTCGGGAGTGAAGCCTTTCAATTTGAGGTTCCATGATGTGACCAGTTAATTTTCTTTTAAAGGCTGAACGCTGTTGATATCAGTGGTCACAATTCTCTATACACCTGAGCATTTTAATACAATACTAGTATACAAAGTGGTGGTTGCCGCAATGGCTAGGGCTTATAATATATGCATGGACTTTCCCGCGAGATAGAATTTGCAGTTTTATGGATAGACAGCCACAGCGATCGAAGCACGCACTGGGGCTTTCGTAAAAGGAATAACGATAACACTGTTTGTCTAAACTAGAATTAGCCGCTTATAAATGTCACCAAATCAAATGTTGGTCAGATATGTTAGGCCTTGATTAGAGTTTCTGGCACAGATTATATCTCAGAAAATGCTTCAAGGACCAAGCAACATGGGTGGTCCAGCAATCCATGCACGACCTTCAGTTAAACTGCTTATTTTAACACCTACGGCCACTTTACTCCGAAACGGGGATTCATGCTTTGGATGGACGCAATCAATTTGATTACCTGACACCACTCACTGACGATTTCTGACTGCTGTCAATTTGAAATTGCTGCTGGTTTCAAGGGAATCATTGCCAGACCAGTCGAGATTCATTCCAAAATAGCACCTTTAGGCAACAAAAAAAGTAAATTTTCTTTGGATGTTCACGTTTGTATGGCCCTTCCCACTGCACCGTGTTGTTTGACTAACTTAACTAAAGCTCTTTTTATGTACTTCATTATTCAATTTTCTATTGGGAACAATTTTGAACTAATCATGGACGCATAAATTCTGCTACATTGACGTAAATGTTAAAAGGACGTTGCGCTGTTCCATGATAATTCAATTTTGAAAGTATTTCAAACGTCTGTGTTTTCTTTTGCACAATGAGAAGGAAAATTAATTTGTACTATATACAACCTTTTTAAGTATACGTAAAATTTTCAATGCAGTGTAATCAAAAACTTGTAATTAATTTTGAATTAATCCACAAATTAAAAAATAAAGTAGAACTCTGCATCTTTCTGAAGTTCTTGCACTCCGTTGATAAGTAAGTAATTTTTTGTGAATAATATTACTTAGATTGTTTAAACTGCACGCCTCACACAAGTTTAACAGATAATCACTCTGCAATCCCTATTATGATAATGGTTACATAAGAAATGTCAAATCTTTCCAATCAGCTCGTGCCTCATTTTGCTAGTCTTATCGGACGCATGGTTATACGTGTGAATGTGTCGCCATGATGGTAGAATAGATTGCTGTCCTGTCATTTCCTAGGTTCAGTCAATAAGATTGATTGACGTGTATGATAACAGAAGGACCCCGTCAATCCCTCAAGATTTTGCTAATTTGGCCCCATGATGATCCTCCGTCTTTTTCTTTTTAAATCACAGTATCAGTCCTTAAACTTTGGTGTATTGAGGATGCATTCCGAACCAATGTGCCCCTCTCCGTTCCATTACACGGCAGGAAAAATGAGTAGGGCGACCACCACAAACCTATAACTCACACAATCCAGGGCCTCCTTTTGGGAAAATGACAGTACATGTATAGTCAACTCATTGACATCATGAGCCTTGCCAGCTGTGCCGGGCCGTGGAAGAAACTAAATGTGGTCGCCTGCTGAAAAGCCTGGTGTATCATACATTTTCAGACTGTAAAATTAATATTCTGAGGTATAGATTCTTTCGCTATTTTTGGTAAAGTTACTGTAACTATGTTTTTGAATCACTTCCTTTCACAACACTTCCTTGCGTATTTTCAGCTTGTCTACAAATTCGAAGCGCCTTTTCGTTCGTGAAAAAAAGAGATGCAACACCAAATACGGCTCTTCAAAAAATGTGCTCCGGCCGAAACTTTACCCCCGTCTTCAACAACGGTCCACGTTTGGTTTTAAATTTTTGCTGTGTTTAACTGATTTATGAGCATGTTTTCAAATTTCAGTCGCGGCTTACACCGGAGAGGAGTGGAAGCAGCCGTTTTATCTCCACGCAAGGCACCTGCTTTCAGTTTTTACCTGTAACCAGCGTGCCAGAATGGAGTACAATAAAAAAGGTGCATTGCTAAAATGGCTGATGGTTGGTTGACGAGGCTGCATCTATGCATGGAGAGACCACATCTTTTCTATATATAAAACGGAAAGCGATGAGTGGATGGTTAGAATGGACTCAGCAAAGTTGATGAACGACCAAGGAAGATAAATGGGAGGGGATTATCTTTTTCAGGAATTGTTCGGCGTTTGCCGATCTCTCCTTTTCCCTGATTGAAAGCAGCCCCTCAAGATCCCAGATTCATTTGCATGCCAAAGAAGTGCGAGGGACTTGTTGGACGAATAGCTGAGGTAAAGAATGGTAGTCTCTCTGTTAACAGAGTGACGGGAAATGAGTATTATCTGGGGTGTCAGACTGCAATGATGCAACCCCTCTCGACTGGGAGACCACCCTTTTTGCAAGGTTTTGTGGTGTTGTGTACACAGGCAATACAGAGTGGCTGGATATTGTGGGCTTTATTTTTTTTCGAGTAGTAGTGGCGATGATGTAAAACTTTTTGCAATTCCAAAAAGGGGAATGCGAGAGTGGTTTCAACAAGAATGCGACATTGGGTGGCGCCAGTTGCGTAACTCAAGGGCACGAGGATTACGTCCGAGCCCCCCCCCCCCGCATCCCCCATCCCTACAATTCCAATTTTGAACTGTACACTATGTATGTGCAAGCTACAGTTTGCTTTCAGTTACATATAAAGCAAACTTTGGGACAGAGAGAACCCCGCCCCCCGCCTTTGTTTTGGTCATTTATATACTGGTATCTCATGAATTGTTTTCAGACATATAGGCCCTTTCTAAGGGAAAGTGTTAAGTGACAATATAGGCTTGAGTGAGTATAGGGATTGGACTTATTGGGGGGCGTACCCCTCTGTCCCATTTCGTGCCTGGTATATTCAGTTTCCCCGGGGGAGCACCCCTCATAAATTTACGCCTTTAGTTGCGCAACGGCGCAGCTGATAGAAATTTCATGTAACATAATGGGAGGGTTTTCACTACTACATTAATTTCTATGCTCGATCAGTTTGGCAAAAACCAGTCCTGATCAGTTCGGTCTGAGAGTGCAGGAAAGGTCGTGTCACCGCTTATTCCAGCAGTCAAACGTTCGTCGTTTCAGTGGCGTTAATCCATGCTGGTGAGTAAGGAAAAGGAAGGATGCATGAAAAGATCAGGAAATTATCCGGGCGGATCATGACCACGTAAGAAGGGTGGCGCTGTTCATGACAAAGGTTTTCTTTCTTTTCTTTTCTGTCTGTTTTTTTAATCTAAATAAGAAACACACAATTTAGTTTCAGCTCCACCCAAAAGTGTTGTGTAGGGAATGGGGGGGGGGAGATCAAAAAGTCTCCCCCAACAACAAAAGTGGGGGATACCTCAACCACTCCCCGCGATTTAGGCCCATGCTCTTCAGTATCCTCTCTTAGATTTTTCTGCGCCTGAGCCTTGTGTATCCTTGCCTACGCTTCAGTGAAGTGAGTGAATTTATAAAGATATGATTATCTCCCAGTGAAATGAAGGTTGGAGAGAAACTCTCGACTTTAACGGTACACGCAACTGATGTGCCCTTTCTGTTTTGAACACAACTGTAGTGCGTCTTTTTTTTCTGCAGTTCCGTCTGTTTACTTGATCCCTCTTTTGTCGCCGGAAAAAATCGATCTGGGATTTGAGGAACAAAAGGTAAGTCTATACTCCGTTTTCGAACGATGTAAAATGTTTTGTAGTATTCTTATGAAGCGTTACGTACGTAGACAATGGTGGCCGGCAAATTCGGAAGCGCGAGGGTTGATGACCTGTTGACAGTGGCGTAGCCAGGGAGGGGGGGGTCGGGGGAAAGTGCCCCCACAAATTTCCAGATCCCCCACAGAAAAGAACAACGGATGAATGGATATTGAACAAGGCTGACAAAAACTTGCTCCAAAAAGCCACACCACTGAAAGCTGGCGCCCCCAATAAAATGCTGGTTTGTTCCCCCCCCCCCTTGAAATCCTAGCTACGCCACTGCCCATTGACTGGAACTGCCTGCGGAGTTTGTGTTGATGAATATGTTGAATGCAAAACTACCATTGTAATCGAGAGGGACATGACAATGTGACCTCACTCAACGAAATACATCTCGAGATGCCTGAGCCACCAGTGTAACAAACTGCTTCACCCGTATTATGTTTCGGCATGCAAGGAGGCTCGGAAAGTTTTGTCGATCTTTGTTTTGTGATAGTGAGCCCTCGTGCAACATTTACCTCGCATTTCTGAAATAGAAATTCTCAGCTCCCCGTATTTGCACCACTGGCAACGCAATATCTGAGTATGTTGGTCTGCAAAGAGTGTGAATGCAGACTAATTTCCATTTCGGCCTACACGACCAAAATCTGTATAATAAACTCAACAGTCCCACACGTTCAAGACAAACATGAAGTAAGGTTTGATTCATAACCTTTCACATGCTGTTCGGTTTTGAAGGGGAGGTTTCTGCGACCTTTCGGTGAAAGTCTTAAGGTAGTCCAGAGACCCCTCGCTATTTTGAGAAGGAGAACGTTGGATCTCTGTACATGCACCATCGATTGCGGCGTATATCAGAACCAGGGGGTTGCAACTTGTGATTGGTCGGCGTAAGCCACTGCCTGCATGTCATCGTCCCTCTATTCAACAGAGGGCGTGCTTCGAGTAGTCAATGGGAATAATTGTTTCAGTCCGTTTTTGTCTAAAACAATGATAACCAAACTTTATAAAAACCAATGTTCACTGTACAGTTGTGTTAATTTAAACTGTGGTTTGTTCGCATTCTATATTTTTTTGTTTGGTTGGTTTTGTTAAAACGCCTCGGATTTGAAGGCGTTCAAACACCTTTCTGAACGAAAGTTCGAGTTAATATGATACTAGATCTACACAAAAGGCTAGTAGTAATTCAGTCACAGCTGACTATTGAAGATAAATGTATGGGTCGCAGTAGTACCTAGTGGAGACATAAGCGGAAATTTAACCACATGAGCTTTAATCCAGAAGCTCATTCATACTAGCTGCATGTACTTGAGTTGTTAACCTGTCAACAGCATGAAAGATAAAGAACGGTTACGGACGAATGGACTTGTTGAAGTCTAGTTTTCGCTTTGCAACATCCTAAAAGTCGTTTAAGGGCGCTGCCCCCTGGATGGAGTTGTTGAGTTGAAAGGGTTTCGTGCATGAGTGCAGTAGACCAATATAGAATCACGTACGGGCCTTTCACTGACAAGACAACTTCCATGGCTGCGGCATGAATGGTGATGAACTATCTGTGATTCCGGTTCGTGGTCTGGCTCAGAGAGCACCGTGCACCGCCATCTATCCTCCCGTACCATAGGGCCCGACACAGCTCTCTGCCGCTGCCGCGGTCGACCGGTCGGCACTGTCGCGGTCACTCCACCCATGGAGGAATAAAACACCGGAGGTAAACCAGACATTCCATGAGTATGGGGTGTTGTTTACGTTACATTGGGTTTAACATAGGATGTTCTTTTTTTATTATTGTTTATTATTCATTTGTAGCTAGCATAGTTCATTGTCCAACACTCCGGACAAAACTATCGTCCATGGAATCATGGTGGAATTTATAAACCTTTGCTTGAGTAAAGGTTGAATTCCATGTCAAAACAATTAACTGAATAGCCTCTGTAAAATGTTTTACCATGGCTTTACTAGTACCAGGAGGAATTCCTATGGTCGAATGCCAGATGACAGACAAGGCCCTAATATTGTAATGTCCGTCGTGATGTATAATCGGAGTCTGTAGACGGGGGGGGCATGTTGGTCAAGGTTGGTTTAATTCCCCCCCCCCCCCGTCGACTAGATCGCCCGGCCGCGTAGCCGAAATGTGTACAGTTATATTTGTGTACACACTAAATATGTGTACCCCCCTGCATGTACATGTACTGTACATCATGTAATCGCTTGTCTGTCCTTCCTCCACGCCTGAAGCATGCTTGAATTTAAAGGATACTGTTGACAAAAGTGATAAAGGCCGGTACATGTATCCCAAGGTTTTGGTGTTCAAAGTCACAGCATGGAGGAAGGAATAGACACGACGAGGATCGGCAATGTCAATGTAGGAAGTCGAAACCTAAATTTTCTATTTCGACGGTGATAAAAGGAAACTTGCACAGTTTAGAATCATTTGGAATTTAGCTTGCCAGTACATCTACATTACAAAAGTTTTGACAATATGTAATTGCGGCAGAAAGAATTTTACTAAATCTTCGTTGATGGACGTAACTTGAGGAAAATGTGACATGAAAGCGGACCTACAGCGTGGAACAATCAATTAACCACCGTCCCACACCGTGACTTTGACCTTGGAGGATAAGTCAATCATTCAGATTTCCAGTCAAAGTCAGATGACATCATCTGGATATTGGTTTAGAAATATAATGTAATTGCATATCCATGAATGGTACTTTGAAGAAAACCTCTTCCGTTTTAACAATGTAAATACCATTTCTTTAAAAGACATGCACATACGCTCAAATCTGGTTTGTGTATGATGTCTCATCATCCATTTGCCTACTGCAATGATGCAATCTAAATTATCAAACCAGTTGTGGAGTCGATCGACTGAGTGATAAATAATCCTGACTGTTTGCCATTATTGTGTACTCGTTTCTCTTCAGAGTGAGTTATTGTAGCTTGAATAAGCAAACATGTTTAATCCTATGTCTATTCCTTCCAGATTGCAGCCCACATCGCTGACGCGATGCTTGACACTGATCTAACAGTGGAATAACTTGTATCAGGCATACTGCTAGTGCTACTCTGATGACCCATACCAGCGGGTGATTTGACCTTAACGGCCCCGCAGGCTTGGCCCAAACTTGAGCACGCTCGATCCACGAACCTTCTTGCTCCATATGGAAATTGGATGATAAACGAAGGCACGCATTCCTGGCGCGCAACACCATGGGGAACGCACAGAACCGTTTTACGACCGTAGACAAGGTACTTCTGAAGTGTGAACCGGGGGATTTAATCGAAATTCTGCACCCGCATTCCACTTTTAATCACTGGGCGGTTTACGTCGGTGAGGGCGCTGTCATCCATGTGCGGCAGCCCTGGATCAGGCGGGAGTCCCTCCACAACGCCGCTGGGCTGGATCGTGAGAACTACTGCGCGAAACTTGTTCGGATCAACAATTACAAGCACATAAGGGTCTTGAAACTGGCGCCCCAGTCGGCTCAGAAAATCGTGGAGTCGGCCAACGAACAGCTGGGACTGGAGTGGTACAACATGCAGTTATACGGATGCGAAATGTTTGCCGTCAGGTGCCGTTTCGGGCTGAAAGTAGACATCCGGAACGAGTTTTACAAGTCGACTGAAATCAGAAGGCCGTCTGAGTCGACGGTAGCGCTGTCCAACCCTCTCGTCACCTATGGACACCAGCAACATGAATTTTGATTCTTAACAATATTTTTTATCGAGTGGCCTGTGTTAAATTTAATTATCTGCGAAGAAATGAGAATGACGAGAGCAATGGCAGCTCACGGGACCCAAACTGTATGCTGAAAATAGTTTGTTAGTGCCACAATAAGGATACATAATGTTGCTTTATGTTTTAAACTTTTAATTCAACAAATAGAAACAGACCTTTATGTTTTTTTTAATCGACAGCGAACCTCAATACACAAATTAGTTATAACCATGCATGCAGGAGAAAGACACATACATACCTATAGCCAATTTTCCCGTGCTCCAAAGCAAAATAAGCGGAAATTTCGAAGCCTTCAATCTCCATTTCTTGCATTTTGAAATGAAGGGTATAAACAGTACATTTTTTTGGATGCTTTCGGTTTCCAAAGTACGTTCATGTTGTTTAATTACCAGATAACTACGTGCATGGCCTTTCGCAACCGCAGTGCTCTGCAGTAACGGATTATGTTTAATATGAATCTCGTCACGAATATGCGCGCGCCTCCATCCAACGTAATGTCCCCACAATAGGCCAACTCGTCAATGTCAGTTTTTATGGTGGATATAAATGACATAAAATATTTATAACTTTTGAAATACATGCAGTGGTACACTAAGTGCGTTTTTTGTCAATCAGTTTGATGGAAATTGCATAACACGTGTTAATCTGTGCCTTTTATGTGTTTTGGGAAATTTTATAGTACATTCAAATGTAGATTTCCAGTCTTAAATCGTTTACTTGTAGTTTTAAAAGTCAACTTGCCCGTCCTCAAATTTCAAGAAAAATTCAAAGCCGCTACACGTACATGTCTGAGATATTTTTGGAAGGTTCTGATCAGGAAGGGGGGTTCAACACGTCTGAAGGTTAGAAGACCCCCCCCCATAAAAGCGTAAACTACATGTACTTCGGCCTTTGTGTGTCAAGTCGGTTAGGGACAATTCCAAGGAGTCCTTCCTCCATGGCATTACCAAGGGCGACAACTACATGCAGTAAACTTCCCAACCCAGGGAAAAGAATCGTGGACCCGCTCCTGGTTATGCCATATTTCTTTTTTTAAAATTTCAGATTTAAACCAGTCTGTTGTCCAATGCATGTGAAGTTTCAGCACGCGTATCAAGTAACTTGTCGTGGTCGTCAAGTTTTTTAAACATAAAATTTGCGTTATTTGTTCTGCATCAGTTTGCCGGTCGCCGGTCCTATCGTCAAATCCGCTTCAAAACAATCAGACTGAATGATGCTTAACCACCGATATACGTACAATATCCAATTGCATGTACATGTATTCAACTGTACATGTATACTGGCATGCAATGAATCATGTAATTTTCCGTGGACTCAACAACTTGCATCATTTCCTGATGACCAATGTACAATACTGGCGTGTGACTTATCCTCAAGAGTCCCAACCTTCTTCAGTCTACGGCCGACATTTTCTTATTTCTCTGCAGCTTGTAGGCCTGCCTGTTGCAGTCGAACGTCGGTACGATGACGGTGTACTGCGCAACTATAAGAGGTACATGTATATGCATGTACATACTGCGGACAGATAAGTTGGGAAACGGACCGGTGTTGAGGCCGTGTGCGGTTGCCATTTTGCAGGGCATCTGTTCTGTTCCAGAGGGAAATCTCCTTGCGCATAGAACAAAGGAACCGACATGTAAGATAGTAGCCATGCAAACCCCCTATAGAGGGTAATGGGGTTTGGCAAGTTTAAGAAGTTACAAATACATTACATGAACAAAACTTCCTGTATGACTCGCCTGTTTTTTTTTTTTTTTTTACAATTTTAATACATTGTATTTCTTTTAACCAAACCACACAAATAAGGAGTTAAACCTTACAATTCCAAGTTCCCCGTTTGAAAATGAAAAACAGAATGCCCAAAATATTTTTGAGTTACCCAATTTGGTATTAGAACTACGTGTAAATGCATTTTTACAGTTTGAAAGGAGCGCGAGGGGGGCAGATGCATCTGTGTACCCTGGACAATGTTAACAGACACAATCCTCACTTTAGTGGAATAGTTACAACATTAAAACCTCCACTTCAAGTAATGACACACTTTAAAACAGCAACCGCTGTTTAAAAGCAAGTGCATGTCATGTTCACAGGATTACAGAACTGCAGCAAATCCGACCTAAATATGGTGCTGCGGCAGCATCTGACCACAAAATTGTAGGTACATGTACTCAGTGAAATGTTGCGACATGGATGTGTACATATATTTCATGTTCATACATTAAAATTGTGCCTTGGTAGAATGGTCCTTGGTCACTTCTTCAAATGGCTCAAAATGAGCGCTTACATGACTAAGCTAAAGGCAACATTTTATCTATAGTACATTAACACAAAGAATTATAAACTGCAGCTATTCTGCGCAATTTCAAGATGAAATTAGATGCAACACTTCGATATGTGCAACTGAAACCTCAAGAACACTGTACATGTACATGGATAATGAGAGTACAATGCTTCACTCACAATGCGGTTTAAAGTAGGAATTATTTACAACTGTCATATGAGGAGAACCACGTTAAGGAAATAAACACAGAAAAAAACAATCTCATTTAAATAATTATTAACTCAGCGATGGTATTAGAATAATAGAAATCATGTCGACAACTGAAGAAATAATTTGAGTGCTGGGGCAGAAAAAGGGGGTGCAAGCTTGGCATATAAAGCCTCAATCCTCTACTGATCTGAAAGTGGATTAAGACCACACATACACTTCAAAACTAAGAACTCACGACTACAGCAATGGCAAAAAGCATATTTACAGACTGACAAACCACATAGACGGCCAAAGTTACTTCTGTAAAATCTTCAGCTCTCCCTTGACCTTATAAACTTCGGCCATCAAGTCTTGAAGGTATTTGATCTCTCGTGTGAGAGATTCAACCTTATCCTTGAGCTCTTTATTCTTCCCGTCTAGTTCCAATTGCTCTTTCATCAGGACGTCAGCCTCCAGGCGCTTTTTCTGGCGATACCTGGTGGCGGCGACCTTATTCTGATCCCGTTTCTTGCTCTTCTTAATCACAGGATCATTGACAGTCCTGAGCTTCGGCTTTGCCCGCGCCTTCTTCCGAAGGGTGCACTGCCTACTCTTCCGCTCTTCTTCCTCTTCTGCCGAGGACTGTGGGGAAGCAGGACTAGACTCGGGGCCTGACTGGGGGCTGAGGAGCTCACTCTGGTCAATCTCGGGTAGAAAAATGGTCGTCAGTCCTTCAGCTATTTGCCACAGCTGCTTTTCGGCCGATGGTGGATCAGCCTTCGGACTGGGTGGCTCCATGCTGCTGGAAGGTGAGGATGGGGACATGGGGGACTCGGGGGAATACAGGCATCCTGCTGGAGACAGGGCCAGAAGATCCGGAGCCTGCTGCTCACCTGGAGATGGAGGTTGCGGGGGGATGCGATCATCCACCATCAAAGTTTGCAGCAGTTCCTCTGCTGGCTCAATGGATGCTCCCTTGGGGATTGACAAGGGGACAGTAGTCAGCAGGTCAGATGGCATGATGTCTGCTGCATCGATCCATTGAGTCAATGAGATCTTCTCGGACATCCATTCAGGAAGTTCTTCAGACAGGGAATCCCCTATAAAAGGTAGAACAAAGGGGACAGTAGTTTTTAAGTACAAATTGCAACAATGATTTTACACCTGAGCAAATTTATTCTTAGTTTTTCCCCTTCATTGATCATGGTCAATACTGTGTGATCACATGGCCTCAACATTTGCTTCACTGCAATTACTGTGGACAATATCAGTGATGTCAAACAAATCTATGTCAATGTTCAACGTCACAACAAACTAACACACCTTCTGAATGTTGTCCACTGATTTCCTCCAGCAAATCATCAGCAAGGTTGCCTGTAGATCCCCCAAAGTCCGAAGACCCTTCATCCTTGAGGAAATCAACTTGCCCTGCAGCCCAGAGGCTGCTGGGCTCCTCGCTCAAGAGCGAGGCCATCGTATCGAATTCCATGCTGTAGAGAGCCATCTTTTCTTCCTTGGTGGATTACTTGATGATAAAATGATTGTGGGAATAAGGAAAATTCTCGAGCCAACCCAATAAGGGTGCTGTTGTGGGTGTGCGACGCAAACAGACTGAAACAGACAAAAATGTAGCATGTAATCAGGCCTAGGTCAAATTAAATCTGTCATGGAACTCTGGGATCCCTGCCGGGATTCAAATATCACGTTAGCAATCTTTACTTTGAGGACCACAATCCTATGTAACCATTTGGCATCAAGAATCGCCTCAAGTACAAAAAATATACATTTTGTTTTGTCACTGTCCTCCACAAAACCACAAATATGCCTTAGCCATTGTTAGTGTAAAACTGGGTCCCACACCAATATTGCTGTTTCCAGTAATGGGCCAGCATAAGCTCAAAAATCACTCCCAATCTGCACAAAGGCATGAGCTACACATACATTTAACGGTAGGGCAGACTGGCCCATCTGCATGAAATCTCCAATTTTAATTTCCTTTTTAAACAATCTTTCACACCCATGAACTGCAAAGTGCAGGCTACCAGCAGATGCAGAATTATCAACAAATCATGTTACAAGACTGAGTGACCCCACAAAGATTGATCTGTATTCTCGCATGTATCAACCGATTGCAGGCCAAGGGCCTATGCCGAATTCATACCATATCATGTGTACGGCTCGTCACACTGTTATTACTAGATCAGGCATGTCAGGACAATGATCAATGTAAGCAATATCCCCATTCACCCCCATTCACCAATTAGCCCCCCCCCCCGACAGCTCTGTTAGTACTGGTAGTGGCAGCAAGTAACACTTGAACATGCACCCATCAAAATAAGGCAGACCACCGTTTATCCATATTTTCAACTTCACGTTTAAGGCCAGGCACGCCGCCATGTCCACCTCCGTCACAATTAGAATTACTTAGGGCTAGGCCTAGGGCCTAACATTCATGACATTAGGCCCCCCTCCTGCTTATCAACCAACCTATGCATGCCCAGATGTTTGAGCTTCCCTAGCCCTAGGACTTCTTATGGCCCTTGGACCAGTTTAATTGGGCTTTGGCACACGAGCCAGTCCGCAAGTCAAACTCAAACTGTGAGTGTGAGGCTGTTCACACGCGCGCTGCAATGTCAATGATGCATGTAGGCCTGCATGTACTGTACATGTATATGGGCACGTGAGCTCAAGGAAAGAGCCGGTCGGCTAAACACGACAGGCCTAGCCTATTTTGACCAAAACGAACACCAAAAACAACTGATAAAAACTGAAATCAATTCATTTTATGTACTCACGCCATGATTATTGTTGTCTGGTGCAATCCTAACGGATATGCACGGTGCTTGAGTGTGCAGTTAATCGCTACAAAGCCATTTTGACGCGTTTTCTTCGTCGTTTTCTGGGAACAGATTTCGCTTGTTGTCTCATCTCTTGCACAAAAATGGAATGGCACTATTATGTTACACCTGCACCTGATTAATTGCGCGCAAGTACAGTGCCGTCTCACACTCCGTATGCACCCACGTGACCAACCGTACTTGGCCTTCATCGCCTGTTCATAATGATGTCATTATATTCATCCGCACTTGGAAGCTATTATTTCTGACATTGGTCAGCATAATTTTGACGAAAGTGACAATTTATCAACTACAGAATGAGAAGTATAATTTGAAAGACACTTCCATGTAGCTTCTTCTGAAAAATGAATTTTGTTCCTGTTTGAGCGCTACTTTTTGCGGATGAATCTCAGTGGTTCTGGGTTATTCGGTTCTTACAACGTCAGCGAAATTGCATCAGAAAGTGTCCTCGCTTATGCGAGCTTTGTTCAATCTTAATTCTGATTGGGCAGCAGGAGAATGTTCACGTGAATAGTCTTCCTTGATTGGTGTACAAAATAAACGACGTCATTTTTATCGTGCTATCTATTTTTAAGCAGCACGGGCAAATGAGGACAGTTCGGAGACCCTATGTTCGGATGTAAAACAAAGGAAGGGTAACAAATGACGTTCAAATGAACAAGCGCAGCTCGGCTTTATGGGACCATAGACCTGGCATGCCTGGGGGGAAAAGGTAAATGTTGAGACGGGGAGCCCTTGATGGGGGGAGGGGGGGTGCCGGGGGAAAACATGCGCAGGCAAATCGCAGTAAAAATAAGGCGAAGCATGGAGGAATAAAAACAGGTGAAGTAAAAGAAATATTTTTGAAGTCTTTCCCCCATCCTTATTTTAAGGCTGCCGATGATTTTTAATTCTGAATACATGTACACTGTAGAATAAAACTTAGTGTTCGACGGGACTTCTCACTTTCGGACTCTATACTAAGACTGGACTTCACAGTTTTCAACAGTGGTGCCTTGCCATTTGGCAGGAGAGTCGTCACCGAGTGCCAAGCGCACTGGGCATCATCATCGACCAGCCAAATAATTATAAGAGCGTCCGGATTACTTGTCAACACTTGCAAATGGCACACACGCGCTCAGTTAGAAGTGGTTATTTTTTAATTCTTTGAAATGGTGCTAAAGCCGTGTAGATGAATTCAAGTTTTGAACCAAACATGTCTCTTCCGTTTTTGAGTCCTTTTACAGTGGAAACACTAACCGACAGTGATGGGAGATTTTAAGAACTGCGGTCAGTTTAAACGGCAGCCATCTTAGAAATCAGATTTGAAATTAAAAATTGAGTTCTAACGATAGAAATTCTCCACACGTGAATATGGAATTGACTTAATGAATTTTGGATACACCCAGAATAACGAACTCGAATATCCTGTCTTTGTCAGAGCGGAGTTTTCGTGTTAAACTTTTGTTTTACATAACTGTATTTTCCCAAAGTTTCATTTTTAACAAAGAATCTTTTCTTTCTTTTAAGAAAAAACAAGTTTTTGCTTTTAACCAGTTTAGCGTGTCATTAACTAATACTTGTTAAACTACCCTACAAAAACAATTCACGACACTGGATGTTTAAACTGTCAAGCATTTCTGGTTGTCTCCAGATAGATTTATTCAAAGAAAATAGTTTCCCTGATGACGTCAGCAATCCATCAATAAACTCTATGAGTAACATACCACACAAAAGGTAACTCACATAACCACGACAAATGAAGTTCATTGTTTCTTCGTGGTTCAAGCTCCGCCGCGTACACTTCGGTTGCATTTTTCTTTCTTTTCTATTCAAAAATAATTTTAATTTTCTCAAAGACGGATAAGCAAAACAGTTGAAAATATAAATTTATCTTTTCCTACGTAACTTAGAACCTTGTTCAAGGTCAAATTTGATTGAATGACAATGCAGAAGTGCAAATAATTGTGATAAGGATATATGCGTTTACCTCACCTATTCCTCATTGGAGATTATGTTGTTGAGACATCACGTAACGAAGACGTCAGGGCAACTTTTTCAAAATGGTACACTGACCCTAATACAGCTGCAAGGAGTTGAAAATTTAAAAAGTCAAACAGAACCATATGTTTAAGATGAGTAAGAGCTACATTGAGAGTAATTAACAAACATGACAACTTCCAGGTAATGTCTACATAACATGAAGCAGAAAAGTACGTCTACATGTTCTATGATGTACAGAAAATTGATTTCTTTCACTAACATTTCGACTCACCAAGTCCCCGTCTTCACAGTCGAAAACTATGGATATTAATGCTTTCCTAAAATACATTAATGTCTTTAGTGGAAGAACGATCATTACGCACAATCACTTTCCCATGAACTCAGTAAAGCTACTGACAAATTATCTCCGAAACAAAATACAAACTTTAATACACATTTATCAATGAAAGATGAGTATTACCATTTTAAATATACTATGTAACCAAATGAGAAGCACTTAAGTTAATATATTATTGAACGATGATTACACATGTAGCGGTGATGTTGAAGTCGTGGAAATCTGCATTAAAGCTTCTTGTTCAAAACACTTTTTAAAGGAATCCTTTTCTGTCAAGTACGCCTGAATTTCGCCGCAACTCTGACAGTTTTTCAGCTCTTGAAACGCCACGTTGTTCTCAGCATGTAAGTACATTGAGCATCAAAGTAATACAATGTAATAAAGTTACACCAATGAAGCCGAGTTTCTTTCCGCCATATTTCAGTTGCACCATTGCAGTTGGATGGATAGTTGGAAAATAAGCGGATAGTTGTGGGTTTACTTTCAGTTGACTCATTAAAATTCATAAAAGTAAGACGTACGTGAGTTAATTTTGCACATGCAGATTTTTGAAACAGTCAAGGTTTATCGATGAATCCCCCCAAATTAAGACATTTTTGGTACTGTTACGCTACACCCCTATTGAAAATAAAGCTTTTTTGAATCAAAATAAAAACAATCCAAATATTGAATCATGCTGAATTGTTTTATTTATTGTCCTAAAAATAACTACCTTCTATAAGAAAAGAAAATTTAAAACTTGAACATGTACCATGACATATCTCTAACAAAGACATCTAAATAATCGGAACAAATCAGAGGGAGTAGACAAAAAGGAATCTGCATAACTTGAAAAACCTAAAACAGGGTTTGCACCCAGGCCATACAGGAAGAGAGAGTTACAGCTACCATTTGGCTGACTGAACTTGACTAGACTGAACCAGAACTTGTTGCTTTGTGAAAAGGTGATACGAAATGAAGTCGTGCATCAATATATGTACGGGTACAAATCGTTTCTGGTGATGAAGCCCGTGAGGGGTTCTCTTTCACAAACTATCAAATCACTGGACACGGTGTTTTCCAGTCAAAAAAGCCAGGCACTTTCACATACTATTGCTCACATTGGTGACAAATGGACCCCCCAAAAAATAAGATTGATTTTATTGCATCTGGATGAGTACCATGAGAACCCCAGAATATTCATCCTAAACAACCTGGAAGAAAAAGTGAACTGTTAACAGAGTTTAGGAATACTTTCCATCGATGCAAATTTGGTGGTACCCTCGTGTTCTTTTTCCATCTGTAATTTAGATAACATTTCTTCAAAGGTCTGTTACCTTTGAAGAGTCACAACTAGCAACAAAACAAAAAATAAAAGAACATAATGCCACTGAATCAAAACATAAAACTTAACACCCGAATAATAATAATACAGCGGTGCTGTACAGGCTATGTCGTGTACAATTTTTCATAATGCTTCAGCTCTGAATTCTGTTAGGAAAAAACTGTGTAGTCCCTTACCATACATCACAGACACAACAAGTGTACAGAAAACAAGTCACTGACACTAATGAAAGGGTACATATACTTGAATGAAATCTGCACTTGATCACAGTCACATTTATCTGGTAAGTTTGTCCATACTCAAGCAAGATTGTGACGGAGGATTTTGCAAGATCTGTGTTGGATTGAGTAGCGTAAGTGGTGGGCTCCACGAACAAGTATGGGTAATGTCAACAAGTACTGCACGCGTACTTGTGCACTTGACTGTTGTGACAACAAGCTGATTGAAACATGAATACTACAGGGACTAGAAACTTAATGGGGACAAATTTTTGTCACTGTGACACGGTCTTGTCCTTTCTAATAAAGAAACTGCTTCCTCAATGGAAACGGGAATGCTTTGTGCTGTGCTTGGCACAGAGAACAGGCAAGTAATTTTCTAAATCTGCAGGGTCTTTGTGGGCGAGTGGGTGCTCGGTGCCAAAGTACTGGCCCAATTTCGTCGATTCAAATCTGCCACGGAGGGCAAATTGACCAGGAAGAGAGCCCAACAGTCACAGGCTGAAGCCCTGCTCGCTTCAATTTGCTTGTTGAAGCTCACACTGAAGTTTGCCATAAAGAGAACAGAAGAACCTAAAGATGTTGATGTCATCAGGCCTTGACTTGTAGATTCAAAAGAAATCAGACTCAGATCAAAGAATCTGCTCTATAAGAGTAAACTGGGTATGCTGCTACTGAAAAATTTGTAACTTTGCAAATGAAACAAGAAGCCCATTAAAGTCACCTTTATCTGTGAGAAAATAAATTCACGACTAATGCTATGTGACTGAGGAGCCTCGCAGATGTGACTGAATAAAATCTGTGACTTTTTTTTTCTGTAATTAAAATTTGGCAGAATGCTTACAATTGTACACATTTCAAATACAGAGTTGCTCCCAATGCACTGAAAAGTAAGATGATATCTAAAGACAAGTAAGATGATATCTGAAGACAATCTGCAGAACTTGAAAGATTTGACCAATTTTGAATAATATCCTTTTCCCAATATTTCATGCTCTTATTAAAAATATAAGCAAAGTTTCTTGATACAGTATGACACGTTGGATGTTTCATGCATTTCCACGTGCAACAGGATAGCTGAAAGGGCATATAATGACCTGACTGACTAAGATCCCAAGGGGAGAGCCACTGTGATTTTACTTGTGATCTGAATGTGGCAGACGGGACAATTGAGCATGTTGGAAGCACAGACATCACAGAGAACGAGATGGTGGCAGGGAGCTGTGGATATACTCCGTTCCCGGTCTTGGCAAGCGCAACATCCCAAGGCCTCTTTGGTGTGAATTACCTGGTGCGGCAACAAAGCAGAAAATAAATAACTACAGCGCCTTCAGAATGGAGAGACATTAATAACAGACGTGACTTGGGAGTGCTTGTCTGGCCACGCTTGAGGCTACAACACATGGCACTATATTCCATGGGTAACTTTGTCACAGATTTTGAGCCTTTGTTGATTGGAAGTTGCTTTGAGATGTTGGTGAAACAGAAAACTCTATAAAAATGTTACAGTGACGGTATTCTTGAGAAGAATTCTTGTATTAGGTATGGAGTAAAAGGAGAAGCCAGTAACTCACCCTATCTAATTTCTCCAAGTCTTGCCGTAGTTGGAGCTGCATTTGCTTGAGATTGCTGAGGGGTAAACTATTTAAGTCTGCCAGTTTGCTTAGTATATGTAGATGCGGGCCACCAGTCAGCCCTTCCATGTCGTGCTTTAATGATTTGGCTTCGCTGAGTGCCTGGAGGGAAGTGTCAATGAACACTCATGATAAACTGCCTTGCTTGGGGACATACACGGCAGGAATTGCAAAGTCTGCTTGTAGATGTTTTCAAAATGCATTAACAGCCCAACACAGCAAAGTCTATTAACCCTAACCCCCTCGGCCTTTTTACTAGGAACCATCCCGAATCCTCAAAAATCCTCCGAATTTCAACATGAAAAAACTGTATTCAGCCCAAATCCTCCATAATTTTTTGAAATGTCATTTGGAGGTGTGCCTAACTGCCCAAATCCTTCCAAATCCTCCGGCAATTCCTGTCATTATGTTGAAGCAGTGCGAATGGCACTCTTGAGCTGTGCGGTTGATTCAAAAGAAATATCGGGCTGAATTTGTGCTTGACTAAGCACAAACAACACAAAATCTAATCCACGACCTTCATGTATGGCATCCTTCGAAATCAGCCATACATTTTTGCCATAGACCCTGAATCCTCTAAATTCCTCCACTTTGCAGAAAAGGATTTGGGAGGGTTTTGGTTAAAGGGTGGGGGCTGCGTCAAATGTAATCCTTGCAGAAACAAAGAAACAAATTGCAATCATTTGTCCTACTCAAGGACATCGGAACTATAACTTCACTAGATAAACTAAATCTAAAAACTTCTTTATTCTTTTCATTCATGAGTCCAGCTAATCATGGATTTTTCTTACACATGGATGAACCAAAGTCCTCAAGGCCTCAACAAGGCACCACTCTTAACAATTCAAAAAGTTGTCACTGCTTTTTTTCTTTCATAACGGAACTGCTGAAATTCAGAACACAGAGCTTGTATTTGTGAGGGACACAAATCAGTGGATAGATTCGGTGTGTAACTACGTCCTTCTCATAAATATGTAAAAACGTGCACTTTATTTTCACTTTTACCATGCAGCCAAAAAGTTAAATCTGTTAATCTGACACAATGGCATTATTTTACTGCATTGTACATTTGGTAGTTGTGAACACTCGGCATTTGCATGCATGAAAACCAGCGCGAGTAGGGGATGATTTTTCCAGGCTCTTTAAATGGGCCTTACAGAGCCAGCTAAACACCCAGACTTCCAGGGCGGAGCAGAAAATTGTCTAAATTCAGGGGGCGGGGCAGAGGTTCTGGACTTGATCTCACCTCTTCTTTATACTGCATTGCTAGTTGTCTCTGCTGCTCTGCAATTCTAGCTTTCTCACTGGATTCAGTGGCCTCTTTTTTCCATGCATCGCATGCCTTGATAACAAAACACATCAAAAGTGGTATGAAGTTGGGACTTATTAATTTGATGCATCACACAGCAGCATCAGGCGTGGCATTCACGCTCATAAAAACAAGTGCAAGTTATTCACACAACAGCCGAGAGATGATGAGAGAAAAATGGGTCCAGTGATCTGGTCAAAACCCCTTAGACCATCACAAGAACCCCACAGGACCACCCAAAAGACTAACACAAGACCTCCAGTCTGAATTCAAGTCACAAGCTATTCTGGTGAATTGCAATGAAAGCATTCCTCTATCACTGTTCACCCCGTTACTTGTGGGCGGTCTGGTGACTGGTCTTGTGTAAGATCTTGTGTCTGATCTTGTGATGCCTTGACAACACGGTCAAATATACATTGGTATAACCTGAAAATGCTGCCCAATCTGTCACAAGTTGACTTGTGTATGCCTCTCCAGTACACTGCAATTTGCAAGCTGTTCATGGGAAACACAACAAATTCTTACCAGATATATACCACATTCCACAAAAGAGTGATAAAAAACAGGAATCTTCTGCATTTTCACATGCAGCCTGGGGAGATGCCTGACCTGCTTGGCCTGTTTCCAAGACTCCTCCCATGTATGCAGCTTGTTCTTCAGTGCAGAGATCTCTTCCTGCATCTTGTATACGTCCTCACTGGTGGGGTTACCAGGTGCCAGACTGAGCGGGCCGTGCCGCACGTGGTGAGGGAGGGTGTTGGGCTGGCTCATGAAGGCTGCCGCAGCCTAATCAGGGCAAGATTTGGAGGGGGGAGAACAAGTGAAACAAATGGAACACTCACACGGATTTGACTAAATTTGTGCTACAAAAGATTTACAGAAGAACAAAGCACCTAGTGTCATGCCAGCTGAAACATATTCAGGGCACGTGAGTTGGCGTACAGCACTCTGATATGGTCGACCTTCAACACATGCACTAATTTCTTGAATGACCTGCGATGCACTCCATTTTGTGCGTCCACTATTGGAGGACTGAACCTGTTTACTAACTGCTCAAAAAGCACCTTGGTCTGCATAAAACGATCACTTAACTAGTGAAACAAACTTCAACTACCGTGGTTGGTCCGCTTGACCGAACCATCATTCACTCTATTTTTTTGTAGAAACTTGTGTGGGTATCAGAAATATTTTGCTCATTAATCTGGGGGTAATTATGACTGCTCATATTCTGACCTGTTCTAGCTGGTGCTGCTGGTGCTGCTGCTGATGTTGTTGCTGCTGTGGATGTACGTGGTGCGGTATATACGACAACTGCGACATAGGGGAACTAGGACTATCGGTGACGGAGGATTTATGATTGGGACCACTGCTGCCGATGCTACTGGCACTGCCTGGTATGCTGACAGGTGCTGAACTGCCATACCCTAAGCCTGCAACAACGCGGCAAGTAAGAAATTAAATCAGAAATTGTATCATTCTTCACTTCAAGATTTTTGAGTTTGAGGTTTTTGTCATTCTTTCCTTCGGGCAAGCCTCCCCCTGTGGACAAGCAAAAATCCTTCAAACTTTGTTTCCACAAAGCTGTTGGGACTTCTCTAATAATGGAAGTCCAAATGGTATTTCCTAAGAATTCCAATTTTCTGATTTAAACACTAATTTCGGTAACGATCCGGTTCATCATGTAAATTTCTACAGTCAAACCTGCCCAGAAAGACCACTCAAGGGAAACAGAAAAAGTGGTCTTTGTGGACAGGTGGTCTCACTATACAGGCAGTGGTAGGCCTACATGTTCATAAAAGTAATGTCAGACAGATCTGCCTTATTCAGTGACCGTTGCATTCTTACTCCTGTCCCAAATAAAGAAATTCTGTTTTTTAATTACAAGAAACTGCCTATTTATTTTATTCACGTAAGCGTAATGCTTGTTTATATTTTGTATATTTTAAGATTTATTTTATTACTTTTCTTACACTAAATTAAACTTTAAACTATTTAAACTTTACGTGAATTTGAAAATTATACCTTTTCTACACATGTAGAATGAACCCGTAAAATGAAAACAGTAGCTTGCTGTGTCTAATGTCTACATCAAATTAATGCAATTAATTGAGATAAGTTACTGTTGTTTCTACCGTTAGTTACTCTCCAATAAATGTAGCAATTCACCGTAAACCAATTACTGTGAATCATTAACAGTATACTAGTGGTGCTCGTGCTGCTAGTAAAGCACTGTGAAAATGTACAGTATGTAAACAATAGTTTTTTTAGATGGGGGGATTTGGAACTGGTTGTTAATGACAGGTGGACATTATACACAGGTGGTCGCTGAGGCAGGTTCGACTGTACTTAGAGTGTTTGGTCCCAATTGATTAAACAGCCCCAATGTCTCATTATTTAAGTATAATCTTTGTGTTATGTTCTCATGCTACTTTTTTTCTGTCCAAAGGGTAAAACACGGACACTGTTGATTTACCTCATCCACACATTGGTATATTATCAAGTCCACTCCATTATACACAAATTAAACTTGATGTTATTGACTTCTTATGCTTGTTTTAGAGTGCAAATGGCACCACTATGTGATGCTCCTATGAGATAAACGTGTGCACAGAAACCATCTTGACACCATTAGGTGCTATTTTTGGCTTCTCACACGCCATGCCACATGACCTTACGAATTAAGTTAATGACAAGGACCTTGGCACTACAACACCAACTTTACACCTAGATCTGTAAGGAGGATTCCGGTATGCTGAAGTGCAACCACAATGTGCTGAAGTGTCAAGATTACAATGAGAGTGGCAGGACGTTTCAAGGTGACAATTTACCAGTAAGGGTAAACAGGGGAAGAGTAGATCTAGACCGGGTGAGACTTGATAAACTCCTGAGGAAGACAAACCACTCACCCACTGATAAATGACCTATACTTGCTACAGAGCTTGATATCGATGACGTTTCGTTGTCTAGTTCCTTCTCCAACGCTGCTACATCAATATCTTCTAGGTGCATATCGTCCAGAGCGTTGCCTGAAGAAATTGGGGAAGGGGGGGTGAATTTAAAAACGCAAGATGACATTCCAACACTTTCTAAGCAATACTAGCATATTTATTCAAATGCTCTAGCTGACAGGTTTTTATTGGCGTTCATTATATTTTTGTGAGTCAACAAGAGTACAATCTGACAGAGATTTAATTATAAGCAGCTCAGAACCACAAAACAAGTCGATACAATCCGGGTAAATGTCTTCAAGGAGAAATTAACAGCTCTGTTCTTGGGGACCTGGGAAGTCCTAAAATAACATGTACAGTGGCATGTCTCCATGCTATCTACAAACTTTACACTGAAGTTATCGTTACTTTCAAACTTTCAGCCTTTAAATGATGACAACACTTTCAAACCATCCGACTGAAAGAGTGTTTTTCTCTGATAATTATTTACCTAAAACTGATTCCACTGTGTCACTGGGTGGATAGAATGGTGCTGCTGTTGCCGACATTGTACTAGAAGCTGTAGAACTTGAGCTAGAGACTGTCAGTGGATGGCTCATTGACGCTAAATGACTGGTTGGTAATAATGAGCTCTGAATATCAACACGAACATAACAGAGATTAGGAATGAAAGATATAAAATATTATAATAAACGTTGAATGACGGAGAAGTGTGGTGAGCTTTCCACTTTGTTTACACCGACTTCTACCTCTACATTGCACGTGCTTCATAACTGTCTTTCGGTCAGTATTCATTTTACCGTTCACTTAATGAGAAGCCAATATTTGTAGGCTGCCCTGGACTTATGTATGACAGAGTTTTCATTTTGGCTCTGACAAGACAAGGCTTTAGGCCAGGGCAGATCAGAACCACTTCCGCACTCCAGTATGAACTTTATTACAGCTGCCTCATTTCTAAGAAGGAATCTTGGTGGAGTGCAGGGAATGTTATGGCACATGTTAACAGATACAAAATCATTATCTTATGACTACGGCAGTTTATGGGTAATTCCAGAAATTAGGGGTGCATCTTTTTTTGGTGACCCTGTCACATCTGACATCTGATTTTGTAAGTTCAGAGCAGATTTTCTAATTTCCAAGAGTGATGAACTAATGCAAATTACCTGTCAAACAAATAGTAACAGTTTGACATCAATTCCGGTAATATTTCCATGTCAAATAACAAAGGTCAGATGTAACAGGGACACAAAAATGTCATACTTTTGGACCCCTACTTTCTGGAATTACCCAAATTTCATTGGCAGCACTTCCACAATATCAATATTTAAATAGAGGCGAGAGACACTTACGTATGCCTCTTCTCGTTCAGACCCTGGCGCCCTAGGATACATGTTATGGTGCAGGCTGTCGGATGAGTAGTTACTGGAAGTGCTGTTGGAGCGTGGCTTGGCAATTGGTCCTGGCATGTTGCTGGGTGCAATCGAGAAGGTTGGGTCCCCACCCATCACCTGCACAAAAAAATGGAGAGAAGAGACGGGAAACCACATGGCTTCCATCTGGACATCTAACCAAATTTTGTGGAGCTCCTGAACAATCTTTTCATCTGAATAAGGTATTAAGTGGCTCCAGTTCAAGTTCTTGCAATCAGTGTACCATGCTGAATAGTCACAGCTGTTGAATAAAATGCTGATTTTCAACGAGGCCAAGACTACTGGCCGAATAGTCTGCAGTCACATACTCTGCTGCACTGTTGGTACACCTAGAGACCGAAACTACTTTGATATGGAAAGAACCCAGATATCTTCCAGGTCAACTTTTACTTGATTAAGTGATCCATACCTCAGTAAGTACCCATCCATGTGATCAAACTCGATGGTGCATCCTTGATTCTACACTTCAATACCACTTACTGATACTTGAGAGTTCTAACAGTATGAGCTCAGATCCTACCTGTTGATGAAGTGATGTTCCCATGGGACTTCCGATGACCGCTGTGTTACTTGATGACAGTTGTGGGATAATACTCACATCCTCGCTGAAATCTCGATGTGTTGTCATTTCATCTGTTAACAAATATATCGCATGACATAGTTGTAACCAAAATTATTTTTTTCTCGCTTTTAGGATGTTTCATTCCTAAGCAGGAGACCAAGAATCATTTTGAGAGTAAAATGGGAAAAAGTTTGGAGAGCTCAAGCAAGCAACATTGGTCAGCATAAGTATAAAGCAGCTTAGGCCAAACAAAAACTAGTTGTGTTTCCTATTACACTGAAAAATAAATTAGGGTGGTAGGTTGGGTAAAATATTTTTTTACTCTCAATTTTTATAACCCAAAAAATTAGGGTCAGATGATGGTTTTTTTGGAGGATATATATTTGTAACAGGTACTAAGTCAGTGTCAGCTTCATACTGTACATGTGCACGTCAATATTACATATCAGCACTGTGATTGAGTAGTAAAGCAGCTGGTTGTTGAAATACAAACACACAAGAGCCGTCCATCTCATGCCCCCCCCAAAAAAAATTAAAAACAATAAATGTACAGGAAGATATACATAAAAAAAGGCTCAGGGCAAGGCAATATAAGTTTTTATATTTTATTGAATAAACAGATATAGGTTCCGCATGATTTTCTAGACTAGGTCGGGTAACTGGAAACATAGCTATTTTTTTGTTTGGCCTTATCCCTGCTCCCCCAAAAGAAATCAATAACTGATCAATAAAAAAAACTCCCCCCTTGTAAGTAGTGGGGGTCTCTGACAAGAAGATTTCTCCAGATTTACAAGAGTCAATTTCAAACAACCAGATAAACTTGGATAAATATATGGGTAGCTCTAGGGTACAATTTTTAGCAAACCAAACCAATGGGTAGATAAATGAAGTTACTTTGTTAAACACCTCATCAATGTTTTAGGCTGACATCTTGATATTGTCTAATGTAAACTGACCATTCACCAACTGCACATTCACAATGTTACTCTACAACCACTCTCCGCCACAAATTCAACTGACGATTTTCACTCACTTCCTAAATCGAAAAATTTCAAACAAAAGCAGAGCAGTTTCAACAACCGGAGCTCAAGATTGCTTATGTGTCTGCATATCAGCAAGATCCATTACATGTAGCCTGCATGTTATGAGATTCTGCTTGATATGCTGTAATCTTTGTATATGGCTTTTGAATCCATCGACACATGAATGAAATTGCCAGCAATAGAGCGTGCTCTCTTACGGCTCTGATATGCATCAACTGTTCACTTGCGCAGATCTTCACAGGAAACGAGCGATGCACTTTATTCCACTTCCCATGTAACTTTTTTATGCATGACATTTCTCTTCAGATAGAGTGATTTCTTCAGAGCAAACATGCTTGGTGTTGTCTTTACATCACAGCCAATCCAGAAAAAAAAACAACAACAACACTGGCATAGATTTAACTGTGAAATGGCCAGGACTCACGGTCGACGTGCGCAAATGCACAGAAAGGCCCCCTGGGACAGTTGCCGGTCTGCTGCATGTCGTTGCACTTGGTGGACTTGTAGATCTCCGGGTGGAACTGCTGCTCAGTCCGGGTGTGGCAATAGGGGCACTGGTCGCCTTGCTCACAGTTCTCTGGCTCACCCCACTCATCGGTGAGTTTCACATTAGGGCAAGGAGTTGATCTGAAGGGGATTTCAAAAATAAACAGAATAAGAAACATGTTTTCTTGCTGTGACACAATTTTTTTTTAACAGATTTGAAAACGGAGGAGTACAACTGACAACCAACTGACACCGACGCATTTCGACAGGCCAAGGACTAACGGGTAATTATGAAATGAAATAAAATGGAAGAAAACAGGCTTCTAAACTTGAAGAAAGTGATTATGAGAATGGGGACAAAAGGCCAAAGCGACTGAAAACAAGTTTACCTGTAACGAAACTTGCGTGGGCTTCTTCTCCTATCTCTGCTGTTGTGGTAATAGGGGCAGGCGTAGCCTTGGCGACAGAGGCGCGGTGGCCTCTTGCACAGGTCCGTCTTGTAGTTGGTCAGGACAAAGTTGGTGTCTGCAGTTTGAGAAGGGGAGGTGACTTTTAACGGTCACAGAATGGCAGACTGTTTAAAAGCAGAAATTTAGTGGAAGGTACTGATTGATTTGCAAGCTCCTGCATGGTATGAGAAATGGCGCATTCAGGCCTGAATCACCTGTTGATTGCTTTGACAGGTGTGCTCTGTGCAAAAATCTAGGAGCACATTTATTGTGGTTCAGCCTTCAAAAAGTAGCACACTACAGATGTGCTTTTAGAAACCAAAGGGTTTTACTGGAACCGGGTATTCATTTTCCACATGGTTGGGTACCAGTGAACTGTTTCTGCTTTTAAAAGACTTAAGTTCACATACAATTTAGCTATATGTACAATCATAACCTTTCATGACAAAAGCACTACATGCCTCTAACACAGTATCTGACTTCACATGCAACTACATGTACATCCCCTATCAATGGAATCACACTTTACATGAGGGGAAGCGTTTTCAGGGTTCACAAGCAAACAGACTTAGCAAAGGAAATTAAACTGGGCCCGTTCCATAAACATGCAGGTGTTTCGATTGAACTTACCTCCCCATCTTGGATCGTCTACGATTGCCTTATCTTTGTCTGATAGAGTAATGTTACATAATCCCATCCCTGTCCCGTTAGACGGTTTCAGCATCTCCGAAATCACTGCCTGGGGATCCTGCTGGGCAAGCACTTCCCGTATGTCGTACACGGGCTGGCGCAGGTCGTGGGGCCCGTGGGCAAATGCACAGTGCGGGCCGTTCTTCACGCAGTGGCCGCGGGTATCGGTTTCATGGACGCACGTGCCCGTTTTGTAGTAGCGCAGGTGGTAGCGTCTTTCCGTGTCCCCTGTGGTGCGATGTAGATAAGGGCATCTGGAAATGGCACAAGAAGGAATGGTCATGTCACTACATAATGCTAAATGAGGTTTTTCATTTCTTTGTTTAAAGCATGATTTTTTTTTTCAGCTCACTAGTCATTACTGATAAGTCAGTCCAGTATTTCAAAAAGCACAGTCTTTTGGGAAGAAAGCACACACGTGAGTTTGCACAGGGCTGCCCTGATAGGGCAGACCACGTGTGTCCGAATGACCTTGGACACACTTCATTTTGGGCATGTGCTGTTGGAATACCCAACTGGCTCAATGCTCTTCAGGGCTCGAGAAATTTTTAAAAACGCAGTTGTCCTTCAGGCAGGGGAGTCTAAAATCTGGTTGCCCGAATTTCTTTTTCAGTTGCACCGACAAGGAAGTTTTTGCCCCACGTGGTCTCCAAGCTTTTAGTAATTAAAGTAACTTTCCTAGTTCTGGATCACTTGAAATAAAAACCCACCTTTTTGCTATTGCTCTGCAGCATTACACGCTAAGACAACTTCTTTTTGGAAAGGTAAAATAGAAGTCTTGCAGTACAAATTTTGTTCCCTGAAAATTCCAAGAAAAGGGATTCTGGCTAAATTTCCGATATGCGCTTCAACGTTAGTTGACGGTTTGTAAAAAATCATGGGTGCACAAAAACATTGACACCTGAAAAAAATACAGGTTGGTAGGTCACTCACTACACAAGATTCAATGAACCTTTTTCCTAGTTTCGGATCGCGCATGCAAATACACGTACAAACATCGTGAACTCAACTACAAGTGCGTAACAGATGTGTACGTGACGTAATGGGTTTGTCAACTTTGCGGTGTGGGGGGGCACTTAACGTTGACGGCTCACTGAGCAGCAAAGTCAAGTCAAAATTTATGCAGGCTATCCATTTTAATGCACCGAAATTCTAATATAAAAACTAATCCCCTTTAAAATAAGACATACTTTAATAGACAATATGCTTGTCGCAATGTTTTGGCTGAAAAATGGGTTTACGCTTGACTACTTTTTATGTGTGAAGCGATCCAGAACTGGCTAAACCGATCCAGAACTAGGAAAAGTATCGTCGTCACTTGTAAGACAAAATTAAAAGCTTGAAATTTGAAGATATTTTCGAAGTACCTCCTGCATACATGTACAAGGTAGACCTCTGACCCCATTTCATTGGAATTTGAAGATAATTGAGATGAAATATGACTGAATATAGTTTTTGCAATCTGGAACAAGAAAAATGACTGAATATACATGCAGCTGCGTTGTTCATGCCAACGATTCGACCGGACGTACCACAGTGCACGATTCCATCGGACGTACCACTGTGCACCTACCCGAACAAGTACAGTCATGCAACATCGAGGTTAGGAAGTCACTCAGTTAGGAAATGCCGGGATTAAAATGCAATGCAAAAATGCAAAGTAAAAAAATGTGTTGCTGAAACAGGTACTTGCCCGTCGGGCTGGCAGTCTATAACATTTGGTTGTCCAACAAAATATTTTGGTTGTCCCGGGATGTCGGACTACCGATTCTGTGAGCCCTGCTCTTACTACCATTTGCAGTCTCCCCTTATTTAAATCCAAATTTTAAAATTATCTTTTGTCCAGTTACTTGAATTCTGAAAAATGTAGCGGGCTATCATGAACTCGTACCTGTGAAAATAATTTTTAGTATTTCTCCATCTCTTTGATTGAAGTCTGGTTTTGTCGATTGTTTCATAGTCTTGTTTAATGTTTCTTTTGAATATGTTAATTGCTTAATGCAACAATTTTTTCAGGTAAGGTTCAAACTTTGTCAATTGTCTTATAGTCTTGTTTAATGTTTCTTTCAAGTGTGAAGTTTCTTCAGTTAAGGTTCAAAGTTAAATTTTGGTTTTCAGTCGGGGGATCCCTACTTGACAAGCATTGCTTTTGGGGGATCTCCTTCCACATCATTATGTATAACTCCGGAATATAAAGATATGTATTGAAAATGTGTCATGGGATGTGGAAAAAATAATAAAGAATGAATGAATTTCTCTCCTTATTTTCTTTGCGGGCTACACGTATTAGGTTTATTGGATATAAACACACCGCATACCTTTAATTTGTACTCAACATACTTGTCATATTTAGCACAAATCTAAATCTAAAGTCTACACAAATATTTGCATTATAGTAGGCCCAATCACCAGGTGGTATACAATTGTTTGAAAAGGTGCAAAAGTCCAGAATTCTAAGTAATTCACTTCAATGTACACACTGTAAACAACAATGCAGTGGTCTTGCGCACACATACAACAAAAACTGTCCCTGCTAAAAGTAGAAATCTCTGCATTATGATGACATTTATGATTATCTTAAAGTTCTGTTTGCAAAATGGAAGCCTTCAACAATTCCATAATGAAAGATGTGCACACAGAGCTTGAGTAATGTTTGATTGGAAAAACACACACAACTCCAAAGCCCATGCAATTATAACTACTCACCCCCCACCAACCCAACCCCCAAAATGGAAATCAGATGCCCAAAAAGAATTGCAGAAAAAACTTCTACATTGCTCTGTTGAAAGAACACAAATCGCCTTGTGCAGATGTCAAGGTAACCCCATTCATAGAATGAAGCATTCTCCTGCCCCTATTGAGGTCAACTTTTGTGTGGATCTGGGGCAAGTGATGGTAGAGTAACTTAAGCTGATGACTGTAGATGACACAATACATCCATTTAGTGTACCATAGTACCCAACTGCATGTTATTTGTACATACATGTATCCCCCCCTCCCCCACATAGAATAAGATTCATGTACATGTACATACAAATTTAGTACTACCATACACGACCTGTACAGTGTACAAAGTGCACAGGAAAGTATGTACATGTACATGTACTTTGGAATAAACTGCTCTCAGTTTGGACGTATTTATGAACTATTGTGCACTCAATAATAGGAACACTGACAGGAGAGCACAACGCTTTGGCCAGGGTGAGATAGTTTGGTATACACTGCGGTCCCTGGACAATGTCTCTTTGTTGCCATTCAAAAGTTGATGCGCCAAAAAACAGCTGTGGGCCTACAGTTTGCACACTCATTGAACGGTGGATACTGTCACTTCAATCTTAATATAATCACTGAACAATGAAGCATGGCAGAAGGAAGACACGAATGAATCCAGTGTCTTCGAAGTTCACACGTAAAGGCTTTTACAAGAAATATTTTTCCTTCCTCCACGGTCCCAGCCAAGATGAACTAATTTCAACATTTTCTTTCTAGATTATTATGACATTCATGTTATTTATTTAATATTGTATTGCATAACAAGTATTGTAGACCTGATGGTGTCACTCCTACCTTAAACCTTTAACTTAAACTAACAGATACCAATTTTGTTTTGTTTTTGTTTTACCCAACAAGGGAAATACTGATTTTTAACTGGATCATCCAGCTTATATAATTTCAGATCTTTTTTTAGGCGTTTAGTCTGCGGTACACAGTATAAATCACTGTAGTCAGCAACCAGTTTGCAGCAGGTTGGTATAACTGTATAAATCAAGTATAAGTGTGGGTGATACAACTACATGTACATGTACATGTACAACAATGTTCACACATAAGTAAGGGTCACCAGTAAATGCAAAGAATCTGAGCCAGTACAATAATAAACAGATCAATGTGGATTGCCTTGTAAAGCAAGGGCAAAAATGGAACCATAAAGAGCTTTCACTTCCTTTTCCATATTTTGGATTGTTGAGGATGTGCGTATGTAAACACATGTATTTGCTAGAGCTGTGCATATGTGTATTTGAAACGCTTTGCTGAATGCTTTGTTTCGCATGTAAAATTCCCTTTAGAAACTGGCTTGATGCTGTGTAGTACTGATAGTTGTTGACGTCAATGGACCAGTTTCATTCACGTACATGTACACATACATGCACTCTATATGTGTAAATTATGTATTCTCTCTCAGGTAAGAAGCTGATCAGATGACATGCCGTCTATTTTTTGTTCTCGGGAAAGTGAAATGATTATTTTTAAGTTTACAACTTCATGTTCCCTCAAAATTTGACCAAAAATACAAGGAAAAATCCCTAAAATGGTTTTGAGTTTTCAGGAAAATCTGTTAAAAATATCCTACAAAGACTATTTCATATTTATTGTTTCTTTTTTGTTTAAGAATGAACTCACATGACCAAAACAGAAACTTCACATTTGACTTCCTAATGTACATGCAAAATAATTTTGGTCTCAGTAAGGACTTAATGTCATGTCTAAAGGTTGTCAAGATCTGGATTATGTCTGCACAAGCCATGGTAATTTAATTCAAAAGATGGGAATCTTTCTTAAAACGCCCACAATCTTCTTGGAGTTTTGGACAGTGATAGGACTCACTCCTGTACTTCCTTGCCATCTGCCCAGGGGCGAGGTCACAAGAAACTGTGTCGGCAGGTTTTGAATCTAAAAACAGGTGAAATTAAAGCCAGTACAGTGAAACAGGCTTTAAGAGGAAGCCAGGAGCACTTCCAATGATGACAGGAAGCAACCAGCAACCTTACAGGCCAGTAAAGTTTCAAAAATCAAACCTGGGCCGATGTACCTTCATCTTCCTGGGCTGAAGTATCAAGTGAAAATTCAAGTCACTGAATTTACGATTGTGTAATAGCATGTCTCATGATAAAACTTTGCACACTATTACAGGAAAAAATGTGGTTGGAAAACCTTCCAGAGCACTAATCCGTGTTATCTGCCACCTTCATATCCCAGCATTATGTGCCTCACACCCATCTCCCCAACTGAACACAATTCCCTTCCAAACAGGATCATAAGTGAAGTGAGACACTTGAATCATTCTCAGGCAACCCATTATTTTTCTCCAAACCACTAGATCCCTCTGCTGGAGGCTTTCCCCTTATGTCCGCTAAACTTGCATAAACTACTGTACATCATGATTGGGCAAACCTGGCCAGTGCTAGCTTCAATGCAGTTGTCTAGTAGGAACAGTTTATGCTGCCATTATAAATCAACCACCAGTGCTGATGGCTACATGTACTTACGAGAGTAATGGATATTCTGTGAAATGAAAATAAAGGCTCACATCATCACTGTAGTGAGACGCATGAATTAGTAATGTACATGTACACCCATACATCAGATGTGACTGTATCCAGACTCATTGACGTGTCTTGAAATTGGTGCTTGAATGTTTACAGGCCATCAATGTGTACTTTCTTCTGATTTGAGTGCCATTAAAATTAGTTTCATTTGAAACGTGCACAGTTTCCAATACAGGTTTACAAAACTGCATTGTAGAATTTTCCAAGGCAAACTGAACCATGATCTCAAGGAACACCATAGATTTGACAGTGGTTCACACATGAAGCTGTACAAGTAGCTTTTTCCATTGACAATTTCAGTATGATTTTACATACATGTATACCCTAGAGGGTTAGGGTAAACCTACATCTGCACCAATGTAGAATATGGCACGCAAACAATGAACATTGTCCACGTAGATGTATGCATTTGATTTCAAGGATTGAACCTTAAATTAGCAGATGTATGTACATGTATTGCACAATATCCCACCTGACAAACACCTTATGGGGTAGAACCCTGCTATGCAATGGTCAGTTGACTTTATGTGTGGGGGGAATACAATGTACATGTACATGTAGTACGTACACTTGGCCTAATTTCAAGCAAGTCTATAATGTCAAGTGGTTCTTGGAAAAATGAATACAAATGTCCACAACAGAAGCTGAAATAACTCGCCAGTGAATGGGAAAACAGGGCACTGTACCTTGATAGTTTGGAGTATTTTTTTAAATTCATGGATGAATGCCTTTTCATGAACATGTAGCTTCAATTTCTGTTGGTAAAAATGCCAAAAGTGAGCCAACTAGAACTAAGGACAGAAATTCCTAAGAAATCTCGCACGCTGTCAGGTGCATGTGGATCTGCAAGTTTGTGTCAGTTTTGGGGGGAGACTACATGTAATTGTACCTTTTCCGATCATGTTTTCCTTTAATCAATAGCTAAATTTTTCCCCTAAATTTCTGGAAATTCGGAGGCAGGATTTGGTCTACGCCTATTTGTGTAAAATTTATAATATCCTGCTCTGGTTCTACACTCACAATATCATTCAGGGATTTACCTTAATACTGCAGGTGATGATTATTTTTACATCTCTGCACTGAAAAAAGCTGTCTAACACAGAGCAAATGGTGGGGGATTTTTAATTAACATCAAAAAACAAGCACTCCATCTTGACATCAAAGAGAAACTGTTTGGATTAAGTACATGTACCTCTTCACTACATGCCATCCACATGTCAATTTGTATTGCAGTGATGCCAATAAAGTACACTTCCAAGTAACTTACAACTAGATACATGTACATGTAGTTAATCAGTGTTTATGTTTGCCCTACACTTTTTTAATGAGACAGTTTTGTGAGGAATGTTGTAGATTTTTGGCTTGAAAAATTTGTGGGGCATTCTTCTGCTCCTGCTGAAAGGAAGGCTTTATTTTACAAAGGGGTTTATGATTCATCAAATTAATAGAATACCTAAATAAGTGACACATCCATTGGATAATCGAGTAAACACTCAAGCTCAAAATAAAGGCTCAAAATACAACCCAGACAGCTGGAGTAGCACCGATTCTGTGATTTCTATAAGATGTAAGATATCACTGATCATTCATGACTCACAATGCTCCATTCATAGTCCCATTTGACAGGATGAAATGTCCATCTTTGTGAACTCATGTACATGCTGACACTTTTCAACGACGAGCAATACTTGCCATGACATTTTCAAATAAATACTGCTTGTGTCTTTTGCTTGTTGTTTGGATTGTTCTGCATTGGCTCTGAAGCACTTTTAAGGTTAACTTTGGTTACAGCAAAACAAGCTCAGAAGTACACTATAAATATGTCTGTGACCATGTATCTGAAATACTCAGTACATGACATACTAAAGTTAATTACTGTCCCTCAGAGAGTATGCCCCTTGAAAGACCATGTAACTCTTATAAATTTGTATCCCCATACACTGGTTTACTTTACTTTAAAATTACTTAAGCTACTGCTTGTATGGTCAAATGGAATGTGTATTCCTTCTGAAACAGATAAAAACAGCAGCCTCATCAAAATGACTCAAACATTTTGGAATGAGCGTAACTTTAATTCATGGGCTTCTGCAGGCCCATCTTAGAAATCACACACAATTATTTTCAGAGAGGACCAGAAAGAGAATTGTAGCATTTTTCTGGAGCATTTTTTACCATGTTGAATTTTCTCTAAACAGGGGCGATATTGGAGCCTGGGATAAAGAGAAATCCACAAAACTTCCAGGAATTTAACAATGACCATAATAAAACACTGACTTTTCAGGACTTTTTATGGCTGACAAGGTATGAATTCTCCCCTAATTTCATTTATGGCTATCATGTGAATCTTGCACTTATTTCATTTTTTTAAATTCGTATCTCAGTAGAAATTAAACACTGAATATATTGAACCTCTAAAAATGCAGAATATGCAGCTCTGAAATCCCCAGGTCTGGAGATATCACGAGAAATTACACCCTTGCCATTCAAAATGATGCACATTTTGGGATTACTGTCAATCCTATCTGGATATCATGTAAACCCGTGTGTATGTCACTCCTGTATGTCATCCCATATCCTCACAATGGTCACACCAATGATGAAGTTTGCTAGGCTGTCAAATACAGGCCTTAAAATGGAACTGATCTACTACCAAGAGAGTTACAAAGTAAATCAGTAACTTCAAGGCCTAGTGTTGAGCAAATCCAATTTACTGTGTCTCATTTTGCCCTAGCAACGTACCCGATTTGAGCGCCTCGCACACCCGCAGCAGCCGTGTGTGTGTGTAAAAGCAACGCACGGACGTGTGCGGTTTCACGTAGGCCAAGGCATGCTGCTAGCTGCTGCGCCTACGTACGTACGTAGGCCTACGTGTATGTGGAATCTCGGTTAATCTAAATGATAACACGCATTTATTTCGAACCCGATAAACGTAAAACAAGTTCGATACATGCACAAAAATTACCATTAAGGCTCCCTTCAAACCAAAAGCACCCTTGTCTGTATTTCCCACCGGAGTCATGTATGTTTTGGATCAAATCAAACGCATGGGAATATGCCAGTTTTTTGACACATTGTCAACAAGTTCAAACCAATATGGCGACGGGGTATGAAAAATTGTAAACATTCCGGGACTCCGTTGACAGAAACTTTTCAACTTACTCTTCGTCGTCAGGACAGATGCCTGTGGTTTCGTCATACTTGGTACAATATATATCCGGGCTGTAGCTGAAAGTTCCATCCCTTTTTCGAACTGGTCTCCGCCTCCGTTGGTTCAAAAAATGCCAGTGAAAACATGTGAACGGGCGATGATTCGGACACTTGTGGTGGAGGAACTCCTGGCATTGCTGTGTACGGAACTCCTTCAGGTACCTTCAAAACAATGGACACAAACCTCATTAATTCGTCCAATCTTCCCTGAAGAGAGAACATAACTGGATTCTGTCATCGAGAGCCTTACGATTCCCAGTACTTACGTGTAATGAAAGGGCTTTTCTGGCTGTGCAGTCACGTTAGAAGCCGAACCGTTTTTCTGCTGCTCAGAAGGCATTTTGGATGTTCTGGAGAAAACGACCCTTTTGCCCGCGCGGTATCTCTGCGCATGCTCGGTTAGATTACACACTCTCGTTGACGTCATATTTTTTACCCGTGTTGTGATGAATCAAAATCTCGTCACGGGATTCCCCAATCCTTTGCCACACGTACGTACACGACAACAAACAAAGTTGCCGAGATCTTTATTGTCAACGTGGATACTTCCCGACTTTGGTTAGAATCTTTAATTTGTCAAAAGATGTTCTGAACTTTAAATTATATTCCTGGTAAGGTAACAACGTCGTAATGGAAACTGATGACTGGGGGAGAGAGAGAGAGCCTCCTATTTTCATCAGCAAATAGCAAAAACAATTAACGTGAAATAGTTCAGTCCAAACAATTAGTAAATGAGATGTAATTATAAAAATGCAGTGTATGTTATTGTATAGTTTATACAATACAACATTTACTTTAGGTTGTTAAAAAATTACTTAATTAATTTAATAAATATTTTGATTGATAAACTGATTAAACTCCATCAATTATTCCACCAGTCAAACCTAAATAAAGAGTTAGAATTATGCATTTTTAACGTCCAGTTTAAGGTGTTAATGTAATGTTTATGCATTAATAAGATGCAATCGCTATTTCCGTTTTTAATGGTTATCATTTGTTGACTAGCTGGAAATGGATGATATGAAATCTTGAACAAAATGCAATCAAAGACTTGAGACTGTCACATGTCATAGAAGACCTGTTCATGGTGTCTTTTCGGGGGACCGTGCTTACGCCCATTCTCGAGGCCTGTGCCCCCCCCCTCAGTACTTACAGAAAAAATCTCAGTGCTGTGACCGGGCCCAACCCGCCACTGAGTGCACCTCTGCAGAAAATGAGCTTCTATCCTGCCCCCAAGTGCTCCCTGCTAAATGTATCCCAAACCACCACTGCAATGCATTTCACTGGAATGCCTGAACAAGGCCCCACCGTTCCTTGGAATTTGTGAGCTGGGGTTTGAAGATCTGTTACATCACAGGAAAGAACCTGCCTGCTCTTTATACAGGGTGTCTCAGAAAAAAACGGGTGTCCCAGAAAAAAACCGAGTATGACAGAGGAAAACCTCATTCACTGGTTTATCCAAAGTGTTACAACTGAGTTCGGATGCCCCATTTTCAAGACAACGGTGTTCAGTCATGCATGACAGGAGGGATACCATCAAGGTATCATTAGAAAGAATACTGCTTCTACTTTTCGGAGATCCTTATACATTATAATCATATCTCATGGTTCATGTATATTAATTTAACCCCTTTCCTCAGGTAACACGAAGTTTACTGGGTTTTTTTTTTCAAAACTTAATGAACATTTATTCTTCTTGTACTCCATAAAAAGCTTTAAGATGCCTTACAATTGTGCAGTTACAGTCATGCATTGTGGGTGTGTGAATGGGTGTTTTCGGGAGCGGGCCAGGTAGACCATCCCACCACTGACGGGCCAACGAATCGACTAGCGTTAATAAGACAGCGCGCCACCTCGCGACATATTCAAACCAAATTAAATTTGAGCTAGCTGCACGTGGATGGAAGGCGCGGCGCGGATTTCAAAACTTAAGCTCTCGGTTCAACTGCCAGTGGTGGACTGTCCGACACAAGTTACTCTATTTAGTCAACATTGTTGTGCTAACGTAAATGTAAGTTTAATTATTGTGGGAGCTGGGTTTCGTCTAACAGACGTTGTAGCATGGAACTCAACTCCATGATTTTAGGCCGCCCCTTCATCTGCTGTCGAGGACGTTTACTAGTGTGGTATCGTCACGGACGTCATCCGTGGGTATCGTATGCTTACGTCACTCACGCTCAGTGGAGGAGAAAAAACAGACGTGCCCCGTATCGTGTACAAAATAACAGCGTGTGCTAAAATATGACTGACATCGTGCATGAATCCAGATCCTTTAGCTGCGTCATGGCTTGTCAGATGCATCATTGGCCCCAACTAAGGGCCACTTATCCCTCGTTTGAATTTATTCTGCAAGAAAGAAAATGTGCTTCTATCTTGTTTTGCTATCACCTCATCCGAGTGAGGCGTAAAGTTAAATGATAGGCTGAGTCATTATGGATAAGACATTTTAAATAAAGGATCTACGGTAGGCCTAGGGCCTAACTGATATTCTATGGCAAATTAAGTGACCCTTTTGTGAAGCATTATGCATTGATTCTCTTGGCACAGAATGGCCCGTAATTCAAGACCGAGTAGTGACCGGGCTTGTCAGTCCACTCAGGACGTTCATCCCACTGGTGGCTACGATGCGGAGTTTGACCCGCCCCTGGATGCAAAGTATCTTTGCCCAGTCTGCCTGGCTGCACTGCGTGGACCCTTGCAGACAAAGTGTGGACATCGATTCTGTAAAATGTGTCTGCAGAGAATCATTGGGTATGGCCATTTACATGTATTGCAAACCAGTTTTTGTTGTTGAGGAGACTGGGCCCATGGCAGAGTTGTAATGAGTCCTAAACTTTAGTTTTTTGAGTTGAGTCAAATCTTTTGTAATGAAGTGACTCAAGTCGAGTGTAGTCATTGTAACGCAGTGACTTGAGTCGGGTCAAAATTTACCTCACAGGTTTTCCACGTGTGGTCACACATCTTACTCCTGATAATAACACATGACGTGAACATTATAATTCGGTACTATAAGTCATTGCAAATACCTGTTTTGCAAAGAAGTTTGCATTTGTTTTTGGGACTTGAGTCTTGTCCTCTTTCTCTGGAGTCAAGTCTTCTGATGAGGGACTTGAGTCGAGTCAATGCTTGCAGTGACCTAAGTCAAGTCATTTACCTATTGAGACTCGAGCTGATGCCAGAAAATATGACTCAGACTTAAGATGGGTCATTACGACTCTGACCCTAGGGGGCTTTTTAGTTCATTTTCTAATCACTTATTTTTTTTTAAAAATCTCATGTTAAAAGTCTATTTTGTTTCTTAAGAGTGTGACTCATACCACATTATTGGCATAAGAAGTGAGAAGTCTGAGTGACATAATAAGTTTGAATTTTCTGTTTTCTGTCTGACAGTACTCGGCCACATGTCAAGTGTCCTGTGGACAAAAGTTGGCTAGATGTCAAGTCAGATGTAGGTATCTAGGTCATTCCATGAGGTTGGGGCACAATTTGTGTCAGTGTCCTTGTTACATGGGTAACTTTTACCACCTGTCATGACCCGTAGAGTAGGTCATTTACTCTGTAAAAATAACACACACCTCTGTAGTCAGCCTTCCAAGATGTTCATGTATAATACTATAAGTTGGAATCCACATGCAGGGAAATAACTGTTCATTTTTACGTAACCCACGTAACAATGGACATCGTCACAAATTGTGCCCCAACCTCGTGGAATGACCCATCTGTGTCCTCATTGAGTGTTAGTCCCTCTGAATATCACTTTCTGTTTTTATCGTAAATCTTCCTTTCTTACTCCACCTACATTCACTTCTTTGCAAACTGGAGTTGCTTTTCAACAAATTCACTTTTAATATTTTCAGGTTTTTCTGAATCAAATTGCATCATATGCATGGAATTCTTCTAACCCTTTCCGGCAGTTTGCTCACTCCTACAAAATATGACAGTCTGTAACTTTGCATTGCATTTTATTGATAGCGACTACTTACAACATGAATTTTGCATTTTGATAGTGTTAGATTCAGCAGACTCCATTTTTTTTCCAATCTCATTGGTTCATGTAAGTGTACATAGAAGACTTGGACTGAATCATTGAATTTTTCACAACACTGCAGATTTTTGAAGATGTGGCAGTGGAGAGAGAAATTTTGTCCTCGACAGTACTGTGCAGCAATTCTGGGAGTGGCTGTAATTGGCGAGGGGACCTTAGACACTTACAGGTGGGGCTTCTTGGATTTTGTGACCCCGCGGTAGTCTCCGATTCAAACCAAAGCCATTGCCTAATTGCCAGTTAAATAACTAGGGTGAACTTTCAGAGGGGCATCCTGGAGGGCGTACTCATTTTTTCATGGAGGCACTAAAAAGAATGATCTATGAGTTCCACATTGGTTGTGCACAAGTCAACGTTCCTAATAGGGACACCCAGGGGGACTGACTTCCATAGGAGGGACATTTGCCCTTCTGTTTTTGAACCCTCCACTAAGTGATCTCTCTATCTTGATCTTAAGACTGCCTACTCTGAATGTACCCGTAGTAAATTGAAAGTTGCACACCAAACTTTGATAGCGCTTTGCATATACATGTATTTACCAGAGGGCACTGCCGGATAAAAGTTAATCAGAAGGTGAAAGAAAAACCAAAAGAAGGGAAAGACAACTTGACAAATTTGGTGAACATTTCAAGTGAAGATAAAGTGACTCAAAGAAAAAAAGAGGACACAAGCATCCTTGATCTCAAGTTCTCAAGTCTTCCATACATGCGATTTTTGAATTATGTATTATAATGAATTATTTTCACGAGAGCCCAGTCATCATTGTAACCTCACTGGGGCTTGCTATGACCAACTTGTTTAACCGGTTTGTGTGAAGGGCAAGGGTCAAATTGACAAGTTGTCATCTAGCTAACATACGTATACATTTAATCTCTCTGCATTTTCTTCTGGAAGTCATCTCAACTGCATCTCCTTGCTCATTCATCATTCAAGGTCCACTGCGACGCTTGCCCCTGCGCTAAGCTAGTGTGTCCCAATGGCTGTGAGGAGCAATACCTGCGAGGAAAGAGTGAAGATCATTTAAGGGATTGCCCTTTGCAAGTATTGAACTGCAGCCACTGTGGTGAGACTATCATTAGAAAAGATGAGCCGGTACGTTCCGCTTTTTTCTTGCTGTGCTACCCTGGCTTTTGTGAGACAGAAAATCACGTTAAAGTGTCTTGCCGAATAGCACAAGAACCTTTAATGAGTTTGAAGAAACATTCTGAAATCTACAGTTTTACTGTAGAATTAAAGTTTTATTTTGTAGAATGATACTTGTAGGCTGTGGAGCTCGAGAGTTCTGGAGAATTGATACATGTACAGTGTAATCCAATAAGAACTTTCAAATATTAATACAATTCTGTAGATGCGGTCATTTACATTTTTTGTAGAAGCCCCCAAAAGTATTGTGAGATCGCAAATTGATTTACAATTTTTGATATACACAGTACTTGTGCGAAATCTTCCTCTGTCGCAGTCCTGATTATTCTTTTACTTGTGTGACTTTGAAGTATTTTCCTTGCACTATTATTTGTCACGAGTCAAAAGGTTTGATGTGATTTTAAAAAAACACACATTTATTCAACATTTATTTTCCTGAATCAGAGACATCAGCTACTAGTGTGCCCCAAATATCCTGTTCAGTGTGACGAGTGTGGACATGCAGGAATTATCAGGGAAGAGGTAAGTGATAAAGAAGTTACAAAATCTAGGGAACCTTATAAGAAATCATCAATATCATCAACAATTGATAATTTTGCTGACTCGAATCTTTTAAATTTCTGACTACTCAGCAGAGGTTTATGTTCTGAATTTCCTTTTAAAATTGTCTTGTAAATTGCGTCACTTATTTCATGATTTTATTTCAAATTCCCATTTATAGATGCCCAAACACACAGATGTAAAGGAAGGGAATTGTCCAAGCACTCTTGTCCCATGTGACTACCAAGAAGCAGGATGCAAGTGTCAGGTTAAAAAAACAGAAGAAAAATTTCCCAGGCTTTGTTTGAAAAAAAAACTTTCTTTGTGGCAATATGTTGCTTCTGGAGCAATATTATAAGTTTAATGATGACTTTGATTGGATGTTATAATAACATTGTGCCTTCGTTATTTATGACATTCATGTCCAGAAAGGAGTGGGGCAGGGCAGGTGGTGTGTAAGGCTTGTGGTTCATGACCAGAGGGTCAAGGGTTGCGTCCAGCCTTAGGCTGTGACCCTGGGCAAACCTTTTCTCACCCTACTTGCTTTTCTCCACTTAGAAATATCAGTGGGTACCAGCATTAGCTGGTGAGCAACCTCTGCTAGACTTTCATCCCATCTCAGGGAAAAGAAGTATTCCCTATTGTTTCATGCCAAGGAAATCAGATATAAACACCAGCCTAATGGGCCAATTTCACTCTAAACGGACTAAAGCCTAACCGGCTAATTTAACTCACAACAACTACTTGGGAGTGTTGCAAGTTTCTTGCGGAACAGCTTCCATATAAAAAAAAATCCTGTATTACATGTAGTGTAGAATTTATAGATGCCTTAAATTTACTTGAACTGTTGAGAATGACTTCCAAAGCACTTAAAATTTTTTCATCCTTTTATTCATTCACATGGAGCAGATTTTTTTCTGTAAATACTTTAATTTTGTTTTTGACAGATAAAGCGGAGTGAGTTACCTGACCATTACCAACAGGCCACAACCGACCACATGCGGCTTTTACGGATGGAGGTTACTGCCCAGAAGGCCCTGCTGCAAACACAGAGCGCCTTGCTGATGGAGTGTAATACGAAGTGCTCTCAGCTGATTTCAGAAATAGAGGCAATGAAAAAGTAATCACATTAATTTTGTTTCTCTTTTGTGAGGGGAGGGGCAGATGTGTTTTGCTCCATGGGGCCCACTGTGGGGGTAAAGAACCAGCAGTTGACCCACATCACTAACACAGTATTTGATGTTCCATCCACAAGCTTTTTTCGGCTATGCTCCCTCCATTGAATTGTTTATTCAGCATCAGATCATGCACAGTGGCGTTGCTGTCAAGTCCATCACAGGTCCCCGAAAGTCCATCACGAGCCCATCACCAGCCATCTAAGTGCTAGTCAAGTTGCAAGCTATAATATATTCAAATAAACCATGACAAAAGCGTTCCTTTGTCCGGCTTGTTCACCCTGTTATTTGAAAAGTCTTGTGGCTGGACTTGGAATGGAGTTGACTACAAAACCAGTGTGCGGTGATGATTTTTTTCCCCCAATGCAATTTGCTTTATAGTAAATATTGTAGTTTTAAAATGTTCTGTCATTGCACAGATGTTTTGACGAGAAAGATAAACTTGTAAACCAGCAAGTTGAAAGAATCAGCCATTTGGAGAACACCAACTACAACGGTCGCCTTTACTGGAAAATTGACCTCAACTCGTACACAGGAAGTAATAACTCCTCCGCCCGTATACTTAGTCCTCCTTTCTACACCAGCCGACCAGGTTACAAGCTGCGTGCTTGCCTGGAACTGGATGGCCACGTGACCGGCAGCACCAGCTACACATCGCTGTTTGTCGTGCTGCAGCAGGGCGATTTCGACGACTGCCTGCACTTTCCGTTCAGCACCACATGTGGCGTGACGCTCTTCGACCAGTGCCAGAACGCTCGGGGGAACTCCAACTTCACCTCAACCATCAGCTGCGGGAACATGCCCCGAGCCTGGCCGGGGGAGGGGAGGGACCCATTCAGGGGGCGGCTGAAACTGATGGAAACTGATGCCCTGATCCAGGGGAGGTTCTGTCGGGATGGCACACTTTTCATGCGAATTGACGTAGATGTGTCCCCATCTCTCCACCACTGAAATATTGAGTCATTGCTTTGGCAATATGTGAATTTGAACTGAGAACAGGTGAATTTGAATTGGAAAAACATAAAAGCAGTTGATGCAATAAACTTCGCAAAATAAACATGCAGTAATTCTTGTAAGCCATTTTTTTGTAGTTTATTTGTGTCTAACTTTCAAATGATTGTTATTTAAAACCGTTGAGTTCTTTTTTAACAGTGCAACATGTCATGTCATTGTAACGTCTTTACTGTGTTTGAAATATTTTATATATACTGTATGTAGAATTATGTGCCCTTTTAAGCACTTTTTTAAAAATAAAAAAATCATCATGAAGTTATTTATGTTGCAGCATCATTACATGTATTTTTAAACCTGAATTTTTTTAACCTTAGGATTTATGATAACATTGAAAAGATGTGTGTGTTTTCATGTAATTATTTTGTTTACGTGTAATGAATTAAAACATCGTGTTTAAGACAGTGTTGTTAGTGCATTTGTGTAAGTTGTGTTCAAAGTTGTGGTGAGTTTATTTAAAAAAGAACAAATCTGGCCAAATTTTCAAATTTTGGGCTTAACCATATAACTTCCGTTCCCATATCCAGTATCTTGCTAAATTGAAGAACCTTCACCAAGCTTCAAGTTCAGCCATTTTTATCCATGTTGTGCTTGAATTTTTGGTTTATTAGGAAGCAATTAAGATTTAGGCCAAATTTTGTCTTGGATCAATACCACAATTGTGCTCCAGAGGCAGGGAGGTGGGGCGAATTGGAGCTGAGGGTAATTTACAGTACTGACGAAAACTTAAAGGGGTGGAGGCAGACGTGAGTGGTGCATAATTTCTAATGATATATTGTAACTCTAAACTTTTCAAATAAGTAGAGTTGGAACTACACGAAAAAACGGGAAAAGGAAAGCAGTGGCGGGCCCAGGATGGGGGGGGGGCTTAGACAGGAATTTGGCTTGCCCCCAAAATACCTCAGGATGCCGCACCCCACCCCCGTTGTGCCACAAGCGGGGAGCACGGCTCTATCGGATCTAGTAGGTTAAGATTATGCTTTTTTTTCAGAAAGTAAAGAATATGGAAACAGTATCAAAAATGGGAGCGGGTTGTGCCAGGTGTGCCCCCTTTCCTCTGCTAGTTTCATTGTAAGAGCTAGACTAGGATATAGAAACTGGGTGTCTTCCATTTTGGGGTTAATTGTTCACTCAAACACTTCATGAATAGTTGTAAGACGAATGTACTAGTATGTACACTGCAGGATAGGAAGCAGATACCACTACGAAGATCTTACAAAAGAAACACAATGCACGAACAGTGAGCGTCCACTGTTATAGCACCGTGCTTCTTTTGTTAGGTATAGTACATGTATGTATGTAGTTCACTTTACATCGGCTCAGAAGCTAGATCTAGCGCGAGCACATTCTCCGAAACCACTTGGATTGGACGTAAGTTTCCACGCGATGAAAGAGGTGTTTGAAATCTCGGAACTCAAACAAACTTCATTTTCAACTGAGAAATATTTATTATTTCCGCCCAGTACGCTATTCACAACGGTGCACTGTATATACAGATGTAATAATTGACTAAATTTTGGCAGTTGTCGGTGAATTATTTCTTTTACGATTCATAATATAAGCGTTTTGCGACAAGTAAGTTAACGCGTGAAGTCCCATAGAAAAAATTGTGACAAAATCGGGATCCTGAGGGTTGAGGCTCAACCAATCAGAGTGACAAGGTAATAACCAATCAGATGTGAGTTGTGTTCTTCGAATGACCAATGAAAAGCCAGTATACTAAGCAATCAACGTGCGCGTTACTCGTGCCTTATTTATTCCACGAAGTGACCAATGAAAATATCTGACTCATAGGGTTTCGGAATTTCATTGATAAAAATAACTTGTGCAAGATATCCACATGCTGATGTCACATTGTTGTTTGGAACGGAAGCGAAAGCAGGAGCTTCGAACATCTCGAAGAAGCAGGTGAAAAAGCCCGTTGCCTTCATAATTTTGGCGTTTAGCGAATTGATATGTCATGTGTTTAGTGGGTTTTAGTTACCTGCAGTATCCTGTTAAGTTAGTGAAGCCTTCATGTAGATATTGTGTGCTTCTTTGTCATTGTTTACTTATACCATTTTTACTGTCTATCCTAAATTTGGAACGGACATGGGCCTAACGGTACGGATGAACTGGATGGAACACTAACCATGCTAACGTTACGCTAGGTCACTAGGCCTGCGTACGCGTAGGCCTGGCGCTGCAGGTGGTACACACTGCTGGTTAGCCCAGGCCTTGTACTTTTTAGTTTGTACTAGGCCTACAGACTTTTCAGTGATGCATTTTAATTTTGGCTCTTTCAGGCTTTATCAGCATCAGCATTTAAAAACAATTCAATCATGAGCAGGGCTTGGGCTATAAATTTTTCAACTAAGGGCCTAGGCCTAGTTTTTTCTGTTTTCTTTTACCTGGAATGATCTTGGAGAGGTTGTCGTGGACATTTTCATATAAATTTGGTTTCCATTGGACTCTTCAAAGCAAAGAAATTTGAAACGGGATATTTTGAGATCTTTTGTACATGTGTAGGCCAATTAGCCCTAACCATGCTGAATGAACCACCCTAACCATGCTGAACCCAAACAAGGTTATGCAGGATTTTAATGCAGAGCAAACTGATTTTTTCGTACACCAAAATGAGTGTGAATTTTGACTGAAAAGCTTAAAATTAACATTTCCATGCATTGTTTGTTCTTATTCATGCCTTGTTTCAATGAATTAAATGTTGGCTTAGCTTGAAATTTCAAAAATTTTGAAATTGGAAATTAAAGAAGCTACAGCCTGCAGAAAGACAAATTTTAATCAGTTTCCTATTTAAAAAATGAGTTCCCAAATAAACATATTGGAACAGAAGTACCCTTCATAGGCTTTTCCTACCATTAATTTTGCTCAAAATAGCTTGTACATTGTCGTACCCTAAATCAAAATCCTCAGAATTCACCTCCAAAATGGTCCTTATAATGTCTAATGCACTTGCCTTAGGATCTGGTGGGGATTGGAGATTCCATTGATTGTAAGAAAAAGGAAATTTCCTGTTTGAAGCGGAAACGCTCTAGTCGGCTGAGCAAGGAGACATCTTTGAACTGTATGCTAATGTACCTGGAGACAATGTCACAACACGCTGACCAAGCAAGTGAACCATTCACAAAAAGCATGTGGTATGTGCACGCGCGTGCCCCTACTGTTCCCTGAACAGCGCATTATCTGGTGCACAGCTTGATGGACTCTAGCTACTGACTGTTGCACTTGTCAAGAAACAGTCTTTGGCAGGCGTGTGCAGATACAACAAATAGTTTCAGGATTTTGGCATAGACTTTTTACTGATGGGAGTTGTCGTTTCATGGAAGGCACCCCAATGTAACATTAGTGAGGGTATATTTCATAGGGAGAGAATTCGACTACTCTTTTATAAATGAAAACCTTTAGTCTGATTGGAGTTGATGATATGCTGGCAACAGAACATGTACAAAGTCTGGCGATAACAGTTATATATGTACAACCTTGTGGCAAACTGACATTCAATAAAGGTCATCTCAGCAGTTTTACTTTGTTGATTTTAAATATCTAGTGAGGAATAATGGCTCGTACTAAGCAAACTGCAAGAAAGTCCACTGGAGGGAAGGCCCCTCGTAAACAGCTTGCCACCAAGGCTGCTCGCAAGAGTGCTCCATCAACTGGAGGTGTGAAGAAGCCCCATCGTTACAGGCCTGGAACAGTGGCTCTTCGTGAGATTCGTCGGTATCAGAAGAGCACAGAGTTGCTGATCCGCAAACTGCCATTCCAGCGTCTAGTCCGTGAGATTGCCCAGGACTTCAAGACGGAATTGAGATTCCAGAGTGCAGCTATTGGTGCTCTACAGGTGAGCTCAATATTTTAATCAAAATTTGCCACCACTTTGTGTCTCTTGTATATCACTTACATAACCTTTCTATAAATTGGCAGATTCACTCATTTGCTCTAACCACTGACAAATGTGGAGCGTAACATTGCCCCTTTTCTCAAATTCAGAGCCCTGTTTTACACCTGTTACGAGCATTGTAAACTGGGCTTTTTGGAGTAACCTTTGTCCTGTGGTACTTAATTAGCTCGTCATGTCAGAAAAGGTAGAAGAGTTTTACGTAAGGAATTCTGAATGGTTATTGCTTGGTTTGAATGCAGGAAGCCAGCGAGGCCTATCTTGTGGGACTATTTGAAGACACCAACTTGTGTGCCATCCACGCCAAGAGAGTGACCATCATGCCTAAGGACATCCAACTGGCCAGGAGAATCCGTGGAGAACGTGCATAAGCGATGCACTGATGCGACAGCTCAATCTAGTTTTTAAAACTGCTGTCGCCCTTGGTGGAACAAAGCAAGCTGCTAGAACGGAAAGAGTTCATAGTTTCTCAATTCGACAACCAGCTGTGAGAAGCAGCATCCGTTTGTACATAGTCTTACTCCCCCACTTGTATTTGAAACTCTTGGTACTATATTTTGGAGGATATTTTACTACATGGAACCATGTTGTAAGACCAGTTGGCATTTATCATTGTTTCAAATTTGGAAACAATGCAACACGTACTTGCCCCCTTACTTGACAGTGGATCGGTGTGTTTTTAGCTTGTGTGTCGGTGACTGTAATTGACCCAGTTGTGTGTCTTAACCTTTTTTGTTTTAGTCTAAAATCATTTTTAAGCCATGTAAATGTCAAGTCTGAAATGGTGGGAAGTCTTACTCTACAACCTGTACAGGGCCAGGAATAACATTTAGAATACAGTTTACTGCACGTTACTAAAAAAAAATTGGTTGTCCGACCTTAAAGTGAACAGGAGCTGGTGTGCCAAGACCATTTTAGTATCGAAAACTACCAACGTTACCCTTGTTCCACTTGCCAGGATGTGCTCGACAATGCTGTAGAATGGATACTTAAAACTGTGCCCAGGAATTTTGATACTAAGTAAGTTTTGAAGTAGGATTTTTCATCATTTCAAGTTAAATCTGTAGTGACTTTCAAACACTTTGTCATCTGATATTTTGATGCTTCATCTGGAAATTGTCTTCTTACAGTGAGAAAACATACATTGTGTACATGTACTTGTAAGTGGTTTGTATTCATTTCAACTTTACCCTATTACAGAGAACATTTCATGGTGTAAATGACCAGATCAGTGTTCCAACATGAGCCATACTTAAAAACAACAATCCATCGAGATGGGCAAGGTTCCGAGCTTGTCTGGTCAAGTTTCACCTAACCCTCATTTCTAATTGGACTTGTAAATAATGTAATTAGGTACAGTGTAGTGCACAATATAAGCTTTTTCACAAGATGGGAAATGTTTTGGAGTCACTGAAGAATAAACCCGGTCACCATCAAATCTATACCTTAACTATATGGCATCCTCCTCTTTGTGTGCTGTGCTTGTACATGTACAATACACACCCTGTATGATATGTGGGTATGGGCCGAAAACCATTGCTTGGAAGCAGTTTGCCTCCAAATTTGTTCCAAGCAGGAACTCCATACATGTATATATAAAGTGAGACCAAAGAACAGTTGCTAGGTAGTGCCGCCTCAGACTGGCAAACTCCCTCAACTTAAGGCAGGGCTGAAGTCGTGTGCATACATTACACAGATGAGCTTGTTGCATGTATTCAAATAAAGGCCTTGCAAGATTTCTACATTTCGTGAACTTTCATGCACATGTACAATTTATCCTTAATGTGAGCAAGTTTAGTATTTCAACAAAATGGGATGTGGGCCTGTTTCACATGGATCCAGATCTGTGATCCTACTCGTACACTGGGTCATTGATACCATTGCCTGCGTAATAGTAGAGCCAAACAGCTTTGGGATCGCTGACCGAGTTCAAGATCCATGTGAAACAAACGGGCCTAAGGCACGTGCTGGCATCAGTGGTAGGGCTGGACTGATTGAGCAGAACTCTCATGCCTGTCCAAATGACTTTGGAGGACATGTACTTATTTTGGGCATGTCGTGCACTTTTGCACAACAAATTTGAATATTCTACGATTGCACAACCTTCCACTTGCACATGGATTTTTACACATAAAACATGCAGATTGCAGTTGAATACACCGTACATGAACAGGGAAATTTTCTTTTTTATTACATGTATTTGACATACATGTAGGTTGTGACAATTGAGCATTATTAAATGTAGTTATCGCACGAATGCTTGTGGAACATAGAATAATGTAGTGCGCCTGTGTCCTGTATACCCTTTGGCCTCGTGGTATACAGGACACTGACACACCATTCTGTGTTCTATGAGCGCAAGCGTGATAAGGAATTTATCTTCAAGCAAACTTCATGCGCAGTAACGATGCACATGAAGAAGCCTACGCATGCAAATGCGCCACCTTTAAAGTACATTTTAGCATACAAATAGTGCAATGCATTGAGTTAGAACAGCGCATTACGCAAGGTTTGATGTGAACCGTGCAATACAGTTATACATGTATATCACACTTGCCATCGATCAACCTGCACCAATCAGAATAGAAAATTCAAGTGTGCCTGAATATAACGGGCTACATGCAGACTGCAGAGCCTTTATAGCAAGGTTGGTTGTACATGGGCTTCACAGACCTGATTAACTGGACCTTCAGCATTTAGAGATCTGAAATTCTTGTCCATGTATTAATAAAGCATGATGTTTCAAAACAGCTTTTACTTTCTTAAAAACATTTCAGCAGATTTCATCATCCCAAACTACATTTGTTGATGTAGGTTAGTCATCCATATCCTTACAATTCCAACAAAATGTGTAACAGAAAATGGCATATTTCATCACACAGGCATGTACTGTAACTTGAACTATGACAAACAAACCAAATTCCAATCTTTACAAGACTTTGTTGTGTTTTTCAATTTTCAGTGAGTGTGTGGGAAAAATGAGGAAATCAGCTGGTCTGAGGAAAAGTTGCATGCCTGATTAAAAAAAAAAACAATACATAACCTATACTATAACCAAATACATATGCATGTACATTTACTTCATGTTACATGCACATCATAAGTGGGAAAACTGGTGAGTGTAAAATTTATTTCCAGGTGAGAGCCATCTTGGTGAGTAAAAGGATTTTCTCTGTATTGGTGACTTTCTGGAACATCAACCAGGGTTTTGAAAGTCAGACCCTAATATCTACATCACACAGCTCAACAATCAACGCATGGAGAATGTTTTCAGTGAATAAATTTCGTTTTTACAAAGAAAATGTCAAGCACGTCCTATTCAGAGGAAGCAGGACATCCCTTGATTTAAACAGAAAGAAAATTTACATTCCCATAAATGTACATGTAAACCTAAACACGCAAAATACATGTTATATTTTTGCTCGCATTTATAATGTAAATCACATGGACTAAACATCCCACAGTTGCCCTATGATCATGAACAAATAAATACATTAAAGTTTGTGTCATATGTACAATTAATTTCCTTTTTGGTGTACATGTATCTTTAATGTACAATGTAGTCAAGCATTTGAGGATTTTCATGTAAAACACTACATTAAACATAAATTGTAAAAGGTCAATCCAGTTTGACAGCTCCAATGAAGAATCACATCTGATATACCGAGTCTGGAAGCCTTGGAAGGATCCAATCTGATGGCTTTCATGATTTGATCTGATTCGATCCATAACAGACAAGTGTTGAATTTGATCCGAGTCCCCCCAAAAATCTGAACTTAGTTGAAGGAAATAAAACCGAAGCTCAATTATTAAGGTTTAGGCGCCAACTCGGGATATGAATCTAGACCACATCTCAAAAGCCACAACATTTACAATGTACAAAACTGATGGCACATCTTAAGCTGTCAAGTCAAACCCATCAGAGTTATGCCTTGAGTATTTCCTTATTTTCATCCTCTGGGACAGCAGCATCCGTACTAGTAACCTGCTTCACCCCCTTTTTATTTGGATCTTCAAAGAGGTTGGGTAAGCGTTCGTGGAGATGCACCTCCAGCTGTCGGTCTATCTCAGTCTCTTTGCGTAAGAAGACCCACGCCATGAAGACGGTCAGTGCGAGGCTTATCGGCGCTACTTTGTACCACGGGCGTTTCTTATGCCTCCCATAGCTGTTCTGCACGGACCAATCCCGCGCCTTGCTTGACAAGTAAGATATGGGCATGTCCTCTTCATCTTGATTAATCCTTGTAGATGACATTTTACTTTCGGTCTGAGAAGAAGTACATCTATGTCGGTGGGACAGCTGAAATACAGATTGTGTTTGGGTGGACTTCATGCAGCTGCAATGAAAATACATTAAAAATGATACTTTACAACAATTTTCCCCAAAGTGATATGGGCATCTGGACAATTCCAGGGGACCTAAAGTACAAGGGACCTCAATTATCGGTGAGTTTACGCATTATTAATGGATGTAGAGTTGTGGACACATGAACTTGGAAGCCTTTTCCAGCATGGCCAATTTTGTCTGCAGCCCCAACCCTGTGCCGGTTTTATGGTCAGGGATTCCACCTGGGCTAAGGTTTAATATTCCATGGGCATTCATTCATTCATGTAGGGAAGGACACATTATTCAATTCAGTCAGTGTTCAGCGCTGGACACGCACGACGGGGTTTGATATTAGTAATTTACCTCCGGCAAATCCACGGTCGTGACAGACGGATAAACCTCAAAGCACGGCTTCCACTTAGTGACGTCATGATGATGTTGAATTGTTACATTAACTACCAAAACCTTCAAGCAAGTTAACACTTGTGAAACAACGACATGGACGAGGCAAGGCTCAACGTAAGCTTATGTATTTCACTACATCATGCATGTGCATGTACTATGTACATATAAATTAGGGCCCATGTACATTTTTACTTACATCACGCTTAGACAGAGACTTTACAAAGTCTCTTGACCAGAATTGAATTTGTAACCATTGTACTTTTGTGCCACAAGCAACACTTAATCATGAAAATCAAATAATTCTGAGTTCTAACAGACAAAATTCTATTACAATGGGATTTAATCATCTTGGTTGCTTTGGGGAAAAAAGAAATTGAAATATAAGCTTATTAACGATCCTTCGGGAAAGACTTATACAACTTAATCAGAGATTTTTTCTTGGTGACGATAGAGAGCGCCCTCTCTTGGTATAGTTTTCACGTGGAAAATGGCGGCTTTCTTGAGAGGGAAAACATGGAAAGATGAGGAATGTCGTCGAACTTAGCATTTTTTGTGATTTCAGGCAATGTTCCATCGAAATATATTTCAACTGGTAGGTCAGCACAACATATTCGACAGATTAAATGTTTCTTTTTACCAACCATGCAAGTTGTTTGTTGGTTGGGAAGGTTGGAAAAGTTTTGCTAAGGTCGTTCCCAACTTTCTGTGAATTGTGGAGGTCATCCAGTCGAGTAAAAACTAGAGCAAGTTCAATAATGGCGAGGGGACTGCGCGTTCTGAATGTTGCTGAGAAGAACGATGCAGCCAAATCACTGGCGGATCTGATGTCGAGAGGCAGATACAGAAGGGTAGGTTGCCATGTCCTTTTTTGTCTTGGTCATGTTTGGTTGAAATAGTTGAGATTGTGTCTACCGGCATGACTGGCAATACCATCATGACCATGTCAGCTCTCGCCTATTTTTAATGCCATGTTTTGATGCGGAGGTAAAAATTGCGGTTGCTGTTTGTTTCATGTGGATCCAGATTGCGATCAGTGATCCGTTATTTGACTGACACTAGACCCATAATATGTGTGGCTCACTTTTTGCCCATTATGTACATGTACCTTGATATAGTGACCCACACAATACCAACCACTTTACATGCTTGTGTGGAGAGTCCTTTGCTAAGCATGCCAAGGGCCCCAGAAAATGAGATTTGGAAATTTAAATTTAAGTAAAAAGTAGTTGTCTGAAGTTGTCTTGAAATTTCAAAGCAAACTTGGAGGGAAGTCTCCTGAACCTCCCACGGTGGCATAGGCGTAGGGTGACTGTATACCATAGCCTACGTGTAGATCCAGAGTGCGCAAAAAGTTTTTCAAATTGATCATCATCATCCTAATCCATCAGGAGTTGTTTTTACCTCAAAGATAAGGCCATAAATTGGTGCCAGGTCCGAGTTTATGCTGAACATTTCACAAGTTATGGGGTCTACCCTTCACACTCCTCATTGATGATCCATGTCAAATAACAAGGGTCAGATGTAACAGGGACACAAAAGTGTTACACCTTAGACCCCTAATTTCTGGAATTCCTCCTGTGCAGCTCCTTTCAATAAGTATCAGCGATTTCAGCATAGAACATTAGCTTTTCCATAAAATCTCTACAGAGGGAAGGGTTTTCCAAATACAACAAGATCTATGAATATGACTACCAGCTATTCAACCAGGACTGCAGTATGACAATGACATCAGTGTCGGGACATCTTCTCAACTATGAATTTGTGTCAACTTTTAAAAAATGGTGAGCTGACCTTTCACATTATCAATGCAGCATCTCACATATCCCCCTGATTATACGTCAACAAACACAAATATCTGTCCAGTTGTGAGCTATTGTTTGACATTACTGAGCCTTAGGGCTCCAGCAGGCAGATCTCAAAATGATAGCCAAAGTTTCAGCTAAATAATGCAAATTTGGACCCAACTTATACAATGCTAAATGCCATTTTTATCACCCTTTGTTTAGGATTGTACCTAAAATCTGGCAGTCATCCTTTACTTTTTACTATTTTGCATTCACAATTGATCTGCTTTTTGTGCAAGAAGTTAAATGAGTGTTAAGTCAAACATCCTCTTTATGACAAGTGGATGTTGATAACAATAAATGATGTCATCATCCATTAGGTCACAGCTCGGCTCTGAGCCCTGCTGACCTGATTCTTTTACTTGTAGATTAAATGCAACTCAAATCATTGGAATTTAAGTTTACACTTTTTAATAACATTTTCCATCATTTTTGGTCGTGGTTTAGGCACAGTTGCAACCCTGTAGCATTGTTTAGCGCTGAAGTTCTCAAAGGTTGTCCCGATGACTTCAAAGACATCAAGGTATTGTGTAGCGACCCTATAATGTATTTGCTTCAAATACTTTAGTGCCGACTTGGTCTAAGAAAATCTAGGTCACTGTAAATGGTCAAACCCGCTGACCTTGAATAGGTGCTGTGAGATTTTTGTCAAGAGGTTGGATAATGTGTCTGGTTTCCAGCAGAAAGGCCTTTATGTTTCATTTTGGAGAATATTGTGGTGAGTACCCAGCATGTGATTTCTTATTATTCATCATGGAAACCAGTGCCAATCTCTATCGGCTCCGAGTGGAACAAAAGAGGGTGTGTTTTTAAATGAAATTGACAGTCCTTTTGGTACCTACTCACCGCGTAGGCGTAAAAGGTTATGTGCGTTTGACGCGGAGCACGCTGCATACACGCAACAAATTTATTCCGGAACGTGTGGTCTTTGCATATACACAGAACGCGTGCAAGAACCCGGTTGTAACCATCTGTCTTTCTTTCGCCGATTGGGGGTGCACTTCAGCTCGGGGCGGATAGACTAATCCAAGGAGATGCCGTTTATTGTACTGGCGTCGCATTCATCCATGTATGTTTTCTGAAACTTTTGGCAAGCCACAATATTGTACTGTTTAGAGAGCCACATAAAGCAATTGTGCCACCTGCCTACGAGCCTGGCGCCAGCACGTAAGGTTGCATCAGAATCAGTTGTCTTGAGCTAGGTCTCCACTCCGTTGGAAATACACGCCGAAGTGCTGAAATTAGACGTAGCCGTAGCTCTGGAAGCCCGTTTTAGACACAGCCTAATATTGGCTCCCCAATTGTTCTATGCACAGGCTCAGCCCAATTCTTACAGAGCTGTGACCCCTTATGTTAGGAACAGGGGCCAGTGGTAGGCAGTTATCCGGATAGACCGGACAGTTTGATGTCTTTGAGTTTCACATGCGTAATATGATTGTGGATTTCTTTTTTTCAGAGGACGTTAGAACGTGAGGCCAGACAGCATGATGTCCTCATCATCTGGACGGATGGAGACAGGGAAGGGGAGAACATTGGCTGTGAAATTGTCGATGTCTGCAAATCAGGTATGTGTAAGTCCCTAAGGAAATGAACAACTCACCTGATTTTATATTGGGACAGTCTTCAAAAAAATTTTGAAAATTCTAATGACAGGAAGACACTGTGACATAAAACTTTGAAAAGTAAACCAAACATTGCTGTTTGATCAAACAATGTCAAAGCATTTTTAAAACCCTCTTAGCTCCATCTTAGTTTCCAAAAGTGTTCAAGCTTACCCCTTTTTCCTCCAAAAAAAATCATAAAATCTGAGGAATGGGTATTTTCTCAGTGTTTGTTATACAACACAGGTGGGGTGCCTTTGTTGGACATATTCTTGTCCCTGTTGAAGAGTCAGTTTTGATAATTATCATCTGTTTTTATAAACTTTTGCAGTGAAACCACGACTGGATGTATACAGAGCTAGATTTTCCGAGATCACACCACAGTGAGTGCAAACGTTTATTTGACTAATTCACTGCACGGTTTTTCAGTGCTCTGTGGGAGCCCTCGTTCGCGCAGTAAACCAGTCTGTGCAGCCGTGCAAAAATGTTTCATTGGCTGCATGTGCTCATAATCCTCAAGGCGCCCACATTTTGGCAATTCACAACGCTGTCTTGGTTTGAGAGGCATTTAAGATGTGCGTATGACCTGCAACAGTGCATGATTAGGCAGTGGTACAAAAGGATTCTAATCCTGGCCATTGGATTGGTCCTTACCTGCTAACCGTTTCATTTCATAATTTGTGTGACTTCCTGGCTTGTCTTATTTCTGTCTGTTTGGTAGACTGTTTTACTTGATTCACATTGATGTGTGTCTGGATAGGTCCGTCGCCAATGCTTGTAGGAACCTTGGTCGACCAGATGAGAGAGTGTCAAAAGCCGTTGATGTCCGACAAGAGCTGGACCTAAGAATAGGTACTCATTTGTCGTCTACACCCTCCGTAAAATAGGTGCTGCCTTTAGTTTGTCATACCCCTGAAGATTATTGCACTAGGATTAATTGCAATGTCTAAAAAATTAAGGACGGACATGTCTTTACTGAGTTGATTCTTGTGCCTGTGTGTACGCCAGCTTACAGCATGATGTGCACAAACACTCGTCAGATATACATCAATCTGCCTCCTGAGTTAGGATTAGGAAAGATGAAACGCGCTCTCCTAGAGACGAGCCTATTATATTTACTGACAGTGTCCTGTCTTTATAACTGTTGAAATTCCAAGTGAAGCAGGTTTGTGATTTCTCCCAGTTGTTTCTAAATTTTTAAGATTTTTGGACCCTCAAATTGTGGATTTTTAGAGGTTTTATCATGCAGGTTTTGCCACCTTTAATATTTTGCACGAAAAACCTTGCATCTTGTTATCTGTTAAAAGCCCTTAAAGGTCACAGCGTTTTGTTGTCACTGTTACAGTCCCTATGCTGAATGTTTCGTGAATTTCAGCTCATCCCCCCCAATCTTACCCCAGGGGAAGGGGGTTGAATTAGCACAGACAGGTCTCAGTCTTCACTTTGCCTGGACACTGAGAATGGAACTTGTCTGGACTAGGTTTTTAGCCATCTTTGGACCCAACAGATCAGGGTTAGTGCTAAGGACTCTCTCCACCTGTTATCTCATCAACAGGTGCGGCGTTCACCCGCTTCCAGACCTTGCGCCTCTGCAAGGTGTTTCCCGGCATCCTGGACGGCCAGTTGATCAGCTTTGGCAGCTGCCAGTTCCCCACCCTGGGGTTTGTGGTGGAGAGGTACAAACAAGTGGAAGCCTTCATACCAGAGATGTTCTACAAGATCAAAGGTAAAAGGGGATTAATTGTGTCCGCCGTAGTGAGCATCCAACATATTCCCGTGGAATATAACACCTTGCTTGATTCGGATTGATATGATGGAGCCTAGCTATAAGATGCAGTCAGTTTTTAAAAGATTGATCTGATCAATCTACGGCCAAAATTGTCAGGACTTAAACAAATGACTTTGAAAAGCAATCTCCACAGCTTCGAAGCAGTCCTCACAAATTTCACCTTATAAAATCTGGCTTTTAAAATTACCCATTTTGATACTGGAGGCCAAAGAGATGTTTTGGTAATTTCTGGGAAAACCCTCGACTTGTCTTAGTCTCTCACGAAGTGGATGACACCAAGGTAGATTTTAACTGGAAGCGGCACCGGCTGTTCCATCGCCTGGCCTGTGAGGTACTGCTGCAAGTCTGCCTGGAGGACCCCATGGCCACTGTCACTGACGTCAGCAGCAGAAGCAAGAGTAAATGGAGACCCCTGCCCATGGACACAGTGGTGAGTGGAATAGGTAGACCTCAGCAGGGGCGGATGTAGAACCAAATTTTTTGTTCGGGGAGGGGGGGTTTCAAAACACCAAAATTTGAGGATTTTTTGGCAACCTTTATGGCCTCCCTGTGGGTGGAGCTAAAAATTAGGGCTTTTCTTACTCTTGGTAGATGAAGAGAAATGACAGTAGTAGGCTGGTAGCAGTTTTTACCAAGTAGTCACAGGTTACCAGCCGAAATGTAATGAGATGACATTGCTTGTAATTGGTTTCTGGAAGAGGTGAGCATAATGCTACATAAATTTACTGAACCGTCTTTACTGCTGAGTAGTTTCATGAAGTTGGACCCTGCCTAAGTTTTGCTGTGTGCTCTCGTCGGGTTTGTGGGCAGGTTCTCATTAGCAGGTCTAGATATTTCTGCGTTGTGGAAAATGGTCAGAAAACCGCTCAGACGGGAAGAACGGGAATCAGAAAATCAGCGTTGCAAAACTGAATGAGCAGAAATGCGACTTTCATCTGTTTGATACTTGCCCTCTTGTAGGAACTTGAGAAGCTATCATCTCGTAAGCTGCGCATCGGTGCCAAGGAGACCATGAAGATTGCTGAGAAGCTGTACACCAAAGGGTAAAGTAGCCCTCCATTCATTTCACAGCTCATCCTGATGTCGACCAACCAGACCTTTCGTTGCAGGCTTTGCCGTTCTAAAATACAGATACTGCTCTTAGTAACTTACTGCTCTTCTATGTGTGGACAAAATATTCTGCCTCCCTTTTGTATCATCTTTCCACGTGCCGTTTAGAACGTTGCTGTCAGGACAGAATTCGCTAGAATGTCCAGTTTCATCTACCCAGTCAGTCAACACTCTGTGAAAGTTAAAAAAAAAAGAAGCCTCTTCTCTTTTTCTTCCAGGTTCATCAGTTACCCTCGCACTGAGACCAACATGTTCCCAAAAGACTTCAACCTCCGTGAACTAGTCCAAGAACAGACGCAGGACCAGAGATGGGGACGTGAGTAGCTCCTTTCAGATCTTACCCAAAAAAAAAGATCTGTTGAAAATATTTGCTGTTAGCTGGCTGCACCAGTAAATAGCCAGATATTCTCAACTTCCCAAGGCTTGTAGGCACGTGTGATTGCGATGCCATGTGTTCTAATCTTTGTGAAGCCCACACAATCATATTTGCTGTTCCATTTTCATAGAATCTTAGTCTAATGCAGTTTGTAACACCCATAATAGATCCGTTAGCGAACAATGAAAACCTAATTTTCTAGGCCCTATTTCAAACTTCAGTATTAAAGAATTACTCATTTTCACGGAACAGCATTTGCTGCTGGGATACTTCAGGAGGGTCCCACCCCTCGCCAAGGTAACAAGACAGACAACGCCCATCCTCCCATCCACCCCACCAAGTACACTGACACCCTGCCGGGCAATGACTTCAAAGTCTATGAGCTCATTGTCCGTCACTTCCTGGCTTGCTGTTCCAAGGTAAGCACGCAGAATCCCAGTATTACATTTTCATGCTGCAAGTTGTTTTCTCTGGTAATAACTAGCGCTCTGTGGTTAACCCAAGTGGTTTGGATTTGTGGCTTGTGGTCAGAAGGTCGGGGGTTCGACTCCCACTACTGGCAGCAAGTTGTGGCCCTGAGCAAGCCACATCACCCCTACAAAAAGTATTTGCCTCTCTCCTGGTGGGAGTACGAGTGATACTGGCATTAGCTTGGGAGCAACTGCTACGGATTTGCATCCCATCCAAGGGGAATAGAGGCATTCTAAGTCATTTCCTGTCAAGGAAACTAGAAATAAACACCAGCTTGATTGGCCAAATTAGCTCACACCCAGACATTGACTGCAGCTGTAGTCGACATGTTGAAGGCATCATATGTTGATGACAGTTGTACGCTATCTCCCCCACCAAAAGTTTTCAGCCAAAATACCGTGAAGGTCTGTGTTACAATGCACCTTTTGTCCATAAAGGAATCTCTCTCCTGCCTTTGTTTTTTCCCCAGGACGCCCAAGGATTTGAGACGACCGTTCAAATCAAGATAGCCAGTGAAGAGTTTTCAGCCCAGGGCCTGATGATTGTCGCCAGAAATTACCTCGACGTCTATCCCTATGACAAATGGAATGCCAAGGTCATACCGGTGTTTGAGCAAGGGCAGACCTTCCGGCCTAGAGCCATTGAGGTGGGTCAACATTGACAGTTTTATTCGCAGTCTCTGAGTGAGTCTGTAGAGTCTTAGCCTTGCTGAGACTCCGCTGGTCAGAACCTGAAAAATTACTCGGAGGGAAGGAAAGTAGCTCATTCAACATTAAGGCAGGGCTCAGGTACTTTCTGCTCACTGCATATCTGTGCACATTCAGTCGTAAATTGGTCATACACACATGCTGCTCCCAGGAACATATGGGGCTGGACTTGAAGGACATGATCACACATGTGATCTGTCCTTATCTGCTGCATTTGAAGAAGGCTCTCTTTTCATTTCTGGCAAGGAGCCCATAGGTGGCTACAAACAGTCCTGAAATTCAATGTCTTGAAAAACACAAACCACCCGAAGCTTCCCTGAAATTTCTACATGCACCATTCTGAATTGGACTGAATCCAACAATATTCCTGTAACATATTCCTTCCTTGTTGCCAAGAAAGCACTTCAGCTGAAAATTTGTACTTGTAAGTTCTCTGGCAGCACTAAGCATACAGAAACTTACATCAAAATATAAACCCAAAGTAAGACACCTTACCTCTCTGTAACATTGAAAGGCAAAACCTAGGCTTTTTTTCACACTGTTACTAAGGTTATCTTTGTACTTGTCAAATTTGTGACCATATTTTCTTTTTTTTTCTGGACAGATGGCTGAAGGGGAGACCAGTCCACCAGCTCTGTTGACTGAAGCCGATCTGATTGCACTTATGGAGAAACATGGAATTGGTGAGTGGCTAGTTTATTCAATTTCTTTGCCTCACATTTCACTGCTGGCTGCAGCTTGCGTGCCATTGATGGGTATGACATCTCATACAATTATTATCATGCGATTGGTTCCCTCCGTACTGATAAATGAAATCGGCTATGGATAGCCAGCAGCGCAACCATTCCCTGGGGCCTGGTTCCAACCTGTTGGCCAGATGGTCGAAACCGTTTTGTAGTCACTGCTCAGACTCGCCCTGATGTGATTTCTGCCACCTCAGGCACTGATGCGACCCACGCCGAGCACATCGAGACCATCAAGTCCCGGCTCTACGTGGGCGTCAGGCCCGACGGGAAGTTTGTGCCCGGTGAGCTTGGCATGGGGCTGGTGGAGGGCTATGACAGCATGGGCTATGAGCTATCCAAGCCGGACCTGAGAGCTGAACTGGAAGCTGACCTCAAAAAGTGAGTTGCCGTTTGGAATGAGAATTGATTGTAATAAACAAGAACATCTTAAGGCAAATTTTATCAATGTAAATATTCAGAGAATAAAGATTTTTGCATTAAGAGATTACAATTTTTTAGTTATTGGCAGATTTCTAGTTAAAGTGAATCCTGTGGGCCAGCTATAAGTCGTGAAGAAAACAGGGATTTGGGTTTTAAAAAATCGCGTTTAAAGAATATGTTAGCATTGGAATTGTTCTGCTCTTAAGAACACTGACCTTGCTATTATTAGAGTTCAGACACAATTTTGCTTGAAAAAAATGCCTGTTGATTATAATTTGTGAAGTTTGTGACTGCATTTCTTTTTTCCCTGTAGGATCTGTGAGGGTGTCAAGGACCCAGACATAGTGCTACGAGAACAGATCGAGAAGTATCGACAGGTCTTCATTGAAGCAGCTGCTAACGTAAGAAACTCCTAAATGACACAATCTAAGCCCAGTCTTATTGCACACCCTGCTAAGCAGCTATTTTTTGACTAACAGAATCTCTGTGTGTTTCGCAGTGACCATTAAGCAGTAAACACAGCACAGGCTAGCTTATGCCTGGAAGAAAACTTGCTTAAATCAGTAGCATAAGATGAGAAATCTCTATGCATGTGCAACCATCAGAACGTCCACGCTGTGCAGTAATTCTTAAGCAGCATGATCTTCTGCTACAGTTAGTACAACCCTTGTGGTAACTCTCAAGCAACGCTACGAAATTGAGCCCTGGTTATACCCAATCAGGATATTTTCAATGTACAGGTTTCCCCCGAGCTCGTCTGGTTTTTACTTATGTTGTCACAATCATTTTTGTTGTTGTCTTGGCAGGCTAATATGTTGGATGTTGCTCTGTCTGGATATTTTGGTCAGCAGCCTGAGGCATATATCCCAGAAAGTAAGATCGAGTCTTAAAATTTTTTTAACTACAGGTCAAATGAGCATTGGATAACTGTGCATTTTGGTATTGTTACAAAATTACCAAAGTATTTTGTTGGTGGGAATGCTGTGGAATTTGGAGAGGTATTTTAACCATGCTGTTCACCGTTGTTTTTGAAAAGAGAGCAGCTCAGTTGCCATCCATGAAATTTTTGGCCTTTCCATATTATGATTTTTATCTTTAAAGCCAATTGCAGTGGCCATAGCATTTTATTGCAACCATTGCCAATGACGATGTCTTTGTTGGCTGATTTCTGTCATTTGTTTTGTCATTGTGATTACGATTGGCAGCATTGCTGTCATTTCCATTGGTGTCATCATGCCCATCTTTAATGCCCTTGCAGTCAATGAGGTGGCTCCTGTCACCCCTATCCGCTCCTGCCCAAGGTGCGGCCAGCCCATGGTCCTCAAAGAGAAGAAGGAAGGGGGGTGGATGGTCAGCTGTACCGGCTACCCAGCATGCAAAGCTGCAGTCTGGTTCCCTGCCGCCATCCTGGAGGCCAGTGTGTCTGACGAAGTCTGCCAGACTGTAAGTATCAGGGTACCAGACTGGGGATACACTGGATTCAGCGGCCATGATGAAATTTGGAGAGTAGGACTTGGGCAGACCTTAGTTTTGTCGAGTTGGCAGAAAAAGTAAGGTGTTTTAACCAAATGATTCCCAACCATCCATTTATCAGGGGTAAAGTCAGTCAAATTCCAGTTAACTATAGTTGTTTTGGAACTTTCCCTGTGGTTGGCAAAAGTAGAGTTCAGAAAAAGAATCAAAGCAATGGTTGTAGTTCCATTATGAGGTAAACGTTGTTTTACAGTTGTTTTGATGCCACTCAATTGCTTTGATTTTTTTTAGTGTAAACCAGGACCCGTCAAGAAAATCCAATTCAAGTTCAAGAGAGGATCTGTACCAGCCATGATGCCTACAGAGTACGTACTTTCACATTGATTTCATCTCGTGGGCTTGGCTAGAAGCCCTGCGATGGAAACAACTTCTGTTCAGTGAGCTTTAGCTCTCCAAGTTTGTGGTGTCTTGGAGTGTTACATCAAGCAGGGAAGAAGGCTTTGCTTACCCTTGGCATTACAGAATATCCAGTTCGGATTCCTGTCTCTACGTCTCTGGACATTATGCTGAAGATCAAGCCACTGTAAACTCCCAAACCTTCCTCTTCCAATGGCAATACATAAAGAAAAATGAATGAAAGACAAACATGGATCCTATTGCTAGCATTGGCCGGGCATCAGCCTGAAGACACCATGGCCAATAGAGGGATTGTGCTTCACATTTTTTAAATGGTTTCTTAGCATGTTTACGAAACCATTACCGAGTATCAGCTGAAAGGGCCTATATCGTAGAACCACAAAGTAACAAATCTGCTAAGCACAGAAAGTTCATGCTTATCAGCGACAGGTTCTTGGCCAAAATGTCACACAGTATGTATCTCCTGTGAAGCAAATTGCTTAGCAGCATTTTCTGGCTTAACAGCCCTTTAAAATTCGGCCAAGAATCATTGATATTTAGATGAAAAATTTATGCATGCTTACAGAATAATGTATCTGCTGGAGCTCACAGAAGCTGTTTCTCCTTGGAATCCATGCCCAACGTGTTCACTTAATGACTCTGCTTGTTTCTGCTCATAGAGCGTATTAAGGAAGAGTAACTGTTTCTTGCTTTGAGGCTGAATGTTTTCTGTTTTTATAAGGTATACTGGCTGTGTTGGAGGATGCGATGCCATGTTGAAGGAGGCCCTAGACCTGAACCTAGCGTACCTCAGACCAGCAACTCAGCCACAAGGTGTGTCAATTTTTAAAGCATTAAACATTTTTCCAACAAAAGTCATTGAGCAGAGAGGCAGTAGCTTAAGGGTTCGTTCAATGAAGCCGTGACATCAGTCACGGCCTCTTTTAAAATAGTCAAACGTTATAGCCTGGTTGACAAGTTTTGGAATATAAGTTCCAATCAGGGGCGGACTCCAAGAATTTTTCCAGGAAGGGGTCAGGCCGGAGATTTTTTTTCTTTGTGTCATATTTGTGGACAGGCAAAACGATGGTGAAGCATTGCATGACATGCATTGTTTAAAATGGCATTGCTGCACTTACATTAGTTAATTTTTACAATTTTCCCCAGTTTTTAAAACCTGTTTTGCATATCTCCCTTTTTCTCCCTCGTCTGAATATCAGTGCCAACAACAAATGCGAGGAATGACAGGGGAAGGGGTGGTGCCCAAAGAGGAGGGGGAGGTGGAAACAACAGGGGAGGAGGAAGGGGAGGGGCATTTGGGACTGGAGGGGCGGGGTTTGGCAGTGGGGGAGGAGCTGGAATGGGTGAGAGGGGCTTTGGAGGAGGGGGGGGGGAGCAAGGGGAGGGGGCGGAGCCGGGTTTGGAGGGCCGAATCAAAGAGGCGGTAGAGGCTTCTCTTCAAATGCTCCACAGTCAAGACCTCCACTGAATCAGTTGCCTGCTGGGTAAGAAATGCTTGTAAATTGTGTTTCCACCATATTGATGTTAACAATTCATAGTGCACAAATTCAGGATATATCGTTGTCTAGTTTCCATTTGTGGGCATTGGTGCAATAGAGAAAAAACAGTGGGGACTGACTGGTATTCAGTAGCACTTGGAACTGCATTTCTTTAGTTCTTTCTTGGGAAATAAGTAACATTAGAGTTAATTGTTAGTAAAGCACTTGCAAAGAACATTACAAAATTACCTGTGAACCACAGGGACACTGCTGCCCCCCCCCCCCCCGTGTGTTCACCTATCACCTACTACAACTTGCAATTAGCTTTTAGAGACCAAGAAAATGGATGTAATGAATGTATTTCCTTATCTAGCGGGCAGTCGTTCTTTGCTGGTTCCGGTGGCAGTGGTGACAACGCAGTGGTGTGTGACTGTGGGAATGATGCTTTGAAGCTAACTGTCAAGAAGGAAGGCCCCAATAATGGTACATCGTACATATCTCAAAGAAAAGGACATTAACACTGACTGAAATCTTATGTTCATTAAGAAGCCAGCTTGCTGGATACATTACTTTGTACATTTTGACAATAGCAATTTCAAGTGGCCAGAAGCAGTGTAGATCTTATGACGTGCCCCACAAAGTTGATCTACTTCTGGAAAAGAATACTTTGGCCCAGATCTCATGGATGGTGTCATGTCTGGTACCAGATCTCCCAGACAAATTTTAAGAAGTTGCTGAGCAGTGTTATAGTTGGGACAATCACAAGACCACTCACAAGTAACAAGGTGGACACTGACAGGGTTATTCTTTTTGTTGCAGTTCACTTTGGACCGGAGGTCTTGTGTTGGTCTGGTGGGGTCTTGTGATGGTCTTCATAGGTTTTGACTACAATGCTGCTACTAAGACAGTTCTTACTAAACATTAACTCCTTTGTGACTAGTTTCCAGACTTGTATTTAGCATGCAGCTTGCTTCACCAAATAGGGCCCAGAGTGGCATTTATCGGAAAGGGAAAATGTTAGATGAGTTTCAAATCAACGACTGCCAAAGTCCTACTTAATTTTCAGTTTTCCTAAAACCCCAGCAACAACTTCGCATCTTGTAATCATTTGCCCAGGACGTCAGTTTTATAAGTGCAATAGTGGAAACTGCAATTTCTTCCTGTGGGCTGATGAGAACTCGACACCCAACGACTCCTCGAGTAACCAGAGCAGCCTGGGCCGGAAAGCTGGAGAGAATTCCTGGAATGCCCAGTATTCCACCGGAAACACCTGGAGTAGCGGCAGCAGTGGGTATGAGTCGGGGAAAGACTCATCGTCTGGACTGAGAACAAACAACTGGGGAGAGGTTATGTGCCAGTGCGGACAGGCTGCAGTATTGTGAGTCAAAGAAGTATACAGACTTTGTTATACAAGAAGTGGAAAAACTGAGAAAAAAGCAAGAAATCAAGTAATTGGGATTCTCAGAATATGCTGTTTGTAAAAGTATTTGCCAATGTGTCTCAGTTTTTTCTGGCTTTCATTTCATGGTGTTGGATTATTCCATCGTAATTAATTTAATTTATATTAAGTGCTATTAGATTCTTGTCCCTCCTTCGTTTTGCATCACTGGCGGGTTCTCTTTTAAATGACAAAAACTCTGACTTCAAAAAATGTTATTTTTTTGTTTCGCTCAGACGTACAGTCCAGAAAGAAGGGCCCAACAAAGGTAGGGACTTCCACTGCTGTGGCAAACCGCAGGGTAAGCAGTGCAAATTCTTTGAGTGGGCTGACGGTAACAACAACAACAGTGGATGGGGCACTGGTGCTAGCAGAGGGGGCGGAGCCAGACACCAACCCACATGGGGTGAGTTTAAATTTCAAATATCAGTGTGAAGTGATTCAGATATTCCCATAACCTGAGAGAAATCATTCACACATAGTAAACATCACACTCTATTTTGGCTGGCTACCTGTATTTAATTTGTTTTTTGTGTTTCTAGTTGTTTTTTTGACCCAAACAAAGCTGTTTTTGTTCTCTTTATTAAAGCAAAACACAGATTTTTTCTGCACTAAACGAGCAGCCAAGAGCAAGCCAGTGATCTTCCTACTGTTTGTTCTCTGAAGCAGCATCTGAGCATTGGAAGTCTTTTGTACATTTTTTTCAATACAGGCGATGGCAGGCGAGGAGGGTTTGGTAAGAAGGGAGGAGCCAGCTCTGGGTTTGGAGGGGGTGGAGATGACACCAGAAAGAGGAAGAAACCAAAGTGTAGTCTCTGCAATCAAGAAGGTACAGACGTCCAATATGTTTGAGTCATATTCAAGCAAAAGCTTGAATAGTTTAATTTGTAATTCCTTCGTTGGTAATTCTCTGTCCTTCATTCACCTTTGTGTGCAGTAGTAGCGCCCTTGCATCAAGGACGTTTTACTACAAGTTAGTTTTGTTTCCATATTTATTTTTTGGGAGGATTCAATTTCATGTTTGGTAGGGTTTTTTCTAATACTGTTGTACTGTGATTATTTTCCAGTTTTTTCTCAAAAATGTCCCCATCAGAGTCTTTACATTGATGGGTCTGTCGTGTTTCTCTTCATTTCGGATTTCTTATTATCTGTTTGATTTGTTTATGTTTGGGTGTGAAAAAGTGCAGTTATTAACCCCGTGCATAGATTTGATCACAAAGTTTCCTTTTTTTTTACCCTCTGTTCCAGGTCACACCAAGCGCAGTTGCCCCATGAAATAAAAACAGAATTCTCCAAGCCTCCAGAGCGTGGAGTGGCCAACAAGATTCAAGTTACATGCACTGTCTCTGAATATTATGCCAGGCGGCATCCCACAGCTATGTGAAACATCATATTAATAACTCAGTTAAGATGATATTTCTACCAAATTTCTAGAAAAGTCTAGTCATCCATCTTAGAGATGTTATAATTTGAATGGACACTGCCATGTGTACAGGGAATTGGAAGCACTCCACCATTGATTGGGTACTTTATCCAAAATTTCTAATTAAATTTTCAAATTGAAACCAGTTGGATCCAGTGAGCAAGTTTGGCATTCCAACACTGCCTGCCCAAAGTGCAGTGCATCTGAGGTCATTTGGGGACATACACCTGTTTGAGGTCTACCCTATCAGCATGTCCTCACACTGAGTTGAATGTGGTTTTGTTTTGAATGACCTTGGCCATGTTTGAAATTTCAAACTGGCACATTGGAATTTCTTTCCATTTTGTAATTGGCACGAACCAGTTGGCACCAATTGGAAGTAACTGTAACCAATTGGAAGCAGTTGGATCTGGCTGGAAGCAGTTGCAACTGGTTGGAAGCCATTGGAGCCAGTTGGGACCGACTGGAACCAGATGGGATGGATGCCGCCAATCAGAACCAATTGTGACTAGCCGAACGGATTTCCAGTTCACTGGAAAAAAGCCCAGTTGGAATGATTCAAATTTCTGTAATTTGTATATTGTGCTCACGCTCCAGTTTGCTTGTTTCTGAGCATTTTTGTTGCATGCATATTCATCTTCAACATTACGTTCAAAAACCAATCTTCTGTATTCACCTTCATCATGCCCCTTTAAACCACCCTCCATTAGAGTCCTCTAGCTGTAGCCTCATGCGTTTTTCTAAGCATTTGTTTGGTCTCCATCCATGAGAAATTTTCATCTAACCATTTACTTTATTTGAGATTGGGGAATGTATTGTCTTTGTCAAGGGGAGTGTTCAGTTTGTAATATTTCAGGGTTTTTTTTACACCGCTGGAGGTTTGATGGAAACTATGGGTGTACTGAAGGGTCAACGAAAGTTCTCAAATTTTGTGCATTTCTCTCCAAACCACTTTCTCCATTGCAATAATCTCTCTTAACCCTAAAAGAGCCGGGGAGGGGGGGAACCCAACCCCTAGACATTTTTTTCTGATATCTCCACAGCATAATTTTTTCAGGAGCTGAGCTTTTAGAATTTTATAGAGTAACTTGTTGCTATTTTTTGACACCAAGTTTATGAAAATCAAACCTACCGTTCTTGCGCAGTGCCTATTTTTCTGAGGTGGGGTAGTAAAAAAGTGTACTTTTGCCACGTCTATGCTCGGTGCACACAGGCTAGCACGCATGTAGTATTGAACTTCAAATAACCATAACAACAAAATGACATGTTTGATTGATTTCAAACTTCACATTCACAATGATAAGGAGTGTCTTAATATTCCCTTGGGGTGGGGGGCCTGGAATCTGCCCCCACCTGGCTATGAGATGAGCCAATATAACCCAGTTCTTTTGAAGGTTAATCCCCTCCCCCCCAGTCTTCATAGATTTCTGTGCATTTTGTTTCTGGATAAAAGCATATTTTAAATCAGAATCAAATAACTTACATGCATGGATCATACTCATTGTGATTTCCACACTAAAAACTAACAAAAAGAAACAAAACAGATGTGCATCACCATCATTGTTTTTAATATTTGTACCAAATCGTTGTACATTAGATGTTCATATCTAACATTTTACAATAAATCTTGTATTAGTGGCAATTTTGACTGTTACTGTTTCATGTTTTCATTGTTTTGGCAGCTAGCTGTATTCTCTTCAAATGAATTCGCTCAGCAACATTTTTGGACCATTGTTCACTTGGAAAAAAAATGTGGAGGGAAAGTTTAAGATGTTGGGTAAACACCTTTCGCTCAAAATTACTGTCAAATGAACTGATACGGATGTAAAATATATAAAGCACATGCAAAGCCAAAACTATTGGAGTGCAGAGGACAGTTTTCCTTTGTAGCTGGGAGACTGCATTAATATACATGTATACTGTTTTTCGGCAACCTAAATCAGTTACATCCTGTTCAGTTGGTATAAGAAATTGTTGCCTTGTCAAAGACAGGAAAAAATCCGTTGGTCTGGTCTCATTCCAGATACTGCAAATGTTTTCAATATTTTACCATTTGGTCTGCGTAGGAGCTTTCAAGATTTTTCAGTGTGGGTACACATTCTTTTAATAATGAAAGTTTTGACGGTGAAGTTTTTTAAAAACAAAATGGATTTTCTTCTGTACTACAACCTTTTTAGCGTGCGAATAATTTTGTTAAATGTTTGTTTAATGTTCCAAATAGCAAAAAGTGCCATACCCTTCCCCAGGTGAGGTTCGAACTCACAACCTTTGCATATCTATGCAGCAACGCGTAGGTTACTGTCTATAAGTACAACGCGCTAACCTATTGTGCCACTGGGGACGGCCGGTTAGGGAAGTGGATGGTAATCATATGATAATTTCAACACTTTTTGCAAACATTTGGCAATTTTAGTGTTGATATGGATGTCGCGATTTATGGATTGGGTTCGAAAATTACGTTCCGACAATCTGTTCTTTAAAAAAAAGAGTAGAAAGCGGGGATTTCCAGTTTTCTATGCTAGAAAGTGCGTTACCTGCCTTTTGTGGGACTTTTTTTCACATCTGTTTTCGTATTGCCATCAATGAAGTAGTTCGGGTACTAGACTGGACTCTGCAATGAAATTGCGTCGAAAATTGGGCTAGACCATGTTTGTCCTGGGAGGTTCTAAATGACACATAAAATTGTATGGTTGGACAAATACCAACTGTAAATATATTGTTTATTGGCAATGTTCATAATTACCGTGTATTACAATTCTTTTGATATTTATGTTATATAATTTATTTGCAAATAAACTATAAATGTAATTCCAAACTCAGGTCTTATTGAGCGGTACTATTTTTAATCCTACCTTGAATAATACCCTATTCCAACTTGAAGACGTGTACGCGCTGCTGCTGGCTGGCATAGTTGAAATTACACATTTTACCCAAAATGAAACCACAGATGTGAGACATTGTCCAGAATGAGTTGGTTTGAAACAGGGGGGCTTACCAATTTCGCCAAATCAGCCCTATCTACCGCTCAGAAGTCCATCGATCGGGTTTTAGACATTAAACCTGATGACATCGAGGGCGATCCGGGAGGGCGACAGCAGGCGGGGGCGCGGACGTCGACATCGACGCGGTCAGCATCGCGGAATGACAAGTCGACAGGCTTCTCAACTCGTTCTAAAAATGGTAACATGTCGTTACCAACTGACACACATCTTCACTTTTGTGCCAGTTCGCGAAAACCGTGATTAGCACAGTTTTGGTTTCACGAAGTGACACAAATGTGCATATAAATGTGCATATTGTACACTCGTCATGCTTCGTGCAATCTCGTTTTCACGAAGAAGCACAAATGTATGTGTTGTCAATATAGCTTAGGAAAAAAAAGCTTTTAAAATCTGAAATGATTTATTTTACCCGTAAATGGGTGACTAAACTGAAAAAAATGCTCCTAAAACTCGTAACTGTGTAAATTAAGGAGAGCGTCAATTTCTGAATACGGCAAATCACGGAGCATGTGACGCAAGACATTTTTGCCTCTTCGTTAAAAAGAAAATATCACATTTCTATAAAATACGCGTTGAAGCACGCACACATCTATAGATTTGTGTTACTTCATGGTGTTGGTGATGATATTGTCGAGTAGGCCTAGTAGTAGTAGCAACAGTGTTTAAGGAAAGAAGTATGGAGTTTGTTGATATAATAATGCAGTCGGGCAGCAGTGTTGGCAGTGATTTTAGAAAGTGGACAGGGTACTTGTCATTCTGCATTTACAATTTGTTATAAAAGATTTGGCAATGAGAATGAACATTCCGGATTTCCATCCGGACCATTTTGAAAACCCATCAGGCTTTTTTTGTTATTCATTATTTGGACAAAAAAGCAATAGGTCCACAGTCGTTGAAAAAACTAGTACAACACTGTATATACCTTAGTCATCTGTCACTTTCCAAAGGTTTATTGAAGATGAGCACATTCTCTGCATCCGTAACCCTGAAGAAATCCTGATATTTGAAATTAAAACGTCATATGGGTTCTCTAAATATTTAACTGATAAAATGATATGTGTTAAATATTTCTGACGAATAGATTTTGCAAATTAAATGATTTCATATTAGCCTGCCGTAGCCAGGTAACGTAAGGGCCATTGTGGCTGTGCATGCAGTATGTGCAGACATTGAATTCAAAAATCGTCCAATGTCTTATGTGATTCATTCCATCAGTAAAAATGAAAACACTATGTGGCTTTTATGGTTATTTAACTTTGGCATACATTCATTATTTTCTTTAATGTGCGTTACTGGACAGAAAGCTAAATTGAAACATAGCACGTATACATCGCATTGATGCGTGGTCATTCAAGCTGGAGGGCTTTGTGATCGTCACGTAGTTGGTCTAAATACATGTGCCACACATTGATAGCGAGTACGTATCCATGCAAAGAGAACCAACCTTGAAATAAATAAGTAGACTTGCTCTCAGTCAGTTTTGCATCATTCCATTTGTATGACAGCAATGTTAAGTTGTCACACTATGAACTCCCAGTTTACTTTGCAGCCATTTTCTAACCATTTCCGACTGGTTTCAGCAGTATGTGGGCGGTGAACGGAAACCCAGGATACTCATTCTCATGGCCTTAGATAATCAGAAAAGCTTATTTAAAAATATATATTTCAAATTGAAAGGTTTTGCAGATTAGATTTTTAGTCCTTTTTTTGTTAATCTAACGGAACAGATACATTGTCGCCAACATCATCTAAGACAAACATTAAGAGTGATGACAGCTTCTTCAGTGCTTTCTTGAATGATCCCACTCCATCAAAGTCATCTGCTGGTAAGACCAAGACAAGCAGAACACCCGGCAGAGTGGCTGCCTTGAACTCAAACACAAAGAAAGCCCAGAGGCAGAAATCAGTGGATGATGTGACGACACCTGAGAGACAAGAGACTGACAAGAATGAAGTCAGTGAGGTTGCACAGCAGCCTAGGGGGAACAGAGTTCAGTCGGAGGACATTTCTGTCGGTCAGGTTCCTTGCGAGGTAGATGCAGCAGTGCTAGGGAATGAGAACAGATCCTCATCCGTCCCTGTTGAGGAGAAACCAATCGAAACGGGGTCTACTAGTTTGTTGGACCAGTCGTTGGAACCCCTCGAAATCTCAATCACTGAAGCAGGAGACATGACAGGTTCAACGTCCTCATTTGTCCCAATTTCCAAGGAGGACGTTGAGGACTACCAGCCGGCTCCCGTCTCGCCACAATCGGTGGACGATCTCATGAGCGTCTCTCAGACTGAACTCCGTGAGGAGTCTGAAAATCAGGAGCAGGAATCAGGCAAGAAGGAGCCCGACGAAGTGGAGACTGAAATTAAGAAAGAATTCGCCGCCAAAAACCGGGACGGTTCGCCCACAGACGTGAAATCGGAACACTCAGTGGAAACCAACCCAGAGAGCCATGCCACATCCAGCAGTAGTGACTTTGTCGTCATCAATGAGTTTGCCGGCAGCGAGCAGTCGTCGCTCTGCAACTACGATACCAGGGAATCGCCTGACAATCAGTCCCCGAAGCATTTCTCATCTTCCTCCAACGGGAAAAGGAGCCCCGACAGTGACTTTAGCATCATCTCCGAGGGGCGGTTTCACGATGTGTCCGACGGAAGCCACCAGATCCCTTCCCTGCTAGATGAGGTACCGTTCAGCAGTCGTCGGGACTCCGCTGCCTACTCGGCGGATGTCGAATCAGAAGACCAAGACGAAAGGGAGGTGTCGGCCTTCGATTCCTCCTTCAAGTCACTCGGAAGCAGCGACGAGTTACGAGAGGGGAGCAGAACTCCCACCCAAGAAGAAAGGCAAGGCTCAGATGCAGTGGTACGCAAAGAAGAAGAAGCTCCTTGTGAAAACACACCGAGACCTGTCGCTGTTGCAAATGGTATGTGGTAGCATTATTAACCCTAACCCTCCTCAATCCTTCACCTGTTGGAGGACTGAGGAGTGTTAGGGTTAAAGGATCCATGCAATGAATATTTCTGTAACCCTAACCTTCCCCAACCACACAGAATTAAACAGTAGTAAAGTGTTTAATTCTGTGGGGATAGGTCTGGTAGGCCCATAACAGCTGGCTTTTGCATTGGGTTTGGCATACCTCAGACAAACGAAGTCCAACAGCCTCTGTGCACAAAGTCCCATATTGGTGTTTAACTTTGTGTGAATGGGGAAGGTTAGGGCCAGCAACCCTTGGGGGGTTAGGGCTAACTCACTTTTGGTGCATCTTACACGTTAATACTCCTCTTCCATGTAGGAAAACTGAAATCCTTTTGGAGTTTCATACGGGTATTGAAAAGTTCACTTTTTGTACATTAAATGTTGTCCAGGCTTTTCTGTTGGTGTGATGTAAATCAGGGAGGACACTGTTTAGTTTAACTACATGTTTTCATTTTCAAATTTTGAGCCCCATATTTGCTCTTTGAAAGCATTTCTGAGAAAATGTTACTCACTCAACCCACACAATAACACCATAATAAATTGCCTAAGGAATTAACAACAGCAAAGTATAAACAATTCCAGCAGCTTTTTGTGAACAAATTGGTGCAACATTTAAGTTCAGTGCCTGGTATGATGTTATACTTTACTCACGAATATGCAAATCTGTATTAGCATAAAAACTGAAAAGGCTCCAAAATACAGATTAAAATGGCAGAACATAAACTGAAAATAAGGCTGACTGAAGCTCAAAGGTGCAGTTCCAAAGTTGTAGTACAATAATTGTATTGCATGGCCCCTGTACATGTATATGTGTAGGCTAAGTGATCTCAGATTGTTTTGTCTATTTGCTGTCTTTCCTTCCTCGTCTTAGTCAAACCTATCCTAATGCTGAAATAGATACCCTCTAAACAATAACATGAAGCTGAGATTTATACATCATTCAAGAACAGACTGATGTTATTGTAAATGACTTTTCCTGAAGTTAGGTTAAAGATGAAGTGTTAAGACATTCTGAATTTCTTTAAAAGTATGGAAACAACAGTAGGGGTTATGCATTGCTGGCATTTTTGTTATTTTTATTTAGTTACATTGATGCACTTAAGGTTTACTCGAGCCTATCCCAGTGATACGAAACTCTTGCCCTCTGAGGACGAGTTAATGCATTACCGCTTTCCCTCCTGCACCCCCGCATCCACGGATCAGAATGACTGTAACATCAGTGGCAAAGGGGACTTTTTCCCATCAGTGTTCCAAAAAACTTTGCACACCAGTACCTTTCATGTCTTTCTATATGAACATAAATCCACCTCATGCAGTTTACCAGGCTGTTTTTAATGCTTCGATGGAATGCATGTACCTGTGCATGTAAATTGTTTCCCTTAAAAATGTTAAATATTTTGAAATTCACTAAGGTCTGTGTTGATGTTTCTGCACTTTGGGTTGAATATTCATGACCTTTGACCTAAATAGGAAATGTGCTGTATTGCAAACCTACATGTACTGTTGGGTGCGTTGGTTTTATTTCTTCACAATAGACTCTACAGGATGTTGACAATTTGGCTGTCGTCGTTTTTTCCCACAGGTTCATTTCTTATAACATTTCCTGTACACGGATAGTGCTAGTGTACCTACCAGTTGTGCAGTGATTGTTACCAAGGGCTCGTTCACTGTCCCCATGTTGACAGATTTACTTGCAGGCTTGTCTGAGCTGCATATTTATTTTTCACAAAAGGCACAAATGAGCACTGTGCTTTGGGCCATATCATTGCTTATGTATGTGTAGTTTCCACTCTTCCCTTTTCCGTTGTCCACCCAGAAGTTTGGTGTTGGATAGACTTACATGTGTATATACATGTAGCCACTGATGGCATCTACGTACGCGTTTGCAGGCTCGCCTTATCCTACTCTTTTTTCACAACTTAGTTCGCATGAAATGCACAGGGCCGGCCGGGAGGTGAATTCTTACTTGCCACAGCCGTGATAAGGAACTCATGTTTCAGTGACGCTTTAGAAACCATGAAAAATAGAGTTTTTCCCAAGTAAAATATTGGTCTTACCCTTTATGCCTGCTTTATTCCTAAGGGCCTGATTCTAGTTAAAGGAGAATTTTTTCTTTTGGTTTTAAAAAATATGATGGAAGTATGTAACATTGTGTTCATGTGAATTTATGAACTGAGCCATTGATTACCATATCTGCCTATTTACATGTACATGAACCTTTTGCAGCTCAGAGCAAAATTAAAGAAAAAAATGTTTATTCTTTATTTCCGCCTAGGAATTTGTTTGTCAATTTTTTTTATGTGTCAGCAGCTGATGCAGCTAACACAAATACAGCTGGGATGGACCAGACACATGGTGACGGCCCAGAGCTATCCCAGAATCCATTGCAACCAGAAACGTTGCTGAAGGTGCGTTTGCAAAGTATTGATTTTAAGTGGCAGTCGGATGTACATGTAAATTCAGTCTGGAAAAGCGGATTATTCTTTTCTGTACCAACTGAACTCTGTACCAACAATTATTTCTGCCAAATGTTTTTGATCAGTTACATCCTGTTCCATTTTGAGAAAGGGAAAAAATGCACATTTGTATGTTTGTTTCAGGTGTGTTTCAATCAAGGTGCATGGTAATGGTTAGAACTGATGCCAAACGAGGTTCTTTGTACCTCTATCCTTTTGTACTCAGGAATGCAGATTTCTTGTCCTGAATTGCCAAATTTTCCATGTAATTAAAATGTAATAGAACTTGGGTTTGCATATTAATTAGGTGTAGCAAATTAAATAACAAAAAAATGGAATTGGCCTGCCCCCAAAAAATTAATTCTGAAAAGTCATTTAGAATGCGATGTACATTCCAAAAGATTCTGGAAGATTACTGTGAACTATTCTGAAAGGAATACTGTACATATCATTCCATATTCAATTAAGTTTGCAGTTTGGAAAAAATGGAGGTGTGCCTTTACAGCTGAATAGAGCTGTTTCAATGGCAGTGACAGTCAATATGCCAAACTGTAGAAAGAAACATATCAAGGTCATGAATAAACATGAAGACCAGATACACTGGGCCACAGCTGTGTCCACGGGTTTGGGTATCGGTCATTTTTAATTGCATCATTTAGGTGGAAGATTTTAATCGATAATGCTGACTAATATGTCAGACAAAGTGCGTGAAACTTGCCCCGTGGAGAAAAAGCCCTCCATTTTTGGCTCTCTTGAATAAACTTACAAAGGATAGTCTTGATGTTGTCTGGGGGGGTTGGGTTAAATGGTGTATACAAAAGTTAATAGAAACAAGCATTGATTATACACCGTCTGTTTCTGAGTTCTTGAACTGAAATCCATTACCTAGGGTCAGTGCATAATTGTAAAATGGTACAGGTGATTTGAGCTTAGAGCTGCATTTTTAGAATTCTAAATTATGTATGTAAATGAGACCCTTTGAAAGACATATTTTGCATGTTTTCCTCTCTAATACGCAACATCCAGATTTGTCATAGTTTGGTGTTGCTCCTGTACTGCAGGTTTCAGTCTTGAGGGCTACTTTTCAGGGTTAGGTCTAGGGTCAAAGGTCAGCATTGATCATGCATGATGAATTAGCGCTCTAGTAGTTTCAAGTACATGTACTTGTAGGTCTATGGAGGTCACTCACTGTCCTTGCCTGACATGTCTGCCTATTGGTGCTTTTGATTCTTGAATTCAAAATTGCTTTGTCGTATATTTTTATTAACTTCCTGTCCTCTGTTTTCAGAAACTTGCTGACATGGCTCAAGTCTTACAGGCCAGGGAAGCTCAAACGATGACCCTCAGCACCAAGAATGCTGACCTGCAAGAAGCTGTCAACATCTTGAAGAGGTACAGAGATGGTCGTTTCCCTCTTCCTAGGCAATCACTATTTAGCAGTGGGAGTCTCCACCCTTCCAATTGCAATCACCTAGTTGTCCCTACCTCCCCTCCAAAATGTCTTAAACCATCACTTATGAGAAGAGAAGTACCCAAAATGAAGGTGTGAGATTTGTATGGTTTGATCAGGTCACTGTTAGGGCTCTCAAATACAGCAATACAGTGGTCGTTTTCTGGACTGGAGTCATCTGTCAGTCATGAGGAATTAAGATAAACATCACAAACAACACATGGCAAGTTGGCAAGTGCTTAGATATTTGCGGCCTCTCCTTGTCACAGCTCTCAAGTTTGCTTGGCTCATTCTTCCCACAGTCAGTTGCAGCAGGCAGAGGAGGCGAGGGAGGCAGAGATGACGGACGTCAACCAGCTGACGGAAGAGTTCACCCAGCGTATATCCTCCATGGAGAAGAAACTGCAGGCCTCGCAGAAAGAGCGGGACACGCTGAAGCGAGAGGTGCAGAGACTGACCAGAGAAGTATCCCTAAGGTAGGAAAGTTGTTAGGGCAGTTAGCTCACCTACTCACCAAGTGGTCCACAGCACATAAATCTGTTATTGGAGGCATACTTGATGTGTCTTTATTCACAGTGTATCATGGGAAAAACAAGTGACATCTGTCGCTCAACTCAGTCCCTAGTGTCATTGTCATGCTCTTCATTGTCATCTAAACTTACCTGATGATTGTTACAGCCATCAAACTATCAACACTGCCACTATTACTGTCATCTGAGGAATCCAGTTTGCCCGTCTTTCTTGTGACATCTGTCGCTCAACTCAGTCCCTAGTGTCATTGTCATTCTCTTCATTGTCATCTAAACTTACCTGATGATTGTTACAGCCATCAAACCATCAACACTGCCACTATTACTGTCATCTGAGGAATCCAGTTTGCCCGTCTTTCTTGTCCCCAATCCTCCAGTCCTCTCCCCTCCTTAAATTTCAGGAAAGAAATTGTGACGCAGCGAATTCAAGAAAAATGGTCTCTCAAAATACTTGAGAAATACCAACAGTTTTTCTCACGTTTGCTCCTTTTCTTCCATCGTTTTTCCAGCACATCCCACGTCAGTTATTTAGTAGTTCCTTCTGAAGAAAACTAGGATAATCTGCAGTGCAGTAATTTCAATGTTTCATATTCAATCCCTCAGAACTGTGTGGCGTATTCTGATTTGAATTGTTTGACATTGTTGTAAATGTAAGTGCTTGTTAATGATTGAGAGAATACTTTTTTTAACTCCTTGCCTCATTGCAAATTTACCACAACAGTATCATTTGAGTTTCATCCTTTTAAGGTCAAGGTTATTCTAATCCAAATCTCATTTGGCCGTTTGTCACTCTCACAGAGACAGCAACAATCAGACGGAGGCCGTCTTGAGGGAGAAAGACCAGACGATACGGGACCTGATGGCCGAGGGAGAGAAGCTGTCCAAGCAGCAACTGCAGAACTCCAACATCATCAAGAAGCTGCGCAGCAAGGAGAAGGACAACGAGACCGTGATCAAGACGCAGACGTGCGTACTAGCTGAGTCATTGGGAATGCGGGCTTGTAGTGGCCCTGGCTCGCAGTCAGATTGTTGCATTAAGTGCCTTGTGATTCCTGCTGTCCATTTTGGGGGGCAAAAAGTCCACAGGTCACAACTGGACACTGAACGATTATCAAGTTGGCACTTTTGCAGAGTATAAAGTCTTAAATGTGATAGCACTAAAATCTAATCCAGTTCGACCCATTTGTGTCAGTTAATAGGGTCATTCACAAAACTTTTTACTGTTCCATCATGAGATTTGTATGAGCTGTTGTATCGTAGGTCTAGTGTGAGTGTGGTAGGTGGAAGCAGATCTCAACTTGGTGACACTACCCTTGACTTTGGGAGTAAGAGAGGCTTCAGCCAAAATCAGTCAAGAAATGAATATCCTTAGCAACTTTAAGAGTCAACTAAGAGCTACATTCTTCCACAAGGATTTTCTAAATAGTTCCAAGACTTTTTTATTTTCTGTGCAGGGAACAACTGGACGAGGCGACGAAGAGAGTATCTCACCTGGAAGAGGTCTTGGACGGCAAGGAAGAGCTGGAAAAACAACAAAAAGGTGAGCTTGAAAATGGTCAGGTAGTTCTAACCAAGAAAGAATTGATCGTACGCATCATCCAAGAGGTGAAAATGTAGAAAGACAAGAGAGGAACGATCATATGAATGATTTGACATTAAACCCTCCTTTGTAATACCGTCTCAGTCAAAATCAATTAATTTAGAGGTTTGGTAGATGTATTTAGTGTAGCGGGGAAGTAGATCAAACTTTTGACCAATATTCTTCACACAGCTGAAGGCTTACAAGTTTCTGTATAATACGTTGGGTGTCCTGACAAGATGAATTTATCTGCAGCATTTTGGAGGTGTACGCAATCTAACCTATGCGTAGATATTAGGGGGTTTGTGTTCATGGTTTTACCAACCTGCTTGAAGTGTCCTCCGGTGTAGCATTTAATGGCAGGGGCTTTACTATGTTCAGTGTGTATCCAGCTTCTCTTTGTGAAGCACTTCACGGCCCAGCATATAAAGTGCCATATAAGTGTATCGTTTTGATTGTTATGTTGGATGTTTAGAACCCTCCTTCGGTTTTACAGCACAAATGTGCACAAGTGCCCACAGTCACTCTCAACACGACACAGCTGTGCTTCTTTGAGCCGTTTACCAAGTGACCCAAAGAGTGACTTCAGCATAGGAGGGTTAGAGTGTGGTCAAGAAGCAGCAGTTGTCATTTGATTAGAGAACTTTGCAAGGTCACTCAGATAATGGTTTCCAGGATCCATTCAAAGTTCCATGGGAGCACACAGGTAATGCCAAATAGCCCAAGGGGCTGTGGACTGTCGCCAACCGAGTTGACACTGTGTCCCCTTGACCCTGCCCAGATATCATCAAGAAGATGAACAGCGCGGTGGAGCGCCAGGAGAAAGAGATCAGCAACCTGCGCATTGAGCTAGAGGACTCCACGGAGAAGACTCGAAGCACCCAGGCAGCGCTGGATGCTTCTTACAAGTCAGTCATCACTTTTAACCTTGGCCCATTAATTGTAATCCCATGGCTATGCAAAAAAAACCAAAAAACACTGAAGGTGCAGGATTGGTGACTGCTCAGGTGAACTGACCCAAAACTGGCAAAATACTTCTTGTGGTTTTCTTTGTTTAGTAGATTTAACTCTAAACTTTATGCAGTGTCAACACGGAAAGTCACACCCTACCCTCTACCTACCCCAACCCAACTTAAGGTCAAAATAGTTTTTCTCTCAAATCTTTTGAAATAAAGAGACCAGCCTTTTGAGAATCACTCATATACAGAGGTAAACCTTTTTAAATTTTCAAAGATTAAGTCCTCTCTTAACCATTAAAGGTTTTCTCACTATTGGTAAGTGTTTGTTTTTCTCGAGGTTCTTTTTAAGTATATAATGAGAGATCTTACCCAAGTCTGTACAGTCAATTTAACACCTTGCTTTGTGCCTTCCTTGCAGAGACCTGGCTGAGTTGCACAAAAACATCGCCACCAAGGACAGCCAGGTGCAAGAGACTCAGCTGAGCGCTGAAATGAACGCCAAGGAGGAGCTGAGGCTAGCCCTGGAGCGCAGCCAGCAGGAGGCGCGCAGAGAGCATGAGTCCTTACTGCTGCAGGTGAACAAGTGCTCGGCGCTGCCTCTCCATCTGTCTGGAGTTGTGTCCCTCTTGACTTGGAGCCAAATCCCAACTCAGTTGCTGAGCTCCTCACTAGTTTCTCAGAGAATGAGCCTCAGACTTGAAGTTCTTGAATATTATTGAAGTCTGCCTCCTTATTTCACCAGCAGAAGCAGCTTATGTTTGATGCACGTTCCTGTGCAGGAGTTGGTCAAAGCTGTCCACTTGGTCGCTTACCTAAACCTTCATGCATGGAACACTCAAGGTTTACACGCACATTCTTGTGTAGACTACACACCTGTTGAACCCACGGAAGTCCCCCACAATCCGATCCAACATTTTAGTCCTCTCAAAGCAGTGTCGACTAGGACATGTAGACTAATGCAGTCATAACACATCTCTTTCACTTCACTGCAAGGATCTCAGTGCCTCATATTACCCCAAGCTTGTGCCAGGTCATGTGTATTTTGGTGCTGCTGCTGCACTTTCAGTGTTGGAAAGTGTCGGTACCACCAAGCATCTGAATACCACAGTTTCGCACTGCTGGTACCATGCAGTAGCACCAGAGGGTGCTGTACTAGATAAGCCTGGATCCAGTCTTGAGGAGCAGCAAAGCACATCAATTTGCTTAGCACAAAAATACAGGCTCAGCAACCACAGAAAGTCAGAGTGTTGACTTGAGACTCCTGAGACTGGTTTTTCGCTGATATTGCACGGTATTTAAACTTGCCGAGTATAGCCCTGACCAGGGGTTTCCTCTTCTGCCCACCCAGGTGAGCGATCTGCAGATGTCGTTGAGCAGACAGGAGCAGCAACATGCCCGCAAGGAGGGTCACCTGAGGCAGGAGATATCGGACCTGCAGATGAGGCTGCAGGAGGCTGAGGCACGTAACCAGGAACTCAGCCAGAGCGTCAGCGCCGGTATACAAATCAAAGATGTACTATTATCATACCTCATGGATATTCATGATCAAGAGCTGAGTTCATACTGGCTTGTTCCATCATTTGCCAGTTGTTATTTTTGCTGTTTATTAGGCATGCATGTGATAATCCACATGCAAGTCAAATATTAGTAGACTGTTAGGGAAAATAAGGAGAGTTGTTAAAGCCATTACATTTTGAAAATGAAATACATTTTTAGCTTCAAAATGTGAGTGATTTATCTTCAAAAATGTGAGTGATTTATTACTGAGGAGGATATTTTTGTTAGAAAGGGAACATTTAAAAGCATCTGATTTTGTTTTGATTGCACAGCAACTCGTCCACTGCTGCGCCAAATCGAAAACCTGAACACCACCTTTAACGCCCAGTCAGGTAACTGGGAGCAGGTGGAGCGTAGCCTGACGGAGCGGCTGGCCGAGAGCCAAGCCCAGCTCGCCTCGGCCACCGAGAAGGAGCGCAGTGCTACGGAGTGTGCCCTGGTGGCCGAGTCCAAGCTGTCCTCTCTGGAGTCCCAGCTGGCCCTGCTGCGGCAGGACAAGTCGCGCCTGCAGGCCGGCCTGGAGATGGAGCGGGCCAAAGTGGAAGCATTGGAGGAAGGGAAGGAGAGGTAGGCAGGGCTGGAATAATCAGGCAGGAAACAGGAAGGGAGGAAAGACTCAGAATGGCAATGATGTTTCAAACAAATGGCTGTCGGCGTATAAGTAACACCTGTTGTCTGCCAGCTTTTGAACCTTGTGGATGTGGTGCATAATTACCATCTTGATAGTCAAAATACCAAACTTTTGAGTGCAACTTTTGCTTTGTGCCCATGCTCACAGGCCTACAGATACTTGTACTCATTCCACTGAAAATTCTTGTCCAAAGCTAATCATTACTTGCCCCCATGACCAGTGACATAACCAATGTGTCTTTCATAGGCTGCATTGAGGAAGCTACACAGGGCCATCTTTTTCTTACGTACAGAAAGACAACTTTGATTTTCCTCAAAAGTTAGGTACAGTGAAATTTCAGTTTGCAGAAACAGGGTTCCAGAAATGGATTTGTGTCTACTTCAGCAAATGTTAAACATTTTTTGTTGCCCAGCGAGCTTCCTGCCCCTGATTAATTGATCCAGTGGTCGATTCTTGTTTCCTCTCCTTTCTTAAAATGTTCGCAGAGACACAGCGCGCACAGAGGCCCAGCTGAGCACCTACACTAGAGCCTTAGAGGAAGCCCAGAGGGAGAAGGCACACTTGGAGAAACAGCTGGAGGTGGAGAAGATGAGAGTAGAGGCGGAACGCCGCAAGCTGCTGTTGGCCCAGGAGGCCCTGAACGAGAAGGTCAGGCTGGTTGGGCTGGACCCGGGGGTGGGAGGGAGAGAGCAGATGGATTTTGGGAAAGGGTTAAAAGTCTGTCCAAATGTTCCAGTAGCATCAGACTTGCCGTGTGAATACCGTTGCTGATCAATCGATGTGTACTCATGTGTTTCTTTTTGCCCTTCAGGAGCGAAGGTTGACGCAGCAGGCGGAGGATAGCAACAGTTCCCATGGCAACCGCTCTGGAGCCAGCACCCCCGTTCACAATCTGCCGAGCACTCCTGGTCCATTCCACACCCCAACACAGGTCAGGGAGAATCTCTCTCTCTTTTTTGTGTCTGTCCAGCTGCTGTTCTCAATTGCTTGTCTAGAGATGATACATGGTGGTGCTTTCTACAGACAAAATTGTTTGTCTAGATGTTAAGCGATAATGAAACTAATGATGGAGTGGCCCGAGCTACTAAAAACCAGTAAAAACAGCAGGGAAATGAAAATGTTGGTATAACGTTTCCTTCCAAACGTGGAATATTGTTACATTAAAAATACACAAATATTTCAATTTCGTGTCATTTGTAAAACTTTCACGAAAGAACTTGCAGTTTGTTGCACCTGGACTTGAAGAACATTTTTGCAGCTTTCTTAGAAGAAAAGCTAACGAGTCGGTCCTCCTCTTTCAAACAGGTTGACATTTTGGAGCGGACCATGTCCTGGTCGACCTCTGGGTCTCTGTATGACAGCATAGCAGGAGGGTCTGTTTCATCGGTCATTGAGGGCCTGCAGTCACAGCTAAAACAGAGAGAGGGAGAGATAGCACAGCTGCAGGTAAGACACCGTCCCCGTCTTCCTTTGACTCAGGCTTCAGATCTGACTTTGGCCGCTAATGAAAATGAAAAAAATCAGGCTCTGACTGATGTTGGAGGTTAGTGCATTCATTTGCATGTGAGATAGGGACCCAGACCACACTGCACCGGAGAATGAATCTGGAGCGCTGGTTTCATAAAGTGAGTTAGAAATACACCTGGACCACAGTAGGGATCAGTTGAGAAGACGTGTAATTCAGAAATTGTCAGAAACATAAACCCTGGTTTGTAAACCAATGAGAAGGGATCACATCCTAGCCTGAAAGCACTCCAGAAATACTGCATTCTTCGCTGGCTGTAATTTTGCATGGTGACTGTTCAGGCTGGCCAACATGAAATGTTACTTGTGCGGAAGCATGTTGTAGTGTCCAGTCTGGGGTGTTGCACAGTTGTCAAAGATCTTGTTGTGGGATTACCCTCTGGCCAGAGCCATACAGAAACATCCTCTGACACTGTTTGCAGGGGGAAATCGTCCAGCTGGAGCGCACCCGCGCCTCCATGGCCGAAGAGATTGTCAAGCTGTCCAACCAGAACGAGACTCTGGACGAGCAGGCCAGGCTGGTGCCGGAGTACAAGAGGAAGCTCATTGTGAGTCTATCAGCGGCCGTCTGTGGTTGAGAGTAAAGTTAGCATGCTGCCCTCTCACTGTAAAAACACCCACACTTGTGGTCTGTGGTTGAATCACGGAGAATAAAGTTACCACACTGCCCTCTCACTGTAAAAACACCCACACTTGTGGTCTGTGGTTGATTCACGGAGAGTAAAGTTAGCACACTGCCCTCTCACTGTAAAAACACCCACACTTGTGACAGTGGCTTAGATTTAATGGATTAGTTACTTGTGATCTTAACGTTCCAATTCCCCTGTCTACTTTAAATATATGTTGAATATATGAGGATTTGCCAAGTGAATATTTTCTGCGCTTAGCAGCTTTCTGTGCTCAACAGCTTTGTGAAATTTGATCTAAGGCTACTTTCAAATCTGCTGTCTGGAACATGGTGCAGGTCTTTGCCACATTGGAAAAACGCAGAGATGCACTGACAGTAGACATAGTCATTGCTCTGGAAGCCCAATTCAAACATGACCCTACCAAGTGCACCAAACCCAGACGGATTCAGCACGAAATGAGGTTATAAATCCAATGATTCTTTGAAACAGTCGATTCTCTGAAATCACCCGTTTCAATGTGGCAATCCACAGGAGACCGAGACTCGTTACAATGCCGTCCTGCAGATGTACGGTGAGAAAGCGGAGGAGGTGCAAGAGCTCAAACTGGACCTGCAGGACGTCAAGGAAATGTACAGGCAACAGGTTAGATTTGAGAAACAAAGGAGGGGGGGTGCCATTAACCCTAACCCTCCTCAATCCTTCACCTGTTGAAGGACTGAGGAGTGTGAGGGTTAATAGCAGGTATAGTTCCTGATCCCACTTTGGATAAGGTTGGCACAGTGCCACACTCGTGTGGTTGACATTCCTTTCACTTGACCTTTCTGGACTGTTCCCCCCAATATTATTCCCTCATAGATCGAAGACCTTGTCAATTCCTGAGCGAGGCAGAGGAAGACACCAGACACAGTGCAATCTAGTCAACAATTATCATCCCCCTAACACCCACTGAAATTCTGCAGAAGTATTGGAAAACATCGCAGGCAATTAGGTGTGAGAAGGTGTTCAAAGTGGCTTCAGCAAAAGAGGTGTTCACTTCGTCAGCAGTTATCAGTATATTTCTAGAAAATCAAACCATTAAACGCAAGAGAGTTCCTAAACGGATGGCTTTAAAAAAAAAGTGGCAAATTTGGGCAGTCCCTTGTCCAAAGTCAAACTCTTGGCACAAATTTGGGTTGATTTCATTTTTGGAGGGGATTGCGGATCTGTGGAACGAATTCAAGGTACCCCAGTAGCACGTCACTGCATTTCGTTTGGAGCTTGGGATACCTTTACTTGCGTACATAACATCAGTGTATGAGGAGGATTAGCGCTGAAAATGAAAATGATCTATATTAGAAACTATTTGCCAAGGTTTTCTCTTTTTTTTTTTCTTGATGAAACTCAGAAATTTAATGGCATCCGGACTTCGGACGTACATTCCCAATTACTTTCTGTGTAACTATCATTGTCAAACTGTTTTGTGCCTTAATTGAAGCATGCAAAATGGTTGTACATATGTAATTTCATCTTGTATATGCACCAACTAATTCATGGGGTTTTGTTTTGGTCAGTGCATGTATTTAACGAAATAAGGTACTCCTGAAAGGATTTGTTATTTTGTGGGGTTTCTTTATAACAAATACTGTAGCACTTTGTTATTTATTAATTTAATTGCTTTTATTTTTTTATTAGATTTTTTACGTTGGGACTTGGGACTGTGATTAAACAAGTGACTCAACCTTTTAAGTGGGACATGGAATTAGGTAAAGATTTTTTAATCCAAGTTGAAGTTTTGAAATTGAAATGGTTTACCTCGAGCCACAATTTAAACACTTTTACTCACTTGTGGGAGTAAAGATTTTTCAAATTATATTTATTTTTCTTGTGTTTTTAATAACTACGTTTTATTTCTGCAATAATTGTTAGCTGTACAATCTTTTGTGCGTGTGGTCATACTTGATATCTAATTAAATATAAAAGCTATTTTTTTTAAATTTCAAATTCCAATTCAAGAGTTGATAGAACAGTAGAACCTACATGTAGGGGGGAGATATTAACATAGCATGCATGTGTAACGGCAGTCAGTCATCTGTAAAGAATATCGGAACTGTTGATCGTTCCTGTGGACTGGTGGATTGAACAACAAATCTCAACAGGAATGCATGAACACCACGTAGATTATGTCATCACTCTTGAAGAATTGTCAGGGTAAACCTCTGTCATGGGGCAGCCATCTTACTTTGCTACCTTTCAAAGCAATGTAACCAAACTGAGGCTGGAAGGACAAATAAACTGTTCCCTTTTATTAATATGTGTGAAGTTGCATTACTATTGCCAAATGGGCTACAGGGAACAATACAAACATGGCAGCATCATGATTTAAAGTCTATAGCAAGCGAGGTCTCCTTGCCATCATAATTAAGACTGGCATGATCTCCAGTCTGAACGCAAGTCACAAGCTATTCAAATGAACTCAAGTAAAAGCATTTCTTTGACATTTTTCACCCTGTTACTTGTAACTGGTCTTGTGACTGAGGGCAAATCCAGAACCAAATTTTTGGGGAGGGGGCAAATCATGTTGGAGTGGCCAAAAGTTTTGGAAATTTTCATGCAACCTTTTATGACCTTACTTAGGGTTGAGGATACATTTTAGTGCTTTTTACACGCTTTTGGAAAGAAGGGAAGGGAAGGGAAAAAGCACCAAATCTATTCACTTTTATTTTTGGGGAGGGGGTAGTTATGGTCCTGTTCCCCACCCTCCACGTGTCTTGCTCATGACTGGTCTTGCGTCTGATGTTTAGGATAGTCTTGACTACAGCACTGGCTGTGGTCGTGTATTGCTTATAATTAAGCAAGCAGAAAGCAATGCCTGTCAACATGGTTTTCAAAACTTTGGAAAAGTCTGCAATGTTTATGCTATACTTTATGGTGCAACATAGAAATGAAGATATGCAGGGCATATGTGCATGCATGGTGCATTCTATTGGTGATCAAAACTCTTACAAGCACGAGCAATCGATTCGGGCCATCCATGAGTTTTTAGCACTGATCATTGAAGGCTTTTTTTCTCAAAGAGAAGTAGTTCTCTTGAATACGTGGGTCGTGATGTGCATCACGTGTGGCTGGTGGTTACTATTGGTAACTTCTGATTACAAGGGTGGGGGTTGGAGAGCATGGTGGGCCAGATGTGATTGTGGCCTTGGTCAAGTCACGTTTCCCCCCCCCACTGGCCCCTCTCTACCTGGGAACATAAATGAGGGCAAGGGGGATGTTAGGGTTGAGTAGCTAGGCACTGTACCAAAGTGTGATGTCGTTTTGAACTAGGAAGTGTAGTGCAATTGAATGGCGTGCTGGTTCTCACAGTAATGCCTTTTACTTACATCATTGCGCACGTGACATATTTATCTAGATACCCTGTACTCCCTGGGAGCTGAAGTGGTTTTTAGAAAGTGTCTGGGCTTGATGAGCAGGGATCATGACATGACGGGCCTGTTGACTCACATGGATCCAGATTGCGATCAGTGATCCATTTAACTGACACCATAACTTGCATAATAGATGGAGCGCACCAGCATTAGGATCACTGATCGAGATCCGGATCCGTGCAAAATAAACTGGGCCATAGTTTACTAAGCACCAGTGCTGGTGGACATGCTTTATAAATACAATGCAGCTTCATTGTCATATCGTCGGCAATGGGACAGGCCATCTTGCCAGTCCCTGTACAGAGTAGATGCAACTACCTTCCCACAATGGTTCCAAAACGTTCTGTGTCTATATGTTGTACATTAAAAGAAAATCACTTGCCACAGGGAGCACAGAATTCTTGTATTTTTAGTCCATGACTTTCGTATTTCTCCATCACAAGATGTATGAGGAACACAACAATTGGGCATGCCCTTGGGAAGTCTTCTAACCCTCAGCTTGTTGAAGCAGCTCCCATTTCCTCTTGTGGGAGTTTGGAGGTCATGGAAAAAACCAAACAAACCGATGCAACGTGTGTACTGAGCCAGGAGGAATTATTGTTGTCTACTTGAGGAAATGTATACCATATGGGGTGTTCATACACCAATGTGCTTGCTCTGATGGATACACTTTATCGTGCCCTTTTGATACATGTAAAATATGCTCCTTGTACTTATATGAAAAATTACTTAACTACAGATGCTGTTTACAGGTGACTTTCTTGACCTAGAAATTCGTGACATAGAGGGATACTGTTCTTGCTTTGTTGATAGGATCGTACCTGTCAACTTACTTTGTGTAAAAAGTAAAGTTTTATTGAGCTAATTCTGTCACATGACTCGCCAAAACACTTGAACACTGCCTGCAGTGTGGTGGCTGGAGAGCACAGAATTGCCATTACATGTACAGTGATGGTTTGGGGAAATGCCCACGTCAATTAAAAAAAGGTGTAGAAATGTAAAAAGAAGAGGTGCATTTCAGAGTATGGTGTATTTTTGTGTACACAATTTGTTAAGAGTAAACATTTTGGAAACTCACGACTTTCAAGTGTTGATGTGAGTAGTGCTGCAGCTGAACTGCCAAACCAACCAACAAATGATTTTTCTCCGATTACTTCCTGCCAGTCTGGCCAATCAAAATGGTGGGTGGAGTTGCATTCACCTTACTGTACCATGGAGCAATGGTATCAATAATATACTACTTGGTTCATGTGCTGTCAAAGCAAATCAACATTAGCCCAGTAAATGTCGGAACTGAACCCGAGGGCTTACTTCAAGTACTAGATGCGAGGCCATTTTGTCCCCCAGTGTCACTTATAAGTGGCCTGTCTGTTTGCCACATCTTTATGAAGATGCATTCTACTCTTGCAGAGGGCATGTTCCTATTAGAATTGTTACACTTCAGGAGGTGTTTCAATCCTTAAAAGAAGGCAAGTGAACTGTGATGATTTTAGTGGTCTTGGTCTAATCCGACACTTCAGATATCTGGATGAAATGAAAAAAAGCAGAGCTTTCACATATTGTTTCAATTCAAACATTTCATTGCTCCTTTATTCACACCAATACAAATAAAGTCCATTTTACTGACCTGCCCATGCCATCTGTGAAGTTTTCTCCCTGTTTGTCACACCATGGGACAGCACGCAACTCGCTATGTTTGTCATGCCATTTTGGGTATTGGTGGCTATTTTATAGGTCGCAACTTGGAACCATCAATGTTACACACATGCAGTCTTAGTAAATCACTGTATGAGATCACTGAAAACTCACTCGAGGAAACTCACTCAAATTCTAATAAAAGAACAAAGGTTCTGCTCACAGGGTCTCATTTCTGGACGAGAAAACCAATTTGACATACTGGGAAACAAATATATGCCCATCAAATATACTGTAAAGGGAAAAGTTTGTCACTGTGAAGTTTGTAACCAAGTATCTCTGAGATGTGTAGATCTGGTCCTGAAATGTGCGGAGTTAGGGATTATGGTTAGGAGAAAGTGTAATATTAATTTGAAAGGTAAACAGCTATCATGTGAAATACTCAAAGCATGCATTTATAAATTAAAATGACAAAACCCCAAATGCTTGTGTTCCATTTAGAAAGCTGATGGAGACGCGTTCTTGACTGCAATGCAGAAGAGTTCATGCATGTGTAAATGCTGCCTGGAAACAGTGCTCCTGCGTTTTTCCACATGAGAACAGAATAAGCCAACCTCGAGAACAATCTGCTCAGGTTTTGAAATGTTTCAAGAGGAACTTGTACAAATTAATTCAGTCTTTCCTATCGGACTCGACAAGCACTGTTTTCACCAAATACTAAATCACTGTTTGACTATCCCCTGGAAGCCTAGAACCCATGACCCTGAGGGAGGGAGGGAGTGTGTCAGCACCGGCGGTCTAGCCCTCCCACACTGGGTAGTGGGGCCACCACGGGTACTTCTTCTTCTGCTCTTCCATGTGAGGGAAGGCCTCTTCCATCTCCTCCACTGTCATTTCCTCGAAGGGGGTCATGTTCTTGAGTTTGGTGATCTACGAGAGAAGCAGGGTGGATGCATGAGGTTTCTTGTGTGCCCTGTGCATAGCTTTCTCTTCTATCAGTGACAAATGCAGATTTGACAGGTATGGGGGCTCTTGGCAAAATTTTCCCTCGGATATCAATATTGAGGTGCATTACCCTTACACAAACAATTGTAAAAAGGCTCCAACTGTAAGCCATGGTTTCCTGCATAGAAATATCAAACATTTCCTATGGATGTACACAACTGCCTCAACATTTTAAGGCTTAATTGTGGACTTGGGGAGACTGTATTCATTTCATTAAATGAAAACCAATGGTGGTTTTCACTTTATCAGGTGGGTATTACAGGGTCTAACAACAAATGGCCACTTTCAGAGACCCAGGGTCCACTTTTTGGCATTCGAATTGTCACTAGGATGTAGCACCATTTATGTGCCAAGGACTCCTTAGACCATAACAAGTCCCTATAAGACCAACACAAGACCTCCAGCCTGAATTTGAGTCACAAATTGTTTCAATGAACAACCTGTTCACTGTTAACCCTTTTACTTGTGACTGGTCTTGGGAATGGTCTCCTGTCTGCTGTGACGTCTGATCTACAACACTGGTAGGCCCAATCATCAGATCAGTAAGCCAGTCCATTTTGGCCCAAAGAACAGTGTGGAACAAAATTGCAAAACTCAAGCGAGGAAACGGGCATTTTGCGAATCAAACGGCCATACCTCTTTATCATACTGCGCAATGCGCTGGTCTGATCCCTTCTTGAACTCAGCTGTCATAGTGTCCTGTTCAAGCAACAAGTGCAAACGTGTTAGGAAACAAGCCCATGTCTTCATACATAGTTGGTAGACTTATCAGTGCTTGGGTGCTTTTTCGTCTTAGGGTACTGACGAGAGAGGAGCCTGAATAAAATCCACATCATTTTGAATGCCTTACATCACTTAACTACTGACGAGAAACAGAACACGTGCCTATGGGAAATGAGTGAAGGCCACTACTTGACAGCTTCAGCAAGTCCTTGTATATTTCCGAATGCAGCTTCATAATTTGGACACTGTCTAAGATTGGCACTGATGCACCAAATGGCAGAAATGACATCAGGTCATCAGCGGGGAAAATATCAGTACTGACATGACTGTCATCTTTCAAGAAATACAAAGTCAACAAATAAACCTCAGACATGTTTGCCTGTGTTTTGCGGGCAACCTACATGTACAATTGGGTTCTTCCCTGTGAAGGACGAAATTCATGGATGTAGGAAAAAGCCCCCCCCCCATTTTGAAAAAAAACAACCATCTTTGACCGCTTGCCTGACTGTGCAGTCTAAAGATACGTGTACGTGTATCAGAGAAGAACCTTTTTCTTCTGAGAAACACAGAAAAGAGCAAGCCCAATGCCACAGCAAATATCAGAAAGGAAAAGGGAGGGGACTGGTGCCGGTCTCACCATTTCCTTAGACTGCTGCTCAATCTTGGCAGAAGCTGTGTCCATCGGGAAGGGTACCTTCAGCTCATCAAACTGTAGGAGCAAAGAACAAATTAGCAATCAAGTTATAGGTCTTGGGGGGTTGAATAAGCAAACTGAAGGACACCTGAAGCCCAAAATGAGGAAACTTGTGTCTGTAGCCAGACACAAGTGTGTCAGGGTGGATATAGGCCTACTTAGTACATGTAAGTGTACTTTACCTGTTTTTGAAACTTGTCTACAAGTCCAGCAGCAGGGACTACTTTCTTGTAGTAAGCCCAGTCTATAGCTTTGGGCTGTTCAGGCATGGATGCTAGCCTGCGAAATTAAGGAACGAAAGAGGTACAAATTTAAGTTCAAATACGGGGGCCTAATGCTAGTCGGAGTAACTGGGACTCTATGAATCGCATTTGTTAAACATTTTGACGTGGTCAGGGGATAGTAGAGTCCAAGTACCCGTCATAGGCTTTCTCTTTCCTTAATTGATTTCAATCAAAATAGCTTGTACATTGTCGTATCCCGAATCAACCTGCTCAGAATTCACTTCCTGGAGAAATGGAGACAACTGTCAAGATGTGCTGGCCGAGCTAGCAGACCATTCACAATAAGCATGCAGTATCTGCCAATGCGTGCCGACGACTGTTCCTGCGCGGCGCAATGTCCGGTGTACAAATCAACGTGGTCACAATTACCGAATGTTACGCTGCTCAGGCAATAGTCATTGGCATGTGCGTGCAGTCATCGCATGCTTATTGTGAATGGTCTGCTCAGACAGCATGCCGTGGACGTCTCCAGGTACATTGGCATACAGTTTGAATCACTACATGAAGAAGATGGCAACTTCGAGCTCGGCCGACACGAGCGTTTCCAATTTGAAGGGAAAATTTCTCTTGTCTTCCCTGATGGGAGTTAACCTTAACCATCATCATTGGAATCTCCAATGGGAGACTTTGCGACACATAGTGGTGGCAGACAAACCGGTCTTTTCTGCGGTTGTGCACGTGCTCAGAACTCACGAGCAAGCCTACCACAGCATGCGCTTGCCTGCATCAACCAAAAAGGACTGTTGTGTCTGGCGCCACCAAGTGTCTCGAAGTCTCCCATTCCCACTGAATCCGAAAGTGTTAAGACAGTTTAAGAACCCATGAAATCTGTGGATGCAAGAGCTATTTTGAGTGAAATTGACGGAAGGGAAAGCCTATGAAGTGTAATCAGATTCTACTATTGCCCGACCATGTCCAAATGTTTAAAAAGTCGACTCGTGGAGTCCAAGTTACTCTGACTAGGGGCCTAAGTGCTAAGTTACATGACATATGATTCGAATCAGCCAGCCGACACTGGCAAGCCTGGTGGTCAAATGGTTAAGACGCCTGCACTAGTAAGCAGGAGGTCGTGGGTTTGACTCCCACCCGAGTGCGCTTGTGGTGTTTTTTTTTTTCACAAGCCTTCGGGGGCAAACACCGAGTATACAGTGTTAAATACATGTCAGGCGGGGTAAAAATCCAAAATTAAGTTGCATTACTTAGAGAACTCCAAGTCACTACTACTAAGTCAGAGTTTGAACTTTCATACAAGCACCTGAAAGCTTTCCAAAACCATACATTTTATGAAAACGTGGCCAGTGGTGTTGATATGCTGACTGTGGGTGTCGCCATTTTGAAAATAATGCCTGTTAACGAAGGCAATGCTTCGTGCATCGGAAGTCAAGGCACCCGAGGAATATGTCAGTGAGTGTAAGTAAAATTGTCGAGTTATTCTCATTTCAGAAGATATTAAGCCTAGGATTCAAAGTTTGTGACAATCCTGCTAGTTGGATTTCATGCATTAAAGTCATGCCTTGAAGTAGGGCTGTGATGCCGACAGAATAGAGACAGATTTCAAAAGAGACCCATCAACAGCCCAACGTGTGTGGGGCTAACTGGCTAAGGCTATAGTTACGCTAGCCCAGGTGGACTCCCTGACTATACTATGGGCGAAACATTTTGTAACTAAAATTTTCATCACTTCTTCCTTTTCCAAGGAGCCAATTTCACGTCTGTAATCCCTGTGCGTCCTTATCTCCACGTCTGGTGGGTTGAGAAATTCAACACATCACCACCAAAGCCAAAAATCGGGAAAATAAAGTCGGACATTAAGTTAATTCTTGCCATTGTTGTGGACTGTTTTCAGCCGTTCTTTCATACAGTGTGCACGCAACTGTTCGACGTACGAGATTCCGAGCTCCGTACACGCACATCAAAACTACATGTTCTGACTAGAACCAGCGAAACTGAAGTCTAACCGAATCCACTCATTTCGAAAACACATAAAAGAAGCACAACGTGGTTCTCAGCCCCGAGCACCATTGATCTCCATGCTGAGTACACACAACATTGGGCTGGGGCCGAGGCTGTGGCATGCGTTGGTGACAGTTGGCTTAGTTACCTGCATGCAAGCTGAGTCTACTACGGCCAGTACGGAAAAACTAAAATTCATGACGTGTACAAATCCGATCTCTACAATATTGTGTTTTTATACATCTTTAACCAATAAAACTCTACAAATTAAAAATGTTAAAAACTTCAAAGAGAGATCATTGATGAACTTATTCCCGTACAAGAACCCTGCATATACAAAGTCTTCTACACTAACCGAGGTTATTCTTATAAAATAGCAGGTTGTGTCACATAGTTATGTACATAAACTGAAATATAAAGCAGAACACAATATGAACATTTTAGGGGTAACCAACCACAGCCTCCGTGTAGCAGGCGTTCAACAGACCTTCACTGGAAATCGCGCACACAGCTCGGATTCCTGTACGTGCCTGCACTTTACAACTCGAGAACGGATGAATAATGTCTACAAAAGTAACGTTGTCTCTCAGTGAGTTTCACTTATTTTCCTCGATTTTGCAGTCCATGGTTCCTTCTGAAATTCCTAAACCCCCCTGATGGATAGATAAGCCTAAGGTCAGGGAGAACTTGTAAACGTGAAAAATTGGTTTCTTCAACAAGGTAAACGAAGAACGAATTAGAACAAAATTTGCGGTCGTTTTGTACAGAAATATTAGAACCTGGACGTCAGTCGTAATGAAATGAAGACAACGTATAGTTAGGCATGCTAAGAATAAGATTACGGTCAGATGGTAGGGTGCCGTGTGCGCTTTTTTTAGTTTTACCTTGATGACAATCCATCAGCTTTTGATTTCAGAGCATTGAACTGTGATTTCTGATTCGGAGGTACCCTCTCCGCAAAGGCAACCCAATCAATGGCCCTCTGGCCCACTCTCCGTGCTGCCATTTCGAGATTTCCCGAACAATCTCAACGTCTCCAACCAAAAAATTACCCGGCCGGCGAACAAGATGGCGTATACGATGACCTTTCACCGCTAGGTGGCGCTGTTGCCAAGACTGTACACTTGACATAATATAAATACATATTTATATGCATACATCACGTCTGTGGTCGTGCAACTTAGTGGGCGTGTCGTTTGGGCTCTCATTTTGGCATTCGTTTTATATTTTGGACCATTCTCTAATGCCATCGCATGCATTGTCATTACTGAGCATTACTTTCAGCAGATAATCAGGAATTAGGGATTTTTGCAGAGTCAAACAAATTACAATTATACACTACACGTGTATAGTGAATTCGTTTGCAATGTAGCCTTCAGCTTGTCTTTCCCCCTCCTGGCTTAAGTTAGCAAAGAAACTGAGAGAAAAGCCCCCCTCCCCTAAAATAATTTTCAAACTTTTTATGAAAGTTGTGCCATTTGGAACTGCATGGGTAGATTTAGGAATCAAAACGGTACGACATTACTCGACGTTTGCAGAGATTTTTACCTCATACAATATTTCAACTTCTCACTCCAACTAGCACAGTGGATTCTAGTCTTGGGTCCAAGATGCCTTCTGCAGTGCTGTTATCCAATATGCGTGCAGAGTGTGGTGTATAATACGATTCACTGTGACAGCACCTTTTCAGGCATACCGGCCACTAAAGGATAGCAGTTCGTCTGGTGAGAGTTCATGTCGCGGAATAAACAGGAAGGTCTTGAAACCAAGACTAAGTGCATTCTTGCATTGAAGCCTGCTGACAAGATACCACACTGGTAACTATGCAGTGAGAGGTGTTAAAATATGGCTTCGCTTCCGCCCGCCGTTTAGCCCAATTTTCAGATCTTTGACTTAGGACTACAACTTGAGAGTTTTAGCTCAGGCAAAAACATTAGGTTTATATGAAAGGAGAATCCAACTGAATGCCACCAGCATAAAATGATGTATGTTTTCGTTGTAGCCGAGACTACCACAAGTCATCTGGTTTTAAGCCAGTTAAGTTACCTGTGAATGGGCTGACTTCAACACTGGCAAACTGACAAAGCCAACAAGTAGCTCTGATGTCAGAGACAAAGACTCAGACAATGCAGAGATTCTGATGCCTCCTCACCACCACCACAGCCCCCAAAACACAGAAGAAACAAACACCCTCTTTGGTGACCCGTCCTCACTGCAATGATGCTGTAGTGTGCCTCAAACAGGGCCACAGTCAACCCCCATCAGTTAGGGCACTGCTAATACAACATCCCCCTTCTATAATTGTCCACAACAAGGAAAAGAGCAGGTCTCATTGCTGTATTTTTTGTTGTCCATTCTCAATAATACAAGGCCCCTACTTGTATAAATAGCAATTTGCAACGTCCCAAGGACAGAAGCTTGACAGTATTTTCAAAGTTTGGGGGAATATCTCTTATGACATGAAATTCTCACAAAGCAGGCAGTTCATCCATTTGCACTGAACGACCAGTACATGTGAGTGGCTGCCATAGTTTGTTGCTATGCCAACGTACACCCACTGGTCATATATGTACATGTATGATTAATCCTTGTACATGTATGGTAAACTGGAAACATTTCAGGAAAAATACAGTCCATCTCGAAATACTTCAGCTCTCAGTTCTTTTTACCATATCTTACAAAGTTACAAATATTGCATTTACAAATCTGCTTAGCAATTTCCACAGGTAGAAGGTTTTGTTTTTTTTTTTTACACATCTGGCATAATTTCAACATTTTGATATACAAAATGTACAATGGCAATTCTCATACAAAGAGCTGACAGGAAAATCTTAACGGTCGAGTTATTATAAAAACCAAAAGGACAACTTATCCCCCAAAAATACACAAATAAACGACAAAAGCTTACGCCTAATCCTTTGTGGTTCAAAATATAAAAATTTGAAAACAAATACCTGGGGGAAAAATTCCATGAACACACTAGTAAAATAATGAAAAAAATAGTAAACAGTTAATGCATCCATTGTTCAAATAAATATTCAAGTGATAAAGTCACACCAATCTCAAATGGCTCACCGCGAAAGAATGATCAGGAGAACACAACAGTATTCTGAAGTCACACTTCACATCCAAAGATAACAAGAGAATGATTTGGCCATGTGTTTTGGGGTTTAGATTAAAAGTGGAGGATATACTCATCAGAGAGCTGCTACCAGCATTTGCATATTTGACAGACAATCAGTTGGAGGTAATACATGACTTATGTATGTGACTGTTTTGCCAGGTAGCCAAATGTTTCGCCTGTGCTAAAGTTATGTGGTTCATTGCCTGGGATGACATAAAGTGGAAGTGGAGTTTGTAAAATGTGAGCAAAAAACTCATGCAAGCATTCGTGTGGATACCAAACTTAAATCAAGTTGGCAATCAAATCAGTGCCTGGCCCTGCTTCTCAGCTCCACTTGATGCAGCAGGATTCAGAAAATACACTGTGTAGTGTTTGCAGCATTGTGAAAATACATGCTAGACAGAAACATGTTACTCCCCGTTACTCAATTCCACTGATGCTAAAGTGTCAAATTGTCGGTTGTTCAGTGAAAGGCAGAAATTCTGGCTAGCCTGACCAGATGTTTACTAAAACAAAGACGGAAAGGAACTTTATTTCCAGTCTGGTAAAAAAACACCCTTCTATTAGGATTATATTTCAAAGGCAAGAAATCCTCCACACTGAACGACCGTCACCAGCACACTAGCTGCAGGCTAGCTGTATCAACAACTCTAGTCCTGTCTTTCACAACAGATTTTGAAGAAACAGATGTCAAACACCTAAAACTCTACGTCTTCAAGTCCATTAGAGAAACCAGACATCCCACCAACAAGAAAAGGAATTGTCAACAATTTCAGGCAAAGCTGTTTACAAAGATTTTCTGCCAGAAAAAAAAGAAAGAAAAAAGACTTAAAAGGTCTTTTTTGTCAAAAATTTGAGGCAGAGCTGTTCATTTATCAAATAGTCATTTATCAATTTTCTCACGGCACCAGAGCCAGAACACTTCCTCATAATCTCTTCAAGGCCCTCTTCTTGTCTCGTTTCTTTTTGTCCAACACTTTCTTGTCGCTGGCGTGCTTCTTGGCGTGGGGGCCGCTCGTGTTTGAGCCTGATGTGGATGGACAGTTCTCGTCGATTTCCCTGGATTCCTTGGCTCCTCGCGCCGACTGTGCGTGGATGTCCGTCATCATCTTTGCCCTCATGAAGTAGTCGTCGTACTGTTCTAATAATAACCTGCCAGCTTCCTCGTTAAGTGCCGATTCCGGGTTGGGGTAGATGAGCAAACATTTGATTGTCTGTCGGAGAGAAAATCCACATGACGAATGATTCAGACTGTAACTCACTACTGAATGGAATGCCTTAAAGCCAGAAAGCTTAATTTAAGATTTTTGCCCTGTCCGACATGTATTTTAACACTGTACGCTCAGTGTATGCCCCCGAAGGCTTGTGAAAAAATTACAAGAGTACTCGGGTGGGACTCGAACCCACGACCTCCTGCTTACTAGTGCAGACGACTTAACCACTCGACCACCGAGCCCACTGGCGTTGGCTGGCTGGCTCGAATCAGATGTAGCAGCGAGTACCGTGAACATATATTTCAAGGATGGATTTGTGCTGGGGAGACGTAAATTAATTTTGGATTTTTGCCCTGCCCGACGTATATTTTAACACTGTATGCTCAGTGTATGCTCCCGAATACAGTGTTAAAAATACACATCGGACAGGGCAAAAATCCAAAATTATATATTTTTCATCTCCCAGGCGCAAATCCATCCTTGGAACCAGAAAAGCTTCTTATCAAATGCCTGCTACAAGCACAAGAGGGGTGAAGTTTTTATTGGTTCTTCATTTACGAATGTAAAAAACAGCGTACTTCCTTCCAATGACAAACAGATAAATAGCCCAGAAACACAACACAACTTACTAGTACATGTACCGGTACTTCCCAAATTCAAGTGATAAAAGGCTGGGTGGACAATGGTGAGTTGATCACCCAGGGAACCAGGTTTGTGTAGTGGTTCTTTCCCAGCCTTTCAACTCTGCAGCCCAAGTTTGAATCCCCCTTAGGTGACACATGGATTGGGTTTAATAGTCCCTACTCAACTCTGTAATTGAATCCAGGACATTTTTCTGGGGTTTTCCTTCCACTTAAAAACTGCAAATTCTTCCTAATGTCTCTTTCTCAAGGTAACTGGTTTCTTAAGACTTGCAGTCTACAAGGCCGGAAATAATTTCACCGTATACCCAAGAGCAACATTTAAAATCCAACAAATACCAACTCACTAGAAGTAGGTGTTTGATGCCCATGTCCGCCTTCCAGTCTCTTTTCAGCGTGTTCACACATATCTCCCCATTGCTGGCCACATTCGGGTGAAACACTTTGGTCAGGAAGTAGCCCTTTGGGGGCACCCTGGGAAAGTCCTTGCCCAGGACGAGTTTCACTCTGAATATCCCGCCTGCATACGGTGTGCCCGCTTGGGAAAAAAAATAAAATAAAAAAAGGACACATGGAAAACATTTAAAGAAGATTTTTCATCAGAAATAAAATTTAACAAACCTGACTATAAATGATTGGACTTGTAAGGGACCTGTGACAGACTTGGATAGCACCATTTTACTGCCACCTTGAGGTTCATACTTGGTGCGTAAGCAAACACACATTTATGCAAAATTGTGACATCAGGTCAAATACTCATTCTGCAAAAATTCGCAAACTTGAACACATTTCTAATTAAGCAATTTTTCACTGCAACTGTTTTGTGATGTCAAATTCACTCCTTTCATATTCCCCTGGAGTACATGAACTGTATAAACCAGCCTTAAATCAAGGGCAATGGAACTCAATGCAGAATTTCTGCAATTTCAGCGATGTTGCATGGTATTATATCTCCTCTCGGTGTATTTTATATGTGATCGCCCCTCAAACAAGTGAGGACCATGTACATGTACCTTCCAACAAGAACTGGTCATGCATGTTCAGCACGGCCAATGCCGAGTGCGGCATGCATATAAACCAGTAGAACCTGTACCAAATCAATTTGGGGTTTTTTGCCAGCACAGCAATTGAATATATGCGCGATGGGTGTTTTGGGGACTTAAACCCTTTACCACGACAGCCCTTTACCTAGTTCAAGCTTAAATTGTTCTTATACAGGTAAACTCCTATTCACAAGATGGAATTCTGACCTATGTGTAGTGCAATTTCGATCAATATTTCCCTGTGGAGAATCCTCAACAACCATACATGTATATAATGAAAAGAATATCCAGTAATTTAACTCGGAATTCAAATTAAAATACAGTTGGTAATTTTTTTAGGTACATGTAGGGAAAAACAATTGCAACTTGCAGACCAAGCCCGATGAAGATTTAATCCCTCAACCTTGTGTTCTAAATGCCAACTCAGTAAACAATGGGCCAGGCATTCACTCACTGTTAGTGGAGAATAGACCTTTTCACAATGGCCCGCTCACACTTCTTGCTACCCAGGCCATTTGTGCATGCGTGCATAATTATTAATTTATTAGTGAAGAGGTGTTACCCATCTATAGAGCATTACTGGGTATCAGATTTTGCCAGCTAATTAACAAAAAATCCACATGTGACAGAATACCAGCAACACGAAAACTTGTATTAGCCTACAGAGTATATCTCCACTATCACTCACAAGGGCCTTCTATAGAAGCCTGGATATCGGTAATGTCTTCTTCACTTGGAAGAAGTTTAACACCCTCAGGAGGATTAGAGCAAAGGTCAGCGACCTCTTTTGCAACTTGCCGCAGGACCTGAGGGGACAGGTTTTCAACATTGGAGCTCTGAGGAAAAAAAAAGACAATATAAAAAATTTTCAAAACATAACGAAAACTGTTGAGAGACAAAGAGAAATTTGTAAACAATCCAGCAAAGGAGTACTGTAGTAAGAATGACAATACAATATTGTTTCCTTTTAGAATAGTCTGTCATTAACAAGCATGAGTTCGCTCCTGAATGCCCATGACTAGGCCTATGTGAATCTTTAAATAAAAAGTTAACATGTTTACAACGGCAGTAATATATGCATTAACTGTGTTAACAACATGAAACGTTAAAAGTAACACCAGAAAAAAATGTCCCAAGCATGCCTGCGAACCTGTTGGCTTCCTCTTTCTTAGCCTATGTAAGCTATGTAGTTTTCCTTTTAATTGTTAAATTTCAAAGAGATTTTATCCTACATGATGATGGGTAGGCCTATGACCTGATGACCATGATGACTAGGCCTACCCCCAGAACTGTGGGGTCCGACGTCCGCCCCGCTCCTACGTGACGAGTCAGTGTATGACAGGGCAAGGACGGGGTAAAAACTAAAAGCAGAATTGTTCAGACCAGCCTCACACCGTGTTTGTGCACAGGGAGAGAGGGCCAGGGTGTCGCTGTCAGGACTTGTATTTAGAACACATTTTTAGTCTGCTCCCCACGACATAAACACAATAATACACAGAAATTCATAAAACAGTTCAAGAACAAGATCGTCACATTTTCAACTGAATTTTCGAAAAAAAAACGGATCGATTTTTCGCTCTTCGCCAAAGATACGCTAAAGAAAAACCCATCGTGACAAATGTAATGAGTTTAACTTACTCCTGGTAGTGCCATTTTACGGATCAACCTCGTGAAATTTGAGGGAATTGTTTTATTTTCTTTCAATTCCCACAGCAGCTCTGTCTTACGCCGTTCGTGTACGGTGATTTAAACGACAGACGTTATCGCAATCCGCATGTGCGTCATTGGTTCATAGGGTGTCGGAGGTTGGAGTACGTGTATAAACTGTCCAATCATATTACACAGATAAGAATTATGCAAAGTATGTGATACAAACATTGACTAGTTTCCAGTCCTTCTGTTATTTGTTCAGCAAAGACAAAAACAGTCCTCACAAACTTCAACCAACAGAGTGAACGACAAAATTCATTGAAAATGAAATCCTTTTAGTGAAACATTCACCACTTTACAAGGACAATTATGCATGTGATATGTAAAGAAATGTTTAAATTTCTTTCACTGCATGTTTTTATGTAAACATGGTTATTTATTTGGATATTATAGCAAACAATTATGTATTTGTCCCATTTATTGGGTTCCATCCTTATAATTTTTAGTACCGTCAGAGATTTCTCATTCTATTTAATATTTTACAAGACCAGCAAAGGCGAGAGTCAGCATGGTCAGTTTACAAATGTAAACAATTATTCATATGGTTGATGTCATCGACTTGATTAGCATCCGGGAATTTGTCATGGCGGCCGTCTAGGAAGTGGTGTGTCTCGTCTGCATTACTGCTCAATTTGACTGGACTACTGCCTGCAGACGCCTGAAAACTGAGGTGTGTTTTATAAGTGTAACAAATGCACTGAATTTTAGAGAAAACCGCTTTAATGGGAGGTTAGAGGTACTGTTTCAGTGTGAGCTGGGTGTTAAATTCATCAGTCGTGAGGTCCTAGGCATGTCATGCTGTTTGCATGTGTAGGCCCTACATCATAACCCTGCAGGCCTAGGCTTAGTGTAGTTCGCGAAGTTCATGTCCTGTCATGTCACGATAAGTGTTATCGCAAATACTGCATGATTGATTTGTATAATGGTAGAAAGGCATTATGGTAAGGCAAAAGGTTCAGTGTTTGCTCCTTTTTCCTTCCCACGGAGTAATTGCATGCAGAATACCCTGCTGCGCGAAATACCCGCGTGCGGGCCCTGAACATGCTAAAAATCCAATGGCTGCCTAGTCGAGTGGAGGTTGTTCAACCTCTGGGTTATCCTTGCTGCGTCAAGGTACGTGTTGTGAACAGTATTGAAGTCATTTTTGAAAACGAAGCACTCACTTGAATTGAATTAGGTTTACACACAATTCACATGATGGCGGAAGAATTCCAATGTGGGTCCTGGGTAGTCCCAGTAGTGTGGCACGGACTCTCCCTCCCGCTCCATCCTTAGCCACACATCCGTATACGCAATTTCATGTCGGCGTACTGAAATTTTCGGTGCACCCACTTATCATCATGGGCACAATTTCTTTTCCACACAGAGATGATCCTTAGCCTCTCCACTTTTTAGCGCCATTTATTGAATGATTTCACTCACGTTGTTCTGGTATTTTCCAGTCTTTTTGCCCTCACCCATTCAATCTCACGGATTTGCTCTCACAGTCGCCATCTTTAAAATAAGGTCATTGAACATTACATCATTTGACCCCTCATCATCTCGACGGCTGTTCCATGTTAAGACATACACGGACTGAACGATAAGATACTACATGTGCCAATGGGCTCTTCCAAACCTTTGGCAGCAGTTTAGATGTCTTGACATGGAACAGCCGTCGAGACGATGAGGGGTCAAGTGACATAATGTTCAACGACCTTATTTTAAAGATGGAAACTGTGAGAAACTACAGTCATGACAGTACAGTAGGTCTAGGCCATGTGTTTTTTCCATGGTTTCTGAACTTCCAGATGTGCCAGACCTCATTGGAGACTGCATACAACTGTCAACATGCCCCTGAAAACATGTATGCATAGCCTAACGTTAGTCTGATAGTTTGGACAGCTCTGGTTTGGGTCATGAATCTCAGTTCAAGTTAATCCTTACTTGGGCCAGTCAGCTAGACTATCTCCATAGCTTTTGGCCTGACAATTATAAAAAATAACTTGGACAAGCCTGTACTTCATGGAAATGTTCACAATCCAATTCGAGCAGGAACAAAAGAGGACATGTTTTAAAATTAAATCGACAGTCATTTGGTATGCACTCACTGCATAGTTTATGCGCATTTGACATGGAACATGCAACAAATTCAGTCTGGAATATATGGTCTTTGTTTGGTAAACTTAGTACCATCTGTCTTTCTTTCGCCGGTGAGGATGAGGATCATGGATTTTCATAATTTGGTTGTGGAAAAGTCATGGAATTTTATTGTCCTTTTGGTATAGGAACTCTGGAGTTCCAGAGTTCTGGGAACCAGACAGGTATAAACACATACATGTAGATTCACCAGAGCATGGTGATCACATGTATTTCTCATTTATATCTTCTGACATGAAAATGAACAGGAGATGTCAAGGAAGAACAAAAGTATGGTATACAACTGTCTACAGAATTAGGTGTTTAACTAGAGCCCTGTTCAAAAGAGGACAGTAAAGTTTGAAAAAACATTGGAATTTGAAATCGTTGCTGCACATGGGCACAGTGTTGTGAAACTCACTACGAACACCCAACAACTAAAATATCTAAATACATGTGTTGCACAGACATGTATACACTATAGGATGGCTTCATCGTGTGAGTTCCATTACAAAGTCACTGAAAAAAAATGCCTGTGGGATATATCTACATGTACATTTAAGTATTATTGCTTTGAAAAATATGTGTATTTTTGAGATCCAGTAGTGAAGCTTGCGAGCCCTTTGTTATGGGGCAGTGCAGACATCTGGGAGTTTCGCAAAATGGCAGGTAGCAACTGATGAAAACAATTGTAATGAACGCGCACATACGTACTGATCAAAGAAATGATTGTGTAATCTGATCTTCTGACTGTCAGGTGCCACGCATACGTCGCCATAGTTGGTGTTTTCATCGGTTACTACCCGCCATTTTGCAAGAGTCCCAGATGTCCTTGCCGCCCCATTACTAGGGTTTTTGATTGAGTTATTCTACTAGTTGTGATTCAACATCAACAGCCCACTCCAAGATATGAAAGCCCACACCGAGTATGAAAACTTTCATTACCTGCATTTTCCTACAGGGACCAAGTTGCCTTGAGCTGAGTTGGTATCAGACTGAGTGAACTCATATATGACTATTTAAAACTAATACGAACAGAGGAGCTTCCATGTAGAGTTATTGTACATACATGTAATTCGCATGCAACTCTTAAAGGTCTTATCTTCTTAAATTTTTGGGATCAACCGATGTAGGTTTTGACTACTGATTCAATGTTTTAATTGGCACATCGGCTGATGTTCCATCCTATCCGAAGTTTTTACTGACAATAACTGAAAACGTAACCTTAAAGGTTAACAGAAATAGAAAACGCTTAGTTCACGTGAAATATTTCAAAATAACAATAAATACGTAACCATTTCAAAAACATCAATTCAATGTTTACCCCATTAATTGTGACCCCAAAATGAATAAAATATCCTGCGTTTCCCCACCCACAAAAAATCCCCTTTTGGCCGTTCGTGCTCCCAGGCTGATTTGATGACGTCAAAGGCAGAACGCTTACATGTACAGTGTACATGTACATTGCATGATTGCACACAGTACATGCAGTATCGCACGCTTGCAATAGACCACGTTGTGTTTGATATAGCTTGGCCCAGGCAAACACTGTCTCAGTTCAAGGTAGATATTAAAAGTCAAAATTAACAGTCCTGGCTAGCAAAGCACCATCATACTAAGTCATTGCACTGACAGCTCAGTTAGTTCTCCCGCTGTCTCAGTAAAATTTTCTTGTGTCGAAAGTCCAAGTGGGGACAGTGGTCACAGTTAACCATTTTCGTTTTACCTTTGGCTCAGTGAAACTCTTGGGAAGAAAGCCTTGTGCCGACACAGCTTAAGTCTTCGTCCAAACTGTCTGTTCCTGTACCCAGTCAAAGATTCCTTATAAGGCGCGTTTTATTGGACTTTTTCTTCTGCGGGTACGCGGAAACTTACTACGACATTCCCTCGTATCAATGTACTGCGCATTTCCACGTTTTTACCGTAATGGAATGTTTATTCACTGTGTTAACGGTAGGCCTAATAAGACCAGCTGATTACATTGCCTGCGTTGTACAGATCATGACGAAATCCGCAAAATATGACCAAAAACTGACAAAATCAGACGAATTCTGCCACAAGTAAGATGAACCCGTACAGGAAAAGCCCCTTACACAATGTGTGTTTTGCATTATCCAGGCACGCTTCACTTTGTGTACACAGCATGCTGCTGTACTGTACGCACAGAGCTGGAGACTGGGAACCATACAACCAGTTTTGCTTGCCCGCTATCAATCTATGTATCAGTAGTCCGGTTCATACATGTATGTATGTAGGTGGTCACAGTCAATGCACATTGTATGGGAACTGTTCCCATTGGACTTTTTTGCACCCCTGCGTACTTACTTTGGCTGCATGGAAATCTTCTGCAACCCTTTTTGGCCTGTTAGTTTTACATCATGATTGTGGTAAGTTGACAGGGACATTAGTTTACTGTGTGTTCCCATTGGATTTGATTTTGTAATTCTACAGGGAAGTGGCAGGATGTTAACCAAAAAAAAAATCCAATGGGAACACGGCTTATAGAGTCATGACTGCATCTGTTGTGTTGCTGCCAGATGAGACTGTCATTCTGTAAAGTTAAGTGGATTTGAGAACACAGCTTTGGAAGGTTGTTCTTTGAGGGAGATGGTAACTTCCTCTTGATGAAGGTCACCTTTTTGAAGATGGGGATGATACATGTGGAAGGAATTCAGTTGTAAGCAGGCTCAGGGAATATCTAGTTTGAACATCATCCACTGTTTCATGGAGCCCACAGAAACTCCTGCAGAATGTCTAATACATATCTAAGCGTGCAAATTTATTAGATGGTGCCATTTCGAAAAAAAAAGTGCTAACAGCTGTTAATTTGTTGATAGGAATCAGCTGACTACAGTATGTCAGCTGGCGATATCAGCTGACATTATCAGCCGACCATATTTTTCTTTCACTTCGAGTTTCCCAATGAAAGCCCATAATACACAGCT